CTGCACAACAATGAAGCAAGTAAGGTTTATATAGCTCTAGCATTGACCCAGCTGTATTTTTTCCATGCAAAGGCAGGTTTTTAAAATTGCGGGTTTTTTGCGGGTTCGGCTCAGCCAAAATCAGCTTGCGGGTAGTTGTGGTTGGGCAAGGGGTAGCGGCGGGGCGGGGCGGGTAATGAAATTGCAAATTTGGTGCATCTCTATTCGAGAATCATGCAGTGTCATGCACTCGGACTGCCACCACTAATCTAAAAACACAAGGCATAAACAACTAAACGACAAGTGGCATAACGAGCAAGACTAAGAAGAACAACAGAATCACCCGAAATGGCGTAACATTCGGGACTTACCTCGTTCAGACGGTTGAGGCTGTCCGCATATGAAGTTTCTCTCGCTGAGGGTGAGTTTTCATCACGAGTCACCTCCGGCTAATGCAGAACGAGCGGACACGATCTCCAATCACAATGCAGGCTGCAAATAACCTCCGGTGATTGGCGTTTGAATCAACTTGCAGTTTGCACCCTCGGTGGTCAGTCTCATAAGGTCACGTCTCTCACTGCCGATTACACGCATCTTCATATGATTCCTCTGAACGTCCAATGTCCAGGGTAAAGCACTGCGCTCACCTCAGTTCACACTGATCACCGCTGGCTGCAGCTACACACTGACCCCAAGGCCCCTGACCCCTGCTGAACCCTGGCGATCGCCGGGAGGCCGCTCCGACCGCTCCTGCTCCGGCCGCGGCGCTGCCACCCGACACCAGTCATCCGATCCGACCCCGCCGCCAGCGCGGTCCAGGGCTCGTCTGGGCTCGTCTCCGCGGCGTGCCGGTTGTGGCCGGTTGGTTATCCCACGGTTATCCAAGGAGCGACAGGCCCAGCGCCGACCTGAAAACAAACGGAAATTGAAAGACAGGTTGGTAAGTAAAAAGCACTTTGGATGAAGTCAAAGTGTCATACGAGTACAGGAGAACAAGTGCTAACCGAAATCTTCGCGCTGATCCAAGCGGGCAGGGGCGACGAATGACGCCAGGTGCCGTGTCTGGAAAACTACAGAAAATGGCTGTAGCATGCACGCATTTCCACTCGGAATAGCGGTGAGACATGTAAAGACACAAAATGCGAAATTCTGACACTGTGCCGGCATGCACGATGCCGGACACTTGAGGCGTCGGTCTCCATCATTATTGTCGAATCTCATTGTTGGCAGCGGCGTTTCAGCGAAACAATCAAACTTTATCGATAGGTATTTAGGTACTTAACTTACCTACATAAAAAATAACACATTGAGCCGCTTACCTGTAAATTCAACAGCACCATGACCGTTAAAGATCACTGCACCGCAACACCGCAGTCCGCAACCCGCAACGCCCGCAACATTACTGCAAACGCATCGGCCAAGGCTATAAAAGGCATAAATAATAAAAGGGAGTGTCTAAAAAGGCCAATGGCTTTTAGATGGCCAATGGCGATCCCCACTGGCCATCGCCGCCACGGAAAACACTCAACCTAATATACGGCCTTGACACTCAAAAGGAAATAGGCCGGAAAAATAGTTTCTGCCAAGGTTTTAAAATGACACTCCGGAAATATTACGCCAATTTACGTTTCAAAAAACTTTTCATGTGGACGTGGATGTTCTCCCTATCTTATTTATCCCTCGCCGGACCTATTGGTTTTCTACATACGCGCCGGCCGAGGGGGGGGGGGGCGGGTACGACCCCCCCCCTCGCCGTTTCGCCCCTGGTGGAGCTAGCGCGTCGCGGAAAAAACGAGCGTGTGCGCCGTTACGAGACGCAGAGATTGGTACCCGATTTTAAGGTCCTAGGTCATCCGGTGACCTCTGAGGTCAGGTCAAGTGCCTCAGGGTACGGTTCAGTTTTTGGTGAATAACTTCGCAAAAAACGGCCGCAGAGCGCCGATTTTGGCAGCATCGTGTTCGCCTCGCTCAGGCGCGTCGAATGATATACTTTTTGTCCGGGTCAGGTCAACTTGGGGTGTTGACCTCAGGTCAAGGTCAGGTCAGCACCCCCAGGTCACGAAGTTGGTCGAAAGAGGTCATGTCGCATATCATTCGATTCGGCAGGCCTTCCTGAGTCCATTGGTGCCTTTCCCGACTCGCTAGCTCAATTTGATCAAGAGTTATTGACGAAAAACTAATTTGACCTTGATGACGTCATAAATGACGTCACGCAAGGTCAACATTGCAAAAGTGACGCATCTAACCTTGCAAGGAGTGCATCAAATCACGATTCTGTGTGCTTGAGATAGTTGGAGATCGTTCCCGGTGCCAGAATAGCAGTTTGAATTTTTCCCCATTGACTTATAATGGTGAGGTCACGAAAATGACCTGACCTCATATGACCTTTAGGAAAAATCCGAGATATACAAGTTGTGGGACTCATAATGGATACTAGATCCTGCAAGTTTCATTTCCCTGTGACATCTCCTCTGGCAGTGAGGGCGTTGGGAAGTTGCGACATCTGAAGACCGTGCAGAGGTTCACTTATGACGTCATAGGTCAGTGACCTGACCTGACCCAAAAATGCGGTTGGTGTCAAAAGATCCGGCTTGGATCAAAGGTCAGGTATGCCAAGTTTCAGCTCTCTATCGCCAGCGTGTTCGGAGCTATCGCGAAAAAACCCTATGGGGGGGGGGCGGCACCCGCCCCCCCCCCCTCGGCCGGCGAGGGTTATTACTCCAAATCAAGTCCTTCCCTCCCACCTTAACATTAGATTTGAGTTGAGATAGCCAAAATGGGGTCCCTGGCTCACAATTACCGGTTTCGGCACTCACAACATCGAGAAATGCCTTAAATCGGAAATATTGAATTTCAAAATTGCAGCATTTTGATTCAGAGGGGCTAATGCTTAGGAATACCCCTCTGAATGTGTGACGTCAGCGCAGATATCTAACGATTTTTAAATGTTTGACTAAAATGTTTTGTAGCACGCGGTGGTATATGCTATTTGCGCGCAACATCTGCCGCAAACGCCGCACTTCTAAAATAAAGTCGCTAGAAACTGCGGAGATCCCAAAAAAGTAAACAAAAGTAAAAGTCTAATATCTTGAAAACCGGTGAATATTTTTCGGTGAAATTTGGTAGATATTCGTTTTCGCTCTTTCTGAACAGAGCGACATCACTTTCATGCCAATTCATAAACTTTTTTGAAGGTGGGAGGGTCCCTTTAAGATGCCGTTGCCAATGAAGATAGATGGTACTTTCCAACTGAATCATTCATGCTTAGCACCCTTAGCACCATCTAGCTATTTTTCAGCTTTCGGGCGCGCATAGGAGAGCCATGAAATCTTACAAGCAGAGTTCTCTTCATGGCTAAAGGAAATGTGGTTCTCACGCTACCATATCTTATAAAATAGTTGCGTTGTACAGCGCAGGCGTGACATTAATGACGCTCTATATGATGTTCAAAAACAGTAAAACAGTTGATCTAATGTTGTTAATTACAACAGTATCTTCCCTATCAATGGATCTATTCATTTTTCAACTTCAGTTGTCTTATAAAATTCTTTTATTTGCTTCATGGCGCTGTATTTTCGTGGTATTTTCTTTGTAATAATCTATAACTTTTTGCATCGAAACACGCTGATGACCAGAAGAAGGTGAAAACAAAAAGATTGAACACAGCCAATAAGCACTTTGAGACATGGGCCCTGTTTCACCGGTAATAGCAGCAAGCTGCTATCACGTTTCGCGAGCTGACGTCATGTCGTGACGCCATACTGTTGTCGTAATGGGTAGTTCCGGCGCACGATTGCCGCGACCTTGGCGGCGGCATTAAGTGACGTATGAGCCTAAAAGTAAGAGTTTACGCAGTCATGATAGTATATATATTTTTGATATATATTTTTTCAATATGATGTATTTAAAAGAAGTTGGGTTTAGGAAAAATTTGGACATTAACTTCGAACATTTAGCTGATGACGTAAAACAATATTGCGGCAATCGTGCGCCAGAATTGCCCCTTACGTCAGCAGTATGACGTCATCACATTACGTCAGCTCGCGCAATTTGATAGCAGCGTGCTGCTATCACCGGTGAAACAGGGCCATGAAAACCCCACGAAAACCACGCGCCGCGCGCATCACCAACAACTTCAACAGCGCATGACTTCAACTTACATCAACAGGGCGCCAGGGCCCTGTTTCACCGGTGATAGCAGCACGCTGCTATCAAATTGCGCGAGCTGACGTAATGTGATGACGTCATACTGCTGACGTAAGGGGCAATTCTGGCGCACGATTGCCGCAATATTGTTTTACGTCATCAGCTAAATGTTCGAAGTTAATGTCCAAATTTTTCCTAAACCCAACTTCTTTTAAATACATCATATTAAAAAAATATATATCAAAAATATATATACTATCATGACTGCGTAAACTCTTACTTTTAGGCTCATACGTCACTTAATGCCGCCGCCAAGGTCGCGGCAATCGTGCGCCGGAACTACCCATTACGACAACAGTATGGCGTCACGACATGACGTCAGCTCGCGAAACGTGATAGCAGCTTGCTGCTATCACCGGTGAAACAGGAGGGCTGTTCGGGTCCCTGCAGCATAGATCTGTGCTGCGTGCGTCATACTTGGGTGACGTCAACCGCCTGGCTCCGCCCACTCTCCGCCGGCACGCCGCGGCCGAGCGTCGCTGCAGCATATTTCAAACGCGGCGAACCGTTGCGCGGGTTGACTGGTGATTGTCGCTCACATAACGTTTAAATTGCGTTCAAATGTGGTTAATAGCAATGTGCCACCGAAAAGAGTGATAATGATACCCAAAAAACAGCATACAAACCGCTTACAATAAGAAATATCGGACGGTAAACTTTAATCCGCGCCACTTTCGCCTCCTGCAGCACCGAATTTCGTGCTGCAGGAAAACGAAGTATGCTTCAGTAGGTGACGTCACACAGGCGGTGACGCAGTGGTGTGGGCGGGACTAACGGGCGACGAAGTCCCCACTGCGCATGCGTGCTGCAGCATATTTCATTTTTGCTGCGCAGCCGAACAGCCCTAGGGCCCTGATATACAGCCTGCACATCAGGCATCAAAACTAGATTTTAATAAGAAAGTGAATTGATTGAGGTTAGTGGCTTTCCCTGATCTTTCTTCTATTTCGTCATGTTCCAAAAAAAGAAATATATTGATGTTTTATAAAGCTGAAGACCTCGAGTACTCTGTACTGATACCTGTAGTCCGTAGGGTGACACTGACACTGTACCATAATCTGAATTGGCTTTAAAATTTCATGAATCAAATAATGTAGGTAGGTGCGGTAGGTGTATGCATTGTCTATGTTTGCGAGAAATAACAGTGAAAGAAGCTTTAAGTGATTTTTTTCATTTCAGTTTAAAATAACCACAGTCGGGCGCACTGTGGTATCCCCGATTCATTTATGGAGACGTTTCTATTAATGGAAACGTTTCCAATTTTGACTACTCTTCTGTTCCAAAAATGGAAACGCTCGTTCCATAAATAGAAACGCTAACATCTCCGCACATATTTTCTTGCCAAGGGTGGCTGGATTTGATGTATAACAAATGTTTCGCGTAAAACAAGCTCAGATACACCAAAAGCGCTTGTCTTCTTGCATTGAAAGCTGTCGTATGCATTCAAATTCACGTCTTTAAAATGCTCCTAAATCGTATCCATTTATGGAGACTTAGTTTCCAAAAATGGAAACGCCGATGTTCCAAAAATAGAAACGATGAAGTTTAAATGTGTGCAAACTTAGCTTAAATGTGTTTTTAAAATTCACATGCAACTAAAAATTTGATGTTTTGGGACTGGTTTAGCATCTCAGCTCTCGGCAGTTACCTTGGACGTCGGGTTCGATAATAATACATTACGCGCCGCAACTTAAGCACATTCAAAAGTCAACTAAAACTAAGATTTCCCAGAAACTACTGGACAGATGTGGTCCAAAGTGGGCAATACATAAAGCGTAGATATCATTTCAATATATAAAATTGATATCAATGTTACACATGAGCTAGAATGAATAAATTCATCGTCAGAATACAACCATATTTGGTGTGACGACGGTGCAGACCTTATTTCCATCCTGCTTTTTACGTATTTGCACAGAAATTTACGTTGATCCAAGCCTACGATCATATTCAGCACATTTGAAATATCATAAAATGCCCACTTAAGTCTCCAAATAGGGCTTTGCAACAACTTTCATGCGATTTAATCAAAGATTGACGACCACCAGGCCGCTGGTACACCGGAAAATGCAGCATGAAAATGAATGAAAAACTGAAGTTCCCGGTGATGTGGTTGTTCCAATCAATGGGCAAGTCTTTCAGTAGTCTGTTAAAAACGTTATTTTTTGTTCAAAATATTCAAAAATGTTATTATTTTCGATTAGAAAAACGTGTGAATTTTTTATCACGTCAACATGTTATAAGCATCGCCTCGTTCGTCAACTTTCGGTTTTCTGATCGGAAAGTCGGAGAACAGGAACATAAACTAGAATGCTGGCTGTCGATTGGTGGCATCCTGCGCATGCCAAATTGCACAAATCAATGCCCAGTTTGTTTTAAAGGTAGCGATGCACGCAGCGTCTCCATTTATGGAACAGACCGTTTCTTTTTTTGGAAACGGCGTATCCATTTTTGGAACGTTGTTCCAAAAATGGAAACGTTTCCATAAATGGAACGGAAATACCACAGTGTGCCCGACTGACCATGCTTCTAAAATATGTAAAAAGAATGACAAATGACAATATTCAAAAACAAGAACAGTATGTAGCTTTCAATGGACTTCTGAAAACAGGGCGCCAGAGGACATATCCAGTCATGTGACCACTAAGAAGCTATTTCCCTTCCTAAATCCTATGCCTTCACAGGCCAATTAGCATGTGCTCTGTGCAAGTGAATTTCAAAAGCATTGATCCAATCGCCCCAGGTGCCCTGATTTCAGTGTCCACCTAGCTTTCAGCAAAAAATGCCTTGATCTCCAAAAGCTGAAAGTTCTGTAGGTCCCTACTTTTCTTGGGTATATGTGTAGATGAAGTTCGAATGGACACAAGGTAGATTGGTAGGTTGTAGGTTCAAGGTTGGTAGGCTGGAAGTTAAAGGTTAGTATATAAAGTTAGGTATGGTTAGATTCTTTTTTATCTTCACCAAACCAAACTTCATCTACACATTTACCCTTTTATTGTGCATTTGAATAGTAGGTATTGCCATTTTTATATAAAACTGTCACAGCATGATACAATATTCCTAATCTTTAATATCTTTAATAGGTATTGTAACTGCTGACAGCCTAGGTACCCACCTACTTTTTTCTGCAGCCAAAATTGTAGTTTTTTGTTGTAGCAATCCACCTCTGTCTGTGTATTATTGTGTGGGCTGCACAGCACAAATCCTAATAAACATCTGTTTTATCACAGCAGAAATGGACAGTGAACAAGACATTTCCCCAGCTGTGGAGGAGCAGAAGCCGCCACCACTCTGGAACCAGCCTGAACAGGACCTGGCAAATGGCAACATGCAAGTTGATGATATATCTTACATCCCTGCTGAAATGAAGAGGCACTTGGAATTCATTGACATAAAACAAGGTATGTATGAAATGTCTTGAATGTTGATGGTGTTGGTCTATGGTATGTTTGTCAGCAGATTTAATGTGGTGATTAATAACTGTTGTGTTTCTAAGCCAGTGTTTTGCTCAAGTTTTTATGGTCCCATATTCTCAATTCAGCCAGTTCTGTGAGCTTTTTACCACAAAGACATCCAGAATGAGACACATGGGAATGGGTCTGTAATTGTATTACAATGAAATGTGAATGGGCCTGTTGCAATGAAATGCATGGTAAGGTCTGATAATCATGTGGTAGCATTCATATGATATGGTTTTTCTTTGGGGTGCTCACATGATACAGCTCAAACCAATATAACCTATTAAGTTCATCACCTCTGCATGCTTTCATAAACAGGTTGCATTATGTTTTGTGGAAATGTATACTATATTTACATTTATGCCCTTACATCATTTGTACATCATTCCTGGGTATCTTGGTTCTACTTCTGATCAGTGATCTTTCACCTTCCCCTGCTGACTTAGTCCTCTCTCCCTCACCCTCCCTACCTCTCTCGGTCTGTCTGTCGCCATGGTAACGGTCACAACGTTGGCAGACGGCCGTCTGCTGTTGGGCGCCTCCAGTCTGACGACCCGCTACTGGACCGGCGACGTGTGGCTGTTTGACAAGGCCTCGGACGCGCCCGACGTGGGCCGCTTCACGGCGGCGCGCGAAACAGAGAGCGGCGTGCCGTGCGGCGCGTTCATCGACGGGCTGGGCGTGCGCGCCGTGGTCGGTCAGGTGAGGCGCGGGGAGGACTGGGAGAGGGAGAAGAGGGAAGAGAGATGGTGGTGGGATTGTAAACGAAGCAAGAACTGTTCAAAGTAGGTACGTTTTCACGCTTCCATCTCACATGCTGTGGTGTTGGGTGGTTTCTGATGTTTTCGTCGCACCATGATGCTGTGTAGTTCAGGACTGCGGAGTAGGAGTCGACAGTTGTAACTGGAGTCGGAGTCGATTTTGGAAACCGCAGTCGGAGTCGGGGCCGCCGAAAATCCATCGACTCTGCAGCCCTGCTTCCCTGTATGATTTCTGACTTCCCTCCCCCCCCCCCCTTGCTGACAGGACCTGGGTATCGTCGAGGTGCTCGGCTGGGAGGCGGCCGAGGAGGGTACAGAGGACGACCGGCTGCTGGTCACCCACGGTCGGAGCGCGGCCGGCGACGGCGCCGTGCTGACGCTGGACACCCTGTCACCGGGCAGCGCGGCCGGCGGAGACGCCGACATGGAGGCTGTGCGAGCGGTGACCGGATCGTCAGACGGACGGTACGAACTGGCTCGGTGGGATGGGGCGGAACGAGAGGGGACGGGACGGTGGGAGACAGGGCGAGTGGGAGGGGCAATCGGAAGGGACGGGAGTAAGCGAGGGTAGGATGAATGTGAAATTTAATACTGCACGGAATGTCGTCTGAGCAGGGTGAGACGCGACGCGACTGCGATCCTAGTCCCTCTGAGCTCCCACTATAGTCGCGCCGCTTCCAGCGCCCGGTCACCAGCGTCCACCACTGAGCCCAGTCCCCGCCCGCCGGCAGACTGCACGTGTGGGACCTGGAGACGTTAGTGGCGGAGGTGTGCTACCCGGGCGCGCACCAGCACTCAGTGACGGGAGTGACCGCCCACCCGAGCCTGCCACACCAGTTTATCAGCTGCGGCCTGGACGGGGAGGTGCTCATGTGGGACACGCGCGCCGCCAAACCGGCCACACGTGAGTAAAGCAGGGTGAGAGGTGGGAGATGACTGGTGAACTATGAAATCGTCCATACTAGAGTGTAACGGGCTTTTGTTCCAGTCTCGGCGTTTTTTTTTTCTACTGCCGTCTGCGTGAATACAATCGGTGGTCTTAGCATGCTTTGACCACCATTCGATTACGGAGTCAGTGCCATTGCCGGGCTGTCCAGTGTCCTCAGGATGCCAAGTCTACGGGACACTGTCCGCGAAGCGAGTCCTGATCCCGTGTCTCACAGCTCTGCTCTGTCGGTCGCGGTCAGGTCTGGCGGGCGGCGGCGGCGACCGGCCGCTGTGCTGCGCCTGGTCGCCGACAGATAGCGCCACGGTCGCCGTCGGCTGGGAGTCGGGCCGCGTGTCGCTGCTGAATGCCGTCAGTGGCGCCGAGACGGCGGCAGCGCGGCGCGCGCGGCCCCTGCACCGGCTGAGATGGCACCCGCGCCGGCCGTGGGTGGCGGCCTGCGGCGACCAGACCGCCGTCGAGGTCTACTCGGCCGAACAGAAACTGAGACAACTGTGAGTGAACGGAGCTGTGGCAGAGGGAGGGGGGGGGGGGGGTGCATTTGGTATCTGTCATATCTGAGAGATAAATCTGTCATGGCTACATTATTTGTATCGTTCTCATACTGTGATTACGGTTCTGCATTTCCTAGAAGTGATAGATTATCGTTATTAGGTTCGCTGGCCGATATAAAATTCACATATTTGCAATCATTGGAAAAGTAGCTGTTTTATGTGCGTTGCCATGCCGAGCATCCGAATTTGGGTGCCTTTGATACCAGGCCGACCCTGTGCCCGTCTCTGACGCCCCGTGTCCGTCCGTTCGGCAGGCACTGTGATGACCTGCACGCCGACATGGTGCGCGGCCTGGCCTGGGCGCCTGACTCTGACACCCTCTATTCGTGCGGATGGGACCGGGCCGTGCTCAGCCGAACGGTCGGCTGACCGACCCGACCCGTGTCTGCCGCCGCGTCATTACCGTCATCAATACACATGTCCCTTCGACCTGTAGATTTATTTGTCCTTGGCATAGAGTCCTTCAATTTCATTGTCGTCACATGCAGTCGGCCGCCGCAGACGGCCTATAGGATCCGCCCCAGCGGCACAAGCCCAGCACCCGGGCCGCGCGCGCTCACACACTGGACCCAGTTGCACCCCGTACAAAAGTAAACAGCAGGAATGAACGGGCCCAGCGCGGCGACACGCCGACCCTCGGAAAGTGTCCACCCAATGTCTGCCGGATTCGCCGGGCACGGCGGCGGCTCAGCGGCCGAACTCTGTGGCGTCATCGTCCGTGACGTCGCCGTACTGCCAGATGTTCTTGTGCTCGCGTCGCGCGCGGTCCTGCGCCGCCTGGTAGTCGGCCACCAGTTCGCGCACGCGCGGGTCGCGCCTGGCGTCCACCATCAGCAGGCCCTCCTCGACCAGGCCCTTGGCGACGTCCTGGCCGGCGGCGCGCAGCGTCACGTACTCGAGCCCGTCGCGGTACTCGATGTTGAGCTCCACCTCTCGGTTGAGGACGTCCTCGCTGAGCGCCAGCTGAGACTCCTTGATCATGTCCTCCTGTGGACGGGTGCGGAGCGGTCAGCGCACTGCTAAAGGGGCACGGACCGGGGTGGAGGGGTGATCGCGCCATGGCGGGGTGGGGCTGGAGCGGCTACAGAGGTGCTGTGACAGAGGACAGGTCGAAACGGGTGACATTCAGGGAGAAGGGACTGAGATTGGGCAGTGTAATGGTGAAAACGGTGATATCTGCCGCTTCAAAAGGCGGGTCGAAAATGTGTTTTGTAATGCAATAAATGTGCCAAAATGTGCTACAGTAACGTGGCTTAAAGGCTAAGAAAACTAAGGCGAAGAACACAGCGATGAAGGGACGTTCCAAACAAAATAAACACTCAATCTAATCGTCCCAAACCCCACATCACATCAACCACCCATATAAACACCCCAGTGCCACTCCCCCCCCCCCCCCCCGACTCCTCCCACATCCCCACCCCGTACTGTACTCACGTCCTTGGGCATTTTGACGCAGGCGAGGCAGTACTCCTTGGCGTACCGGGGCGCGGCCGCGAACATGCCCGGCAGCGCCGCGCAGTCCGTCACCGGGATGGTCGCCCGGTTGCCGTAGTCCACGTAGATGACGCTCACCTGGCCCTGAGCGATCCGCTCCACGCGCGCCCGGTACCACTCGTTGTCGACGAACTTGGCGGCGATCTGGTCATCTGCGGCAGACACGGCGCACCGGTCAGCGCCGCTGGAGGAGCGGGAGCGGCGGGACGGCCGCAGGGGCCTGGCGCACGCCGGTAGTACGGCAGGTCGGGACAGAAGGATGTGGGGAGTTGTGGGCGATGGAGGGTCAGGAATCGGGTCGAGGGGTTGGCGAGGATTCATCAAAGCGAGGATGACGCGAGTGTGAGTCGAGGGGAACCCAAAAAAATTAACGGAATGATGAGTCAAGGGGAAGCATAACTGAGAGATGCGAATTACATCCGGTGACTGAGTAAACTACAACAAGGCCAAATAAGCGTCACAAGCAGGAACCATACTGGTAACGGTTGACGTTAAATAGCGAGGATTAAAATCACAAACACTGAATCTTCCAGCACGTGTTTGGTCAGCCGGCAAAGGATGACCTGCAACTGCTAATCCCTAACTTGGCAAACGGCCTAAAAAGAAGCCCCAAAACCACCACTGCGCGGCGGTCTGACCTCTGGACAGCAGTCACCAGACCGGGCCGGGACGGGGTACTCACTCTTTTTGGGCCGGTAGGCGCCGGGCAGCGGCGGGTTGGCCGCCATCTCCGCCCGCATCTTCTCCATCATGGTCTCGAGCTCCTGGCCCTTGTCGACGCTCTGCGCGAAGAAGCGGCACTCTTCGCCGACCTCGGTCACCACCACCGACTTGTAGTGCTCCTTGCGCTCGGTGGGCTCCGCCTCTGCGGCCGGCTCGTCGGCCACGGGCGTCTTCTCCACATAGTCCTTCCAGATCCCCTTCCTGGCCTTCTGCGCCTGCTCGAGCGCCCGCTGCAGCGCCGTGTAGTACTTTGACTCCTCGGCCGAGAAGTGCATCGACGAGAGGCCGGCGGCCACCAGTTCCACGGCCAGGTTCTTGTCGCCCAGGAACACCCAGCCGATAAAGTTGCCGCCCTTGTCCATCGAGTCCACCTCGATCTGCACCTCGTGCTGCAGGCACAGGTCGCGGGTGAAGGCGGCCGCCTCCTCGCCGAACGGCTCGGCCTCCATGGTGCCGGCGCCGCCGGGCGCCGGGCGCGCGCCGCGCGGACACGACACGCCCGCCAGCAGCAGCGTCACCAGGCACGTCTCGCGCGGCACGTACACGCGCATCCGAGAGCCGCTGGCCACGAACTCGACGATACCGTCGGCGCGACCGATACGCTTCAGGAACGGCAGGAACTGCTTCGACTTGACCAGGTCCCCGGCGCAGTCCTGCACCTTGACGGTGGCGTTCTCCTTCTTTCCGTACATGCCGTTGCCGCTCTTCTGGGCCTTCATTTCGGCGGCGAGCAGCGCGTCGTACTGGGACGATCGGCGCTCCTCGTCCTGTCGGTAGCGCACCACGGTGGCCAGGCCCTTGCCGACCAGCGCCTCGGCCATGTTGACGCCGCCCAGACGGACGGTGCAGCACGTCTTCTCCGGGTAGCCGTCAGACGCCGGCTGCACATAGTCCACGTGCACCTGCACCTTCTGACCGATCATCTTACGGCGGAGGAACTCGCGCGCCTCCCACATGAACGGCACGTCGTAGAGGGGCCGCACGCGTTGCGTCCGCTTCACCTCCTGTCCCTCCTTGTTCTCCATGCGCGGCGGCCGCACCGACGACAGGAAGATCTTCTTGGTCGAGTTGTCCGGCATCCGGATCACGAGCGCGTCAGCGTTGACGATCTCGATTACCTTGCCCTGGATGTCTTTGTCCTTGACCGAGCCCTGTGGGAACCAGTGACAGGTCAGGCGCGCTGCTTGTCGCGCACTTCTACAGGCTAGAAGCTGTAGAGCTCGACACTGCATATAACAGCAGTGAACCGAACACGAACGCTGACACCTGATATACACATAAAATAAAACTTGTTTAATACGCCCATTGCAAAATTAGTATTGTCAAGATCTATGGGCAGTGTGTATCAATTATGAAACATCGTTTTTCACACGGGGCTCGAATGTCACGGTCAGACAGTCTAGCTTCTATCCGCTCCTTCATCAGCTATCATCTCACCATGGAGGCCGGCTTGTAGTCCTTCCATATCCGGAGTTTCTTCTCCTTCGCGGAGCGCTCGGCGGCTCGCAGCGTCTCGGCTCCCGCGTGCGAGTGCGCGATCGACCAGTCGACGCAGCGTGCGAACCCTTCGCGCAGCAGCAGCTCGGCAATGTCGCCGTTCTGGAGACGGGCGACGGGTCGTCTAGTCAGTGGATGGACGCGCAGGCGGAGGGTCAAGGAGGGAAAACGTCAAAAGTATCGGCAATTGAAGACTGTGAATGGTTCTATGAAATGTTCTTAAGAACCTGAACACGAAAGAAGCGGAAAAGGATACCGACAGTCCGCTGTAGATTCTCGACACTACACCGACAGCTTTCAGCGTGAAATAGCATCGTTTTGTCTCAAACCGAACAAGCTTCGGGCAAGCCATAATTTATCATCCCTTACATGTTACAGCTCGGCCCAAACTCAGCTCCCCTGCAGCCTGCCCCAGCCCCGTCAGCCGCCCGTCTGCCCGCCCCGTACCGGGTGGAGGACGCTGCCGATGTAGTTAGCGTTGTTGACCGACTCGAGCACGATGGTGACCTCACGCTGCAGCAGTCGAGACTCCACGAAGAAGCGCGCCTCCTCAAAGTACGGCTCGGCCAGAGACGGGTCCGGCTTACCTGAGTTAGGGGAAAAGGGATGTCAGATAGGCCCGGGCGTCTGTGGAGTGAGTGGGACTTACTTATAGAAAACCCCACTCGTGTATTGTGTCTTAGCTGGGGCAATGGTGATGAGACAGATCAGCGGCAACATAGATTTACTTCTGTGTTCCGGTCTAAGGCGGCAGCTTTGTCAACTGATGGGTGTGCGAAACGGAGCGGAGCAGCGGCCAGTTTTCGATGTGTAAAACCACATATAATACTAGTGGGTCGTTTAATCGACAGACCAGACCCAACCTTCACATCCGATCTTTGATCGGACCAGAGCTGACTTTCACTGTCCGCCCCCGGCCAGACGCGACCTTTTCGCCGTCAAACAGCGCGGCGGCCGGTCGGTGTGGGTGTCCAGACGGGTCGGGCGGGCGGCGGATCCAATCGATACCTCTCCGGTCGGAGACACCTCCTTACCCTGCAGCCCTCCGGCGGCGCTGCCTGAGCGCCTCTCACCGGCCACCCCGCCAGTCCCCGGCCGGGGGGGGGGGGGGCAGAGCACTGCCCTTCCCCTGTCACAGGTCACTCCCCAGTCCCCACTGCTAGTCCGAACAGCAGATGAACGGCCTTTCTGCTGGCTGTCTATGAATAGGGTGGTTCTCCATAGCCGTGTGCTGTATCAATCAGTCGTCTATTGATCACCCATCGGTCTATGAATGACTAGACTACATCAGACTCTTTGACCATGAATATGAAACCGGCTCCGGGAGGAACTCAATGCAGCTCAACGGAGCCTCGACTTCTCCCACAAAACAAGTGCATAGTTACCCCTGCACCCCCCCCCCCTCGACCCGTACCCTGCATCCCTGTAGCTCTCACCGTCCGATCCCAGTTTAACGGTGGGGCAGCGCACGCCAGACAGCATCACCGTCACGTGATACATATCGGGCAGCAGGAAGGCGCGCAGCGTCGAGCCGTCCCGCACGTGCTCGATCACCGCCGGCACCGGCTTGCCGCCGAACTTTTCCACCAGCACCCGCGGACTCTCCACCGACCAGATGATGTCACGCACCTGCGACTGAGGGGACGAAAAGAGGTTAGGGGAGGCGGCGCCGGGGCGAGCAAAGGACAGATGTGTCTGTGTAAGGAATTCAGAGGGTGAGAGCAGAGGTAAGCTGAATCAGGTGCGGGCATTGACGGCATATTACAACAAACAGCATAGGAGGTAGTGACTCGGCTGGTCACCTTTAGCAGTATCATTTAAAAAATCATGCTCAAGTAGGCCTGGAATTTATGTGTTGTGAGCAAAAATGTAAGCGACTACAATAGAAACAGACATACTGATAAGATAAGAGGAGAAACGGTAACCAAGTGAACGTCGCCGGCATTTGACAGAAAAACAAGGTCGTTGACCTCTGAAGATTCCAAATCGATAACCTAAATAGACGAGTGGAAAGATAGACGAACTGATACGAAACGCAGAAAGCAACAAGCCGGTAATTGAGAGGATATTACGATTATGTAGGCCCAGTCTCGATAATACGCGGTATAATACGCCAACGATCAACGAGAGCCGACATCGAGCATAGCGGAAAAGGTCCCCATTTCGTTCCACCTGACAATTACCTATTGGGATCAGTGAGGCTCTCTGAAGTTCTAGCTTTGAAACTTTTCTCATAGTGTAAATCGCCGGTAATGAATTCGCTACATGAAATTAAGGGCAACAGCCGCGCTTCGCTGCCAATACCAATCAAAACATGATTCGACTGAAAAATAAAATTTAGGGAAGTCACTTGGCAGCGGTACTCACGCTGGCGTCGGGCGCCCACTTGCCCTTGCCGGCCGCCTTTGCGTTGTCCTCGAGCTCGATCAGTTTGGCGGCCGAGTCTCGTAGGTTGTCTCGCCGGACCTGCACCAGGCCCTCCGATACCAGCGTCTCGATCACATTCTCACCGGTGGCGATGTCTGACGGGAACAGGGGAGGGTGCGGGGAGGGGGTCAGCGGCACCTAAACGGAGGGTGACCATGGCACAGGGTCGGGGATCCGACGCACAGCTGGGTCGAGGAGGGGGGGAGGGGTCAGCGGCACCGGGAGGGGGATCACAGGCACAGGGCGACTAAGGGAGCGGCACATGGTGGGGTATCTGACTCACAGCTGGGTCGGGGGGGGGAGGCTTGGAGGGGACGGTCAGAGGCGTCGAGACGAGGGCTAGGTTATATAACACGTACGATGAAAAATATTCATCTGTTACATTAAGTTCAAGCCACCTCGCCCGGCGCTACCGGCATTATTTTATCTCACCGTTGCCCAGGTAGACGTGGCCGTACTCTCGGCCCGTGTTTGTGGACGTCTCGATGGTGAAGAGCACCTCCTTGCCGACCAGCTTTTTGCGCAGGAACTCCCGGCTGGCCCAGGCGCACGGCTCGTCGGCGGTGGCGTCCGTGTTGCCGGGGCCGCGCCGCGCCGGCCGCGGAGCCGTCACATTGCTGAGGTTCAGCTGACGCTCCTTGGGCCGGCCCGTGCGCGGCTGGCTACGGATCGTGATCGCATCTCCAGAAAGAACCTGTGGGGGCGGGGCATAGGTCACAGATGAGCTCTTCGAGAGTCGGACAATGAATTAAGTCATCCAGAATGTCTACAGTGGGGTAGGCTAAAGGCTGGATGACAATGCACTGGAACAAATTGTGACCATGTGCAGGTGCAGTGCTTAAGTTGTTGAATTTAAATAATAAACTATTTCAATTTTCACTAAATCATTGTGAGCTCCAAAGTTATGGAAGTTTAGTAATAAAATTAACATTTTAAGCTATGGTATTAGTGGGGATTTAGAGAAAATCTAAAGCTCATGAGAATGTCTTATTATTGCATGAAAAACCATTGAAGTTCAATATTGAACTATAAAAATCAAACATTATTAGTAGATTTTGGAATCTCGTAACAAATTGCCAATCAGAAAAGAACAAAGCTTAGCAGCAGCAAGGATTTAAAAGGGTTTCAATTTATTGTTTCATATTAATTCAGCTGAGAAAAAAATATTATAGATCATACCCACAATGTGGCCATTAATCTAAGTTTTTTTTTAAGCAGACACAATACAAAAGTGCAGAAAAAGTGCTATATAAAATGCCTTAAAGGTACAAAATAATTCACTTATTCTTAATCTAATATTCTGCAAAATTAACAGGGTCATGACAATAATGTTGACACTCAAGGATAAGTAAGAAAAAAAAAACATGTAAGATCCAATTTATTCGAAGAGTTCAATGACCTCAATCCAAAACCATTTTGTAAGCGAAGTTTTGGTGAAAATCAGAGTATACCAGAACTAAGTATCAAGCGCCGTTTGACTCAAAAGCAACAACAATTAAAACACAAATTGAAAATATTAAATTAAAACCTCATCTTGCTGAATTTTCACAAAGCAATGATCAGCTGTTCAACGGGACAACGTGGTCGCGGCTAGAACTACGGCTATCACAAAAAGATAAAACGAATGTTATGACCACATAAATTTGATTTCCCAATGCTAGGAGAGCCTTTCATTATAATTACACCCCTGGAATGTTGTAGAATTGCATACCTGCTTGCAGATTCCTCTAAAAACAGTCGGGGTCTGGTTCGGAGCGGTCATGTCTGCGGGGCCGGTTGGTCGTAAAGGCGGAGTGGCGAAAGCGGTGGGACGGTCACGCAGCCGGTGCCACCTGAGCCGCTCTCAGACGGCCCGATTCGGCCTCTGGGAGCCCGCAAAGAGCTTGTTCGCTGGTTTCATCAGGTGGAAGCTGGAGGAATATAAAGGTTTGTTACAGGTTAGGCATCGAAATTGCATCTTTTTCCGAAACAGGCCGTGAAAATGCATGGTGATGTGGCACCAGTCACGGCAATAATCGTTATACGGCGACATCTAGCGGTGAGCGGAATCAACCTTTGGTAGTACTTATGCTCCCTAGATGGGAGGAGCAAACATTCGGTGAAATAGATGTCGCCACTCTACGGGATAGATCCGATCAGAAACATCGTGAACTGGAATAGTTGTGGGGTGGTTGTGGGCCCGATCGATACTTAAGCTAATCAATTAGACACCCAATTAAGCATCCAGCTCAATCATGGAACTGATGCATCAACCCGAGATCAAGCCGATGACATCCGTCGACCGTCAGATTCTCAGGATCTTCCCTGAATCTGAATCTCTTATACGGCCTTGGATCTTCCGGTCTTCTGACTAGAAGGCCTCGTCTTGATTATTTCTGTCCTAAGGGTAAGATAAATCTAAATCAGTCACCATTCAGGCCATTCTGATTCAGGCCAGTAGTTCGGTAAAGGCTCTGCAACTCTTCTGACACCCAACACCCCAGATTACACGGGCCCCATACGGGCCCACTCTTCAAACGGATATTTCAGAGAGAAATCTTGTCGCGCGCAATCTTCGCGGTGTTGCTCTATCAAATAACAGCACCACGGTATTTAAAAGACTGGCAAACATGTCAATCAACGGTAATCAGATCAGAGAATAAAAATAAATTCCGCCAAAATTCGGATTAGCAGAAACAAGTGCGCAGTTTTTGTAATATAAAGATGTTCAGGGAAAAATACGTTAAATAGAAAAGCTAAAACGTTGCCTAGCAACAGCCAATTGTGATCAAGCTGTACCTGCTCACGATAGTTATCTGAGAAGAAATCTGCTAGCGCTCGTTATTTTTTTGCATATTGAATAGACTGATGTTTGAATTTCTAACTGTGTCTCATGCTCGCGCTTTTTCACTTACCAACGTGACGAACGGGAGAGAAGACGTGTTTTTGGTGAGATGTTGTGCCTATTATCGCTATTTTTAAGATTATTTATTCTTAACTACCCTGTTTAGACCAACCAAGGCATTGATATAACATACCAACCAACCAACCAACCTATAGTTCGTTTTTTTCAACACAGGCCTGGCTCCAAGTTCAAGTTCGTTTTTTGACTTGGCAATCGCACACGTTTTAGCCAGCAAAAAGGGCAAAAACAACCTGAGAAAATTGAGTGTCCCCTAAGCTTAACATGTGAATTATTCCTGATAGTCCTTGCATGCATTATGAAGCTAGATACAGCAGTGCTGATGTCATGCTGTCAGACAGAGACTTGCATGACAACAGTATACCTACCTAATTACCATTGGCATGAACTGCTTACTCGATTATAACCTCAGTAACAATTGTCAATTAGTTACGCAAGGGAAGAGCTATGACATAGCTTGGTGGCAAACTTAGATGGCAAACTTGATTGCAAACTTATTGTGTAAGCAGTACATTTCAATGTCAGTGCCAGACTGGCATATATAAATACATTTCAATTTATGGAATATAAAATTTTGTTCATTTGTGCATAACACTACATTCAGTTTCAATGGTTAACATTATCTGTTGATGGTTTGCTCTTTTCAGATGCATGAATCTGTAATTATTTAGAGATGGACCTGTCCGGACTGAGCAATGATGAGCTAGCTCACCAACTCCGCTCACATGGTGTCAGCCCTGGACCTATTGTGGGTGAGTATTTTACATTAGGCCCATTTTAAGGGTTACTGCCAACCTTACTTTCTTACATGGATCAGGATGACAAGTGCTAGCCATGATTATCTCCCTCTTTCCCCTGTTCTCATCCCTCTCTTTCCCTCCCTTTCACACCCACTCAATCACTTTCACTTTGCACTTGTCCCTGCTTCCATCTCCCCTGCTGTCAAGGTGACCTGTCGTCCCCTCAGGCTCTACGCGGCGCCTCTACGAGAGGAAGCTGGCCTCTCTGATGGCTGACGGTCGCCCCGACGGTCCGGCGGTGTCCCCGCAGAGTCCGGCGGCGGCCAGCGACGGCGGCGCCGCCAGGAGGCGACTCGGAGGCGGCTCGGACGGTGAGACGGGCGGACGGACGCGCTGTGCGGTGTTAGTGCGATTATATAGGATTATTCACATCGAATCATCAATACTGTGTAGCATGTTTGTGTGAACTATGAACATGATAGTTCACAAAAGCATTGCAATTGGCAATAATGATATGTACGGCCCTCCAGCAGAAGAGTGGTTGGTTAGCCTATGTGCTTAATTTGGTGTAATAACTTCGAATGACGGAGACACTCCTGTAATATGACTCAATGGAAACGAGAAGAGGGTTCGTGCACACTGCACACACTTCGGCAATGGTTTTCAACAGCCATTAGATGTATTCATAAATGCAGATCGCTTATTGTGATGTTTGCAACCAACCACTTGATACCTGGAGGGCCGTACTACTGGGATGTGGATTAGGAGAACGGTTCGCTTGGTAACTGCTTTGATCGGAGTACGGTTCACTGACGCCAGTGTGTAATTATTCTGGTTAGGGGCAGACCGTGACCTTTCCGGGCTGGACCCCAACTCGCCGGCGTTGCGTCCAGTGTTTCTGCGGGACGAGACTGACCAGCCGAGCCCGCGGCGGGCAGTCAGTGACCTGAGGGGGTCACCCACCCGGGTCAGGGACCTCAGCACCGCCCAGCTCAACAACAGGTGGGTGTCTGATGCGGTTGCGAAGGACAAGGCCCTAAAAGACGACTGAACTTGCTCCCTGTCGTGAACTGGACGCTGATGACAGATGCAATACTGTCGTTCAATGAAGTGCACACTGCACATCCCTGGTTCATCCTCCCTCATGCATCGAAACATAAATGATCAGTACCTGGTCGGACGATCGATGATTGAACCTTTTACAGGTTATATAAATGTTAGTTTGAGATGATAACCGCTGCATGTATCATATATGCACAGAGTATTTATTTGGCTAGTTGTATAACTTGTGACTTCGATAAATTAAATCGCATCACCCACCATCTCGATCACAAGCCAGATTTTCGACGGTATTTGATCTATTTTATGCTCCCCTACTTGGCTCCTCGCTTTTCCCACCATATTTCCCACAAATAATGGGCCCACGAGCCGATCTGACGGCGCCCCGCGTTCCGTTGCAGCCGCTCGGGGGTCGACTCCGTGGCAGACTATGAGGAGGAGCTGAGGCCGTGGGTCCGCCAGTTCATCAAACTGCTCATCCTACTGACACTCGTGGCCGCCGGCTATTACGTGTATCAGGTGAGGGACGTCTCAACGAATCACCCTCGTGGCCGCCGGGTAGTACGTGTATCAGGTGAGAGTTTTCTGCCAACGAATTACCCTCGTGGCCGCCGGCTATTGCGTGTATCAGGTGAGGAATGGCACCCGGACCCGACGGATAACCAATACTGAACCGTGCTGTTAGATTCGTGGAACTTATGTTTCGGGCTTCATTGGGTTTCGAAATATCCACGATAAAATCGCAAACCCCGGTTCGCAAACCCGTATAAATCGGCGCAAAATGACCACCGCAGTCGACGCGCCCTAAAGCGCTAATAACAACAGCAAACCCGCATTCAGCATCGATTTTTTGTGGTTCACGAGATCATTTATGTTCGGATTGGTCCCGCATATTAACGCCTGTATTTGCTTTCTATTGATCTTATTATAATAAATCAACTCAATTTAGATAACGATTCATAAGCAAAGCGACATTGATAAAGTATCGAACCCTTGAATGTGTTGTTTCCGCAGAACGGCGCCGACTGGCCGGCGGTGAAGTACCTGCAGGAGACAGCCCGCGCCGGCCCCGCCCCCACGCGACCCCCGCTGGTCGCGCCGCCGCCGGCTGCCGGCGTCAAGGACTAGCCACGCTGCAACCGACCGCCTCAGGGGGAGGTGCCCTCGCCATCAGGGTCTGCCGATCGGCGCGGAGCGCGGCCCCGCCGGCCGGCAGGGCGAGCCAGAGGAGCCGAGAGGAGTGGAGCGCGGGGACCGCCGGCAGCAGTACCGTGCACGAGTCGCCCGGGTTTTAACGAACACTTCACTGCCGGGCACTCATCATCCAGAAACGCCCGCCATTGCATATGATCAATAAATCGCTACGTTGTATTGTTGTCACGGTGTTTTCAGCGTTACGAGCTGTTCAGCGGAACTAAATGTGCCCGACAGTTCTGTAATATTATGCACGTTTTAAACAGCGGCGTGCTGAAAATCGTACGTGATCATTCTGTGGTAAAGCTTAGCTAAGGATGTGGAGATGGGTGTGAAACTCATTCTGAAATATAAACGTACAAATTTTGGAAATCCATTTATAATTGCGAACACGGAACAGCCGTGACCGATCCGCGTGGACATCAAAGCAAAGCCCGAACCGGTTCAGCTAAGCTGTAAAGTCTGTCGCGCGGACCTTGGACTTTTCGCCTACAATATTTTTGGATTTTCTGGACTGCCGAGCGTTGAAAATCCGGTATTGGTAAAATACCGGATTACTGCTATGAAAACGAATTACTGCTATGTTAGTCAATGGTACTGCATCCAGCCCACCTCCATCTTCCCGGCCTGGACCCCCCCTCCCTGAAATTTTGACAGATCTCCACCCCGTGCTTGGCTCGTGCTTGAGCCTGCCCAGCCTGCCTGCCCAGGGCCGGCCAGCTGGCCCACGGACTGGAGGGTGCTGCCGCCTGGCGGGAATCGCTGAAACAGTACGCCGTAAAATATAGAGCTCAATGCTTCACTTACTAAAAAACATTCCTTATTGTAACTGAAGCAATTATGCCGGATTTGTAATTAAATGTACTTTTTGAAAACTAATTTGTTATTTTCATAACATCGTTCTGGTCCAAAAATGTGACCTTGATGCGCAAGAACTTCTGGGTGTCTGCAGCTGTTTCCCGCCAAGACCCGCCATTAGTTTACGTTGAGAGGCGGTATCGGGGTCGGAGTGTTGTAGTGTTGTTGTGATACGCGATTTTGGAGGCTGCGAGCCTCCAAAACAATTAAAGTGATACATTCGCGACATTTCTGAAGAATCATGCACTCGGGTACGGCAATAAAACGTGATTTTGACGATATATCGGACAGCCAGGACGAACTCGCCGGCAGCGCGTGCAGGTGGGTTGGGGTGGTGCCGGTGATGGGCAACGAGAATGCCTTCTGCTTCTAGGGAAATTGCGGGCAATCCAATGGAAGTGGCTGACTATGCTTATCTCTGAATTAATCCTAGTACCTTCTTTATTATATTTGAACATGTTACTGGATGATATTCGGGATATTTGTTCGGCATGGAAAGCAGGTAAATGAGCAACAACCGCGGCGCTTGAATCACAATACCAGATGCCTGATCTGGTATCACAATACCAGCCTGATGTACCAGGTACATCAGGCTGGGCTGGTGAGTTGGAGCGGCGGATCGGATCCTGAACCGCGCGATTATTTATTTATTTTTTTTTTGGGGGGGGGGGGTTGGTTGTTATGGTCGTTGCCCATCTGCGGGAAGAGTTTGTGGCCTCTGGCCCTCTGCACTGGAGTCAGAGTGCAAGTGATGGTCGAGGGGGGATTAGGTACAGCTGGCTGCAGCTGGTAATGGGGACTGGGGAGCAATCTCAATCGGTGAATCGTAAAGGCAAGATCGGAACACCTAAATGCAACGCCGGGTATCAGTGTGTTGACGTGAGGGTCAAGTCTCTCTAGCCTGCTCTGGGTCACGGTGACCTTATCATCATTACAAAACAGTACGAGTCGATACAAGCCGTGCCATATGTTTTTGTTTTGTTAGTGGTCAGGTCAGATCAGGCCCTCTCGTTCTTTTGCAGTGGGAGGCATTTCAGAGCACTGGTTGAGGTGAGAGGATAAGACGTACTGTGAGGCGGACACTAGTCAGAACAGCCGCTGAGTTCATCTCAATCCCGTGGAGACGGAAATGCCCCAGCCGGAGAGGACATTTGGCCACGTGAACGGTCATGCCGAAGGGGTATGCTGAACGCCCTTTTAGAGGCGCCCTTTCCAATTGTTGGGAATGGTTGATGTCAGCTCGGAACTCTGAATTGAATATGAAATCTAGTGAGAGAATGGGTTGCAGGGATTGGGCGAAAGAAGATAGATGACGGATAACCCACGCGGTGACTCGGCAGTGCCTTCTGGATAACCCCGGCTGAGAACGATATACCCGTGTTGTTTATTGCGATTGGAGGGGGCGTGGCGCGCTGCCGCCAGCAGGGTCGTGTCGAGACAAACGGAGACGTTAAAGTCCCCCACCAACCTGTCCGGTTTAACGTAACTTTTGCATCCCGGCCAAAATTGCCGGGTTAACTGTCCCACCGCTCGAGACTGGCGCTAGGCTGGCCGAGCAAAAAAAATGTCTCCTAGCACGGAGCATTGATGCTCGATCACATATTCCAACTCACCTAGGTACTTGGAACAGAGTTCGATGAGTGCGGCCGTCGTTCGAGCCGTTCGAGCCATAGCGCCTTTCTCTTATACACTGAAAAAAATTTTTACTCACTTTTCTGAGTAATGACTGAGTTGCCATTTTGTCCAATGGTAAAACTCACTCTAAATCCGCGTACTCAGGTAAAACTCAGGGCGGAACGCAGGTAAAACTCGGGCAAAACTCATTGCAAGTGAGTAGCATGTGAGTAACAAAGTGAGTTGCCATTTTGTCCGATGGTAAAACTCAGATAAAATTCAGTAAGTACTCATGCGTAACTCATGTCCTACTCAGACAACTCAGGCCAAACTCAGGTATTAGTAAGTCATTACTCATGAAAAACTAGGAAGTAACTCACATGTAACTCAGCTGGTACTAATGTATAACTCAGGTGGTAGTACGGCCATAACTCAGTTGGAACTCATCGGTTATTCAGTGAAAACTAGGGCTGTACTCAGGACGTACTCACGTCGATAACTCATACGATACTCGGGTGTTACTCAGGCGCCGCCTGAAACGGCTGATCTGATTCGTTTTATATTGGCTCAAGCCAATGTATAGGCTCGCCGCCCATGATAACAGCTGCCGCATCAGCATTATGCAATATGCATGCATGATGCTCATACAACAGCCACTACCAGGCAGCTAGTCTATATATTGGGATTGGCCAATATATAACGAATCATTGCCCAAAACCAGCATACATATCTGTATTATACCATGCCCGACCAACGTCTAGTCTTGCACTATTCGCCCCAGCCCTTACAAGAAATACATGTTTGTAGAAACGGTCGCATTGCGCTGTATTTCAATTCTGACACACGCCAAACTGCGTCGGGGGGGGGGGGGATCGACTCCACGTCAGCTCAGCTTCACTCTTTTGCCAGCTTCTCGACCTCAGTCTTCGCGGCTACAGGTGGCTGGCGCTCAGCATTGAATGGTGTGTGGAGCACATGGATACACACAAACCACAGCGTGTTTCGCACTTTGTGCGCCGTTTGTTGACTGAGCACAAAGTGCGCCGTCGCCCACAGCAAAAGACTCCCTTCCAAACCATGGATCCCCACAAGACTTCCGTTCGCTCCACGATGAGGCGGCACCGTTCGTTTTCTTCGGACTTGTTATGATAGGGGTGATCCAAATTTTCGTCACCCGTGTACGCCACCACTGACGCCTTCTCCGCCAAGATGCAGAGGAGGCTCAATGGGCCGTTCCCTGAAAACACAATAAAAAAAGTCAGATTTTCTTTTGCCAGTAAGAGAAACGGAAGTTATAGGGCATGCAAGGTGATTGAAATATCAAAAGTTATCAAGTTACTTCAGCTCAAAATTAATGTTAAACCGCGCCGTGCTGGTGCTCTGAGTTTACCGTGATGTACTGGGGGGAGGGGGTCGTCTTCACGTCCCCTCTTCTAACTCGGCTGTTGGGGTTGGGCCACGTAGCAACACGCCGTAAGCGGCTTTCGAAAAAGCATTAAAGATATTTAAGGAAATACTTGGGTAATTTTAAGGTCAAGTCAAGTGCCAGGTCACCAGAGGTCAGGAAAGGCCAAATTTTGCTTATTTCAATATTTTCGAAAAACTGGTGCTTAACTCGGAACCAAAAGAGCTGCCCGCGGAAAAATGCAGTCAAAGCCCTTTCGACTTTTTTTTTGCTGGCGTTTGATCTCAGATTTGACCTCAGGGTCAACAATTAAGCCTCCAGAGAGCAAAAACTCTAAAAAAGCAGTTTTTACCAAAATGTTTTCTGTAATACTTTCCACTCAAGAGTCACGACATTTATTTTGCCGTTAGCATAGTGTTCCTCTCGTCGGGACGAATGAACTATAATTAGACCTTGAAAGGCCATATTTAAAACTTGACCTTAGGTTGACCTGACCAGGTCATGTTGCATATCAGTCGATCCAAACCGTCAAGCTGAACACATATGAGGTGTTTTATTGCACTAGCAAATATATTTTATATGTACATGCCGTAAGGTTGATACTTGAGACATGGTGATGGGACAGTATCAAAAACGCTATACAATGAAATCCGTTCGATATTTTTTTGACATTTTACCTCAAACTGGTGTGAAATCGAGCGGTGAATTCCCTGAGCGAAAATGACAAAAATATCGAACGGTTTCCATGGCACGTTGCGAACGGTGCGATCGTCAGCGACCATTGAAATTTTTCCGATGTTAAGTCATTTGACGTGACCTGACCTTGAACGACCTGGGTCTAAAATTTCTTCACATGGAGAAACAAATGTATGAGCAGGTGTGCCGAAAATGGTGGCGCTGCGCGCCGCCGTTCTTAGATATTCGCGAAAAACCTGAGGGGGCGGGGTGGGGGGCGTAAAACGCCACCCAGCACAGCGCGGGTCAAGGTCGGATGGTCACCTTAACAGTCGGGTTTTAGTCTCGCAAAACACTTCCATGGGCGTCCAATATTAAAATCAGCTTGAAACAATCACATAAAATGTGTTATACTTAACAGTAATGGAAATAAGCATGTCACGTCCAAACGCGTCTCGCCGCGGTATCTAATAATCTAATATGTAAGGAAGGTTGAAAATGCTCGCTGAAATCGAATAGTGTACGAAAATATGTGTGTAGGCATTAAAAAAAAAACAGTCGGAAAAAATAATAACAGTGGAAAAATAATAAGCACAAACGAGACAAAAGAATCTTAAACGGTTCAGCGAGCGGAATTAAGACCATGGGCTCCACCACCGGGGGGGGGGGGAAGGGTACGGGGGACGTGTCCCCCAATATTTTACATTTTTAACATTGTGCCTATGGGTGCTGCATGGAAAGAATCGACTTCAAACCACCTTCGCCCCCCCCCCAAAAAAAAACATCGGGTCGTGACGGAGTTCTTGTTTAAAGAAGTAAAAAGGGTCAAATGAACGTTCTTTTAGGATAAGGACAACATTATCCCACAAACATGTTTTTTTAACCCTCGCATGTGTAGGGGGGGGTCGGATTGACCCCCTTTCCCCATGGTTTTTCGCGAATAACTCGCGTAAAAAGCGGCTGATCGCGACGAAACTTTCAATACCATCGCATTGATCAATTTTACACCTACCCTGAAACTTTCATGACCCTGACCCAAATGACCTTTGACCTGTGACCTCTTTTCCGAGACCATGTTTGGCCGGAATCGCGATTCGGCGTACGTCGGCTCGCATTAGCCGCGCGTTTGCAAGCTTTTCGTGGTTTCAAACGTTCAAACATGTGATTTGATGTTGCTCCCATGCATTAGGGTGGGTGTCAAGGTCACCTGAAGGTCAGGTCAGGTCACTGACCTTTGGTGACCTCGGGTGACCTCGGTTCACTTTTTCGAGTTTTACATGTTTCTAGGCTAGTTTTTGGAGCTGAATTCGAATTTAACAACCATTTGAACATTTACGAAGTAGTTTTGGTGCCTTCGTAACATGTTACGAAGCTGTCAGAGGCGGTTGACACGTACTACGAATACCCGTCACGACGCCTACTGATTGACCTGACCTGACCTGACCCGACCTGGTCTAAATGCTTCAAGACATCATCTGTGATCAAAACTAACACGATATTCGTGATCAGTACCCCGAAAAACCCATTAGCAGCCACACTTTACGACTTTCTAATAGGTCCCGATTTTCCCGACTTTGGGTCATTGACCTGACCTGGAAGGTCAACCAATGACCTAGGACCTTAAAATTGGGTATCATCGGCTTCCTCTCGTCACGGGCAACACGCTCGTTTTTTCCGCGAAGCTCTAGCTCGATCAGGGGCTAAACGGCAAGGGGGGGGGTCCAACCGACCCCCCCCCCCTACACATTAGAAGCTGGAAAACGCCGCACACATGCAAGGGTTAAATTTAAATATAACATAACTCACCTCTTCTTTTTTCGAACTATGCCGGGTAGGTATCCCTCAGTTTCTCGATCGATCTGCTCCGCCGTTCACGGTTGGCACCGACCTCCTGACGCCGGCGGGGAATGTCTGCTGGTCCATCAGTTCACCTCCCTGTTCTCCGCGGCGCATGCGATTGATAAAAGCTTCATCGACAATCACCGAGCTCTTCACAGATAACTTACCCGTCCCATCCTTCGCTGCACGCCTTCCCCGCTCCTGCACTCTCCCGCACAATTTCACAATAGCCTCAACAATTCAACGTGAACTACGCGAGTCACCGCGCCACAACGGACTGAAGCGCGCGCCGCGGTTTTCGAACGCAACGGCTATAATACTCATCACGCGAACTCACGCATCACGCAGGACACTCACCCTGCCGCGCATGCGCGCATCTTCAAGCCGGGGGTACCTCACGCACAACTGCACGTGAATTCGCGAGAACTCATGCATTGCGCAGGAAACTAGATTTGCCCAAGCAAAACTCATTTCCGACTCAGTTCGAATTCACGAAACTAAGCACTCAGAAATCACGCATAACGAAGTCACCCTGGTGATGTGAGTTAGATCAGCCAATAAGTGAGCACCACTATCGTATTCACTGAGTTTCTTCATGAGTTATTACTGAGTAATGCCAGGCCTGAGTAAATTTTTTTTTCAGTGTAGACAGATGTCTCAAATCCGTGTTCAAATATAAATAACGCACCTGCTGTCTGTGCTTATCCTCAGTCATAGGCTGGACTTGGTTTTGTGCTGGGAGAAGCTCAAACATATTTTAGTCACTGCCATTGAGAAGAGAGACATTTAGACGTTACAAGTTCGCATTTGTAGGCATCGCATCAAAAGGACAAGTTGAAACACCGTATGAGACTCGACAGCCAAGACGCGAAAGTGCAAGACATCGTTGACACTAACGTGTCGGATTTTTGCGAATTTCCAGTGTGCAGAACTGCGTTCAGAAGGAGGTATTTCCAGTGTGCACTGTGCAGAGCTGCGTTCAGGTCATGGCCACTGAGACCCTCCCATTGGCTAGGTGATTTGCCATTTCTATTGCTCACCCCCTGCAGCACTTAAATCCCGCTCATTCTTTCCAGTTCTCGTGTTTTGACTAACTCCGAGGCCCGAGCTCTGGCTGAAAAAGTCAAATGGCCATGTCAGACCGATTGGTCCCGTTCAGTGAGGTTTGCGACTGATAAGCACTGCCGGTCACCTGTATCCTTTCCGCTCCCGCTCGTAGTTGTGTAATTGTAGGGTCATGATGCGTGTAATCATGGGGCTTGAGCTGCGTGGGTGCATCACCCCACCAAGTTCCCAATAAAACCGCATGGCTAGATCAGTCAGGCCAGGGCTGTCGATCCCTCTGTTCCATCGTTCGGCTGCGCAACACTTCTTCCTCCACACCTGAAACCGTTCCGGCCTAAACGGTTACCGTCGTCCGACCTGAGCAGCCCCCCTCTAGATAGGCTGAAGACCATGAACTTTGTCAGCGTCTTACTTGTCTGTTTCTTGGGCCTTTTTGAACTTACACGTGTAATTTAGAGGTCTTCCAACGATTGGTGGCTTGACATAGATAGGTATGAAGACTATTTGTATGAACGTTCATGTCAATCAGCTGGCGTTTGAGACACGTCATGACTGGGGCCAACTGGTTAAACAATGTCACGGCACGTAACTGAAAGCTGAAACAGAAGAGATGAATATTGGGAACGCGAGGGTAATATGCCGAACGTATGACTGTGTACCAACACAAGCACACAACACACCATTACTCTCTACCCTCCTCCTAGTTTCCATCATCCGTCTCGTTATGAAATGGTCTCGTACTGAAAGGCGAAAACCAGTCGGCGGGGGCTAGTCTGCTCACGATGTGTCATCACTAATGCAGGTGCAGGTAATGCGGTAATGCTGCCTTCTGAGCGATGTGGTTCACTTGCATGTGATTTTATTACTCCTGCGTGCCTGTGTGTCGTATAACTATGTTTCGCCTTTTAAATGTCACATTGTAGTCATACCAGTGTTTACTACATGGCCAATGCTCTAATTAGGTCCTATAGATAGATAAGCGCATGAGTCGGAAGTCCGATGCATCAAAAGTTGCTAGAAGAGTGCAGAATGTAATATATAGCCTTTCGTCCTATCCATAATATAGCCTCGATCATGAAATGAATTCGTTTTTTATGCCTATCTACAAGTGGCATGCCACTGACACGATGTGTCTGCCTTGGTTGGGTGTGTCAGTGACGCTATAGTGCAAATACCGCCCCATCCCATGTGCTGTTATTTGGAAATCAACTGGCAAATGGCTGTAACTCCTTCACAGTGTAGCTTATGCTCCCGCCCTCCCGTCACGTTGTCAAACAACGTGGTGCTTAAGAAAATAATCTGATACGATAAATTCGATATGCGAGTTGAAGTGTCCGCTAGAATTTGCTCTGCCTTATCTATTGAGATGTCGATGTTTGGGCAGGACAAAGTCAAGCGCCCAAACTTACAAAATGACCATACGCCCTCCTCAAGCTTTTCTAGATTGCGTTTTGTGAATGTACATAAAGTATTTTAAAATGATGATTGATAAATCGTAAATATATTGCAAATGAGTAAGGTTACCACCTTTGTGGTTCCCGACATCTATGCTCGTCATCATCGTGGAGCGAACCACTTGATAGTAGAGGGAGACATCCTCCTGAATCCGGACTGTAGTTATATCTCTTCGTGACTGTGGGTTTGTCGAAGTTAAGTCGCTATTACAGGACCATAATGAACACCGCCGTGCCGACAACTGACCTATCCCCATTTTCTTGGTATCAGCGGATGACTTCATCAGTCGTCAGCACAAAAGCTCCTACACGTCACGCCCGACCGCGCCCGTCAGCGTCGTCCACGTCAGCCGGCGCTCAGCTGACGCGTCAGCTGCAAGTCACGTGGGAGGCACAGCTGACTCCCCCTCCCCCTCCCCGCAGACTGGAGGACTCGGGGGGCGAGTCGGCGCCGCCGAGAGTCGCCATGGAACACGAGAAACGCATCCGCCGGGAGATCGCCAACAGCAACGAGCGCCGGCGAATGCAGAGCATCAACGCCGGCTTCCAGGCTCTGCGCTCCCTGCTGCCGCAGCACGAGGGCGAGAAACTGAGCAAGGTATGTCGCCAGCGTCCCATGGTGACCCATGATCAGTAGGCCGGTCTGGTGCCTGGCGCCCCCGGCCCACATCTCGCGGACGGTGGCCGGCCCGCTGCTACCACGGCAGCCGGCCGGCGCCGGGCACGTGGCGCCGACCCCGATCCCCGGCCGCGCCGGTCCGCGCCGGCCGCCGCCGCCGATCAGGTGGCCGGCGCGCCGCGTGAATCAGCGTCAGCTGGCCGGCCAGCTGACGGCCGCCGCCGCGCCGCCGGCGTAGCCTCTGCCCGGGCGGCGACAATCTTGAAAACAGTCGGCGCTCAATGGGGCGGCGGCCTTGTGTCTGGCGTCCGGGCGCGGTCGGCGGTCGATACGCGACTGTCTGGCCGGCCGGCGGCGGGCGGCGGGTACTACGGAGGAGGGCGGGCCGCCGCCGTAGTACGGAGGGTGTTTGTAGACACGCGGGGGGCGGGGCGCGCTGCCGGGGGATACCGGCCGCCGCGGTACCGGTACGGCGGGTCGGACGGCCGGTAGGGTGCTGTAGGACGGCGGCGTGGGATCTACGAGAGGAGGGCGCCGGGGCGCGATGGATGGCTGAAATGTGAATAAAATCTTTCCGGTTTTTGAAGTGGTTGACGAGTTTTCGACCGAACATTACAACATGACTCATGTTTTGGGGATGATACGCCAGCATGGGTCACTTGAAGTGACATCACCTCAGCATGATACCCTGATATGATACCATGATACCATGATACAGCATGATACCCTACCGGCCGTCCGAAACATTTGTCTTTGCGGCCATGGTCTGATGATTTTCACTGACGAAAAAGTAAAGCATAGTTCCTCACGCGTTATTTCACACTTAAAATTTTTGTAAAGCACTGCTAAAATTATGTTAATATCATAAAAATTAGCCCGTACTCTTGCCCACAACTGTGGTGATGTAGCTTTGGTGATTCTTGTCTCAGCGGCGTTTTTTAAGCGCAGCGGCAGCTCTCGGGAATAAATCATTTTCAGATTTTTCCGGAACCATGACGCATAATTAATCAGTATCTAATCAGGAAACATTTGTCTTTGCGGCCATGGTCTGATGATTTTCACTGACGAAAAAGCAATGACCAGGTGCTCCTGTGGAATTAGCTGGTCATCAATGAATTGACCGCTATCGATGAGCTGCCTGTGTCTTTGTGTAACCCGCTGCTCGTGTCCGCAGGCGGCCATCCTGCAGCAGACGTCCGACTTCATCTACAGCCTGGAACAGGAGAAGGCGCGCCTGCTGACGCAGAACTGCCAGCTGAAGCGACTGCTGGGCCAGCAGCAGCAGGCCGGCGACTCGGACGCCGCCTCCGCCACCGACAGTCCCGCCTCGGCGCACCGAAACGTCTCCCGAGAGAGCGCCGAGGCTCCGGCACCGAGCGAGGAGGCCGCCGCCGCGCCGGCCGCGCCGGCCGAGCCGGCAGCGCCGCCGCCGCAGGAGGCCGAGGCGGCCTCCATCCGCCAGGAGCTGTCCGAGCTGCGCGCGCAGCTGGAGCAGGAGCGCCGCCACCGGCTGCTGACCGAGGATCGGCTGCGGCTGGCCGAGGCGCCGCCGCCGCCCCCGGCCACGCCGTTCGCCGAGCGACTGCACGCCGGCCACGTGCCGCTGCTAAAGCCCAAGGTGGAGCTGGTGGAGGCTCCCCTGGAGCCGGCCGAGCCGCCGCTGACCGGACACGGCCTGGAGCCGCAGACGGCCCTGCTGCTGGCGGACGCTGCCAGCCTGCAGGCGCCGCCCTCCGAGCCGCCGCCGCCGCCCCCACCGCCGCCCACGGTACACACCCCGCACAGGTGAGAAGACTGACGGACCCGGCCGTCGGCGCCCGTCGAGTGTTTCATGTTGGCAGTATTGGCTCGTGCCCCTATTCTGCAGTTTCTATTATTTTGTGGTGCGATAAGTATTGCGCAAATATTCTGCAGTTTCTCTGTCGTGATCTCATCCTGCTGTTCATGAATATTGCTCTGGTTCTTTTTGTTTTACATAATTTGTTAGTTTGCGGTTACAGTAGAAGCAGGTGTCAACCTTTGAAGTTAACGCTGCTCTGCCTAGGTGTAAGCCAGGTGGGGAAATTTCGAATGCCCGAGGTGAGGGCGGCATTGTGACATTTCTGTGACTGACGCGGCTCCTTTCCCTGCCCGGCAGGCCGCTGTACGTGGGTTCAGCCACATCCCGGCAGAACCTGGACACCATCGTGGAGGCGATCCGCCACCTGGAGGGCGACCACCTGTTCCAGGACCTCGTGCCGGCGCCCGAGCCGGCGCTCGAGGTCGAGGCCTGCCTGGAGGAGCCCGAGCCGCAGGACGCGCCGCTCGAGCTCACCACGCACGACCGCGCCTCGGCGGCGGCGGCGGCGTCGGACCCGTACCGGCCGGGGGTGATTGTCCAGCAGCAGCAGCAGCAGCAGCAGCTGGCGCACCACCTGGTCCACCAGCGGCACCTACCGTCGTGAGCGGCGGCCGCTGGGGGCGGCGGGCGCGCGGCCCGCGGCGGCCGGCGCGCGTGGCGTTTGCTCAACTGGCCGGGCGGCGGCGGGCCGCATCGGCCGCGCGTCTGCCTTATTCCCTGTTCTTCTGCATTTACTGATTTGGACGAGCTTTTTGCGTTTGGTTGTCGCCGGGAGCGGAGATGTGTACTCAGGTGGGAGGGAACGTGCGGCGGGGCGGGAGGCCGGGTACGATTCACAGTCAGATGTGTTCTGTTTGAGTGCGGCCGGAGCGGTGTATTTAGGTTTCACTGGAGTTTCAGTCGCTGACAGCTCAGACACTGCAGTCTTGCCACTCGCCGCCGCCGCGGTAGTTATTTCAGTCAGTCGGTGCCGACTCGTCGGCCGCTTTCGGACTTGTTTTGTTCTTCTCAGGCGAGCGCTGCGAACACAGATGCACACCTTTGTTTTTGAGCTGCTGGTGCCGATAGCTGTGGACAGCGGTCTTCTCTCGGCGTGGGGCGCTAGGCCGGCCGTGCCGCCCACACCGCGCCGTGGCGGCCTCTAGTGTCACTCCGGCGGCAGGTGGCGCTTCTCATGGTTTTGTACGCGCGGCGAGTGACCGCCCGATGCCCTTTTTTGCAGCACGGATTTCTTGGCTGCTCCGTTACTGTACATAGCGAGATCGAGCGACGAGTGCAGGCCCGCGTGCTGAGGAGAGTCTATGTCACGTTATTGGTGTTACTACTAAGTACAGATTATGTTGTGTGTAAGATGTGGCCTCACTAGACCTTACTGCAGCTGAGCGAACGACATTCTTGTAATAAACAGCTTGTTCGGCTTCATGAGTGTTATCGGGGGTCGATTAGCGAGATTCTGGTGTTGTTTGAAGTATTCCACCTCCGCACGGTACATAGTCCGGGGGGAGAGGGCCGTTTGGCAGGACGAAAATTCCAGCTGGAGCCTGGAGGGAACCCGGGCTAGCTGGCAGTGAACCTGACAGACTAACGTCGAGCGCCCGACTGACTGGCGTGGACGGAGCCCTCATCCGAACAGTCTGCGGCACACCTTCGTGATCCAGAGCACCCCAAACGAACCAGAGTATCCCACATAATCCAGGGCATCCATCCGTGAACCAGAACTCCGCAAGTAAACCGGGACACCTTTGGTGAACCAAAACAACCCTCCATGAGCCACAGCACCCCTCATTCGTAAATCAGAGCACCCCTCTATGAACCTTAACCCCTCTATGAACCGGACCACACCCCCTCTGCCTGGACCAGAGTATGTCTCCCGAGACCAAATTAGGCGGCGAAACGGGGGGGGGGGGCACCGAAGCACAGTGACCCCCTTTGATTTTGGCATTTTAACATTAGTCCTATGGGCGTCAGGGGCGCGGGAACTACTTTCCGACTGGGGGGGGGGGGGGGGGGGGCACACCATAATAGAGATTAACCTAGGGTACCCCCAAATCTAGTTTTCTCACCGGTTTTAGGCCACTTATTTTTCACCCCTCGGCTTTTTCAACAAAAAAAGAAAACATTTGCAAAAAAGTGTGGTATTCCGTCTCAAAGCTGTGGGGGCACCGCCCCCACGGCCCCAGAGTGGGGGGGGGGCAAGCTGCCCCCACTGCCCCCCCCCCCCGGCTCCCGCGCCTATGATGGGCGTTGCATGGAAAGAATGGGACCAAAAGTCGGCAATGCCCCCCCCCCCTTAATCGAAGGTGTTCCGCCGCCACTGAGACCAATCCACCGTAAACGACCAATTTTCTTGCTATCACCATTTATATTGTTACGATGACGTCAGAGTTCACGGGTCAGGTGAGCACACCGTCAATGACCCGGCACGTTATTCACAACTGTGCGGCCTATCCCCTCAGGCGGGCGGCCCAGATAACCCCCCACGCTCACCCTCCGTGACACTGGCGAGCGGCCAGAACCCCGAGCCAAGCTGAGACTGCCTAGCCAGACGCACCTGACCTGTGCCGCGTTAAAACTGGATGCTGAATGGCCACATAGTTTCAGTCAGGTTATAACCGATTCAAAGACAAAAGGGTGTGGCGGTGGAACTCGTCAAATGTTGACGAAACCATTGCGATATTCGGGTACGGCAAGAGTCGCTCTTTCCCTGACATTGACGAAGTCCAACACAAAACCTGCGTTCATTCGTCAGTTTAGTATCGCGTCATCAAATCATTGCACGAAGACATGGCGTCACATAAACATCACTCAGCACCTACTGACATCAACTGAGGGAGGCGGTCGCTCAGACGGCGCGCCCCTCCTTCCCGCCCGTGGCAGCGGCCCGTCGAGGACTAGCACACGCGCTGACGGCATCCACCCCCACCCTGACCGATATTGTCGCAACGGGCGCGATCTCTCTCTCCCTTACCCTCCGGCGCGGCGCCTCGGCCGGCTGACTTTCACTGACGACTACCTAGAGGAGCCCGGCTGGCAGTGAGGCCGGTCACAGGATCATGGTGACGGGCTGCTCCATGTATCGCCGGAAGGCGGCCAGCCACTGGGCGCCCACCGCGCCGTCCACCACCCGGTGGTCGCACGAGAGCGTCACAGACAGAACGTCGGCCGTGCGCGGCCCGTCCGGGCCGGGCAGCAGCTTCTGCACGGCGCCGCCCACCGCCAGAATACACGACTGCGGCGGGTTGATGATGGCCGAGAAATTCTTCACGCCGAACATCCCCAGGTTGGAGATGCTGAACGTGCCGCCCTGGAACTCGTTGGGCTGCAGCTGGCGCGCGCGCGCACGCTCGGCCAGCCGGCGCACCTCTGAGCTGATGTCGGCTACGCCGCGCCGCTCGGCGCCGAACACGATCGGCGTGATCAGACCGTAGTCGGTTGACACGGCCACGGACACGTCCACGGAGCTGTACTGCCGAATGAAAGTCTCCTGCCAGGAGGAGTTCACCTCGGGCACCTGCAGACATGCCAGCGCCGCCGCCTTGATGATGAAGTCGTTGACACTGAGCTTGACGCCATCCTTACCGGCGCGCTGGTTGGTCTCGGCGCGGATCTGCGCCACCGCTGACATGTCCACGTCGACAGAGAGGTAGTAGTGTGGGATCGTCTGCTTCGACTGCAACAGGCGGGAGGCAATCGTCTTGCGGACTGACGACAGCTCCACGTCGACGTGCGCCGCGCTCGGCTGGACGGCGGGCGCCGCAGCGGCGGGAGCAGCCGCGGCTGACGGGGCGGGGGCGGGGGCGGCGGTGACCTGGGCAGCCCGGATCAGGCCGTCACTGCCCGGAGAAACTGCCGTGAGGTCCACGCCCTGCTCGGCCGCCAGTTTACGCGCCCGCGGACTGGCCATGATCCGACCTCCGGGCGGCCCGGCCGGGGCGGCGGCTGGTGCGGCCGGGGCCACTGGAGCAGCGGCGGGGGCGGGAGTGGCGGCTGGCGCCGCGGGCTTGGGAGCTTCGGCCGCCGGCGCCGCGGCGGGGGGCGCAGGCTCGGACGTGTCGACATAATCCTTGAACTTGTCAACATCCTCTTTGCTATCGACAATGATGCAGAGCAGTTTGCCCAGCGGGATGTCCTTAGTTCCGGCCGGCACTAAGATCTTGGCGAGGTATCCCTCCTCGGAGTTCTCGAAGCCCATCGAGGCCTTGTCGGTCTCGATCTCGGCGAGTAGGTCACCCTCCCCGACAAAGTCCCCCTCGGCCTTCTCCCAGCTGATGATGGAGCCCGACTCCATGGTCGGCGACAACGCGGGCAGCACGATCTTGTGGTGCGCCGGCAGGTCCTGGGAGGCGTAGTGGCGCGCCCAGCCGACCGGCCGGGCCGCCGCCGGCGCGCCGAGGAGGCGGGCGCGCGGCGCGCCGGAGGGCCTCGGCGTGTGGAGCAGGGCGGCGCCGGGCCGCGCCAGTCGCTGACCGAGCCGGGCGTGCCGGCCCAGCGCCCTGCTCAGCGGTACCGCCGGACGGAGCAGCATCTCTCGGCAGTGGACGGTCACCTGCCGACAGGTGATGTGTCAGTTTTCAGCAGTCAGAGGCTCTGTCAGCTCATCAGCTGAGGGAATCCGTCAGAAAACTGGACATTTTGAATATTGCTTATTTGTTTCAATTAGCTCATGGTTTGATTTCAAACTATGGCAAAGTTAATCAAGTCAACTCCCCAGCTACCAAGGAAATACCTTTAGGGTAGATCGGGGCAAGTCGCCCCGCCGAGGTAAAACGCCTCACAGATGTTTCTCGGAACTGGCAAGGTTCTTGAGAAAAATCATCTCTTCTATTAGAGAGAGAAAATATATAAAAAATTGACCTCTCCTCGACATTTAAAATTATTTGAATAGCCAAATATTACTGTATTGATATTTCGACCAACAGGTCTTCTTCAGAATAAGACAGTGTACACAAGTGTACGAGAATACAATAATATTATTGCATTCTCGTACACTTGTGTACACTGTCTTATTCTGAAGAAGACCTGTTGGTCGAAATATCAATACAGTAATATTTGGCTATTCAAATAATTTTAAATGTCGAGGAGAGGTCAATTTTTCATATATTTTCTCTCTCTAATATTCATTATGTTCCTCGCAAGAGCGCTCCAAAGAATCATCTCTTCTATAAAACGTGCACTATATGACCATTATATGAGCAGACTGGAAAGAAATTGTGATGACTCTTTAGGGAGATATAGCCAAAAATGTGTTTTTGGAGTGATTTCTATGTTTTGTTGTCAGCTTATGCATCATGGTGTTCTTTTATGGTTCACATCAGGTTCACGACTTTTATGTATTTTGAACAACTTTATCTAACGCTTATAATGCCGGGATGGTTTGTGTTAAGTAATGCCTTGCTGGAGTGCAAGGCGTTGTTCTCTGACCGAACTATGTGATGGGGTAAAACGCCCCAGTAGGTCGCGGGGCAAAACGCCCCATGGGGCGTTTTACCTCATGTGTTGTTCGGACTACCCACTTCCTAATGTTCGGTAGCTTGCTAACAGTAAGTTTCTATGCATTTATATGTACTTTTCTCAGCAACTGGATGGCAAAGGAAGTATTTTGTTAACATTTCCATTGCAATAATTTATTATTTGGCCTTATGAGGCAGGTGAAAAACCTGCTCATACAAAAGTGTCATAGCTGAACACCTGATAGGATGGAAGGAGCTAACTTCAGTGCCGTGCTTCCCAAGGTCTAACAGTCCTCTCATATAAGATATAAGTCAACTAGCATGTTTAATCTTTAATCTAGAGTATGGGGCTTCTTGCCCCCGGGCCTTGAGGCGTTTTGCCCTGGGGTTGGGGCAAAATGCCCCATTTGCAGTTGCTTCACAAATCACTTCCTAGCTAGGAGTCCGATCATAAGTGAATGAATTTGAGGGGTGGAATTTAAAGTAAAATGTCCAAAGAACGCATTGAGCACAAATTTGGCCTTCCAGGTGATGTGGGAGAAAAGTTATGTAGCAAAATAAATTATCTGGGGCGTCTTGCCCCAGGCTACCCTACACAAGATTATGATAAGGCAGAACATCTATTAATTTAGACTTATTATTTCAACAGTGAGGAGCTTTAATTTACGTAATATGATAAGGCAATGTTAGGTACCAATTTATATAATTAATCATAAATGCCACAAGTGAATATTCACATGCAAAAAATAAAATACATATTTTTTTAAAATCATTATATATAATGCAGTACTGCTAGCCATAATGTGCATCAAGCAGGCACATACTACCTTTTAATTTTATCTGTGACTGACTTAAACCGCAGCTCGGCATTAACTTATTATTCTTTATCATAGGTGAAGAAATATATCAAAGAGACACTTAGTCTTGTCTCCTCTGTCATGACTGAAAATGGCAACAGTGGCACATCCAGAGGGGTGTTCACGGGCACCGCACACTGCTGCGTGCGGTGTGTGCGGTGCGTCCAGCAGGCGTGGGGGTAGGGGAGGGGTAGGCGGTTCTGACGTCACGGCTGCGTGCGGTGAACGGTTCGCTGTGGCCAGTCCCGACCGGCCACAGCGATCGCTGTGTGCGGTGACGGAAGGCTGACGTAGGGACGAAGTGGGCGGAGCTTCGAGGCTGTGTGCGGTCCGACCGCACACAGGGCCCGTGAACAGCCCTCAGGGGAGGGTAAATAGGGCAACTGCCCCTACCAAACGGCATAATTTTAACATTACTCGGGACAGTGCATGGAAAGAACTAACACATGGTTAGGGTTTGCCCCTACAAAACTTTGAGCTGGATCTGTCAGTGAATAGCAATACACTGCTGAACAGGAGATCATTACATAACAATAAAAAATAAAAAATATGTTTGGACAGGGTAGAGTTCAACTACCGGAGTGGCACAAAATTGGCGCACCCTTAATAATAATTCTTCGGGCGAGCGCAAGGTAAAAATAGTTTTCTGCACTTCTTTTTTAGATACAATATGCTCTTTCATGTGAGAAACTGCAGCCTTACCTATTATATCCGCCCACCGAACCGCGGCCTGTCCGGAATGACCTCCAAAAAGGAAAAGAATTCGACTCCGAAAACGTCGCAAATCAAGGATCGAGAAATTAGACGAAAAATTTCATCGGTATGGAGTTGGCAGCTCATAAAATATATGACGTACTATTGCTACGTCAGCTACGTCATGCACCAACATTACATTGCGAGCCAGAGTAGTAGGTCCATGCCATAATATGTGAATAATGAATACAGTGCAACGGCAAGGAATACTGGGATTTAGAGAAAAATATATCAGTATGAGCGGCGGCCATGGTGCGCAGCCGGCCGTAGCTGAGCTCATCCCGAGGTCACCCCACAGGAACCTGCTCCCGCCTGCCGGCGCCGGATGATGGTGACCGTCTAGTCCGGAATAGGGTGATAGGTATCGAGCGAGAAGGACAAGTATAAGATAAGCCATTTGCCGGTAAGCATTTTGTAGAGTTAGTGGCGGATCCAGGATTTCGTCAAGGGGGAGGACACATGGGCATACGGTAGGTGTGGTGCCCCCTGGCATTTGGTACCCCCCCCCCTAAAAAATCCACGGATTTCGGCCACTTACTTTTGGGATGGTGCCCCCTCAGACCCGGGAAGAGTGCTCCTTCAGACCTCAGATTTCGGAATGGTGCCCCTGGAAACTTGAAATGGTGCCCCCGGACACCTCGGAATGGTGCCCCAGGAGACAGACTTCGGGATGGTGCCCCCGGAGACTTCGGGATGGTGCCCCCTCTGCGCTCAGACCTCGGGATGGTGCCCCGGACCATCAAGATGGAGCCCCCTCTGACCTTGGGATGGTGCCCACGGAGAACTCGGGATAGTGCCCCCGGAGAGCTCGAGATGGTGTCCCCGCGGGGCGCGGACTTCGAGATGGAAATAGCCCCACCCGAGGCGAGGGACAGAAATGGGTCTCCGGGAGACCCCGAAAACGGTACCCTATTCCGATAGACCTGCTGGATGGTGCCCCCTTAGGAAACCTCTGGGTTGAATGAAGCTCCCGTCGGTGACCTCCGTAATTGATTAAAAAAAAAAAACTCCGTGGTGGTCCCCCGGGAGGCCCAAAGGGTGGGGGTGGGGGGCATGGCCCTCTTGCCCCCTGGATCCGCCACTGTGTAGCGCCGCCACCTATACCTATGGGAGGCATTGGAGATCCCATGCCCGTTTACCGGCATCTTAACTTTTTTAACGAATGGCAGATGGCTCCTGTAGACTTTCCCATCCCATCGGCCATCCCTGGGAGATCGGGCCTACGAATCGGCTCGCCCGCCGCACCTCGCGCCGCCTCTGTTGCCGCCGCGTTCGTTCACTCCTACTTAATGCGGCCATATCGGCCACTGTAAACAAACGACCTCCGCTCAGGATACCGATACGGACCGACCCGGGGGGGGGGGGGGGGTACTCGACCGGCCTCCGCTGTCGCCCGGAGCAGCCAGTGCGCAGTGGTACCCGAACGAGGCCGGTCACCATCCGGTCAGCACGCAGTGTTCAGTACCACAGAACCACAGGGGATCGGCGAGGGACGGCGAGCCAACTGCTCAGCTGAGCCGAGATCCAGTCGCTCCTGAGCGCCGCTCCAGGACCGTGGGCTGGCCGCTGTAGGACCGTGGTGAGCCAGCCGGACGTGATGTCGGCGGCGGTGACGGCCGCGCTGCTGCTGCTGGCGGCCAGTCTCTGCGGCGCGCGCTACGAGCCCACCTGGGACTCTCTGGACACGCGACCCATCCCCGGCTGGTACGACGAGGCCAAGTTCGGCATCTTCATCCACTGGGGACTCTACTCGGTGCCCAGTTTCGGCGACGAGTGGTTCTGGGACTTCTGGCAAGGTGAGATGTTAATCGAGCAAAAATCTAACGTCAAGAGGTTCAAACTTTATGGAGCGAACAATGGGGCACATAGGTAGGTATATGGGAAATGGTCGAAATAGGATCGTGCATCGTATTCTTAGTGCACAACGCATTGGTTTTCAATTCAATTCAATCGGCAAGTTTGCTTACCAACTAAAAGTCGCCACTAACGAATCTAAACCTGATCTGGGCGGACCAAGTACCTACCTTATTACCTACAACGAGCGTTATATTGGATCCTACCGTCTTCCGGGAGTTGTGCGGCGCAGCCTACCTGCAGGCGAACACTACTGGTGCCATCTATGGACGGAAATGGGAAACAGACAGCACGGCGATCGGCATACGATAAACAGCGCTACACCATGAGTTTTAGTGGCTGGTTTTCGTCATTTTCTTTCTTAGTCCGGCACTCCTTGCCACACAGATGACAGAACCATAAACAAGAGGGCTGTAACTGCTTTGAACTTTCAATCCATGAAGCCTGACCCGTAGAACCGTTTTCAGTTATCACGTAAGCATCATGGTGTATGACTTTATTGAAATGACAGTTGACACCATTTGTAAGTATTTCAATTTTCATGTTTTCAATATCATCAGCAAGTTGAGTGGGCCCTGTGCTAATTTCTAAAACAAAGAAGACACATTTACCGATTGTCTCATGTTCCACAGACCCTTCTATGATCAGATCCTTCAACGCACGTCACAAACATGACATCAATCAGTTATAGTCGTCACTATCACATACAAAGTTGATGAGCTGCTGTGCCATCACCTCCAGCGTCCCATTGTTCACGTGGTACCTCTCCTGCATGCACACATGACGGTCCTCCGGACTGAGCTCCGGCAGCCGCCAGAAGCACTCGCGCGACCAAAAGCGCGCCACCGCACTCGCCTCTGACGTCCACACGTGGAGCCCGGGCAACCGCAACCTCCTGGTAAACAGGTCCGCCAGCAGGGCGTTCAGCACCGTCAGGTCGTCGTTGTAGCTCTCCGGACCGATTCTCGGGTTACCCGCGTGCTCCAGCATCCAGAGCACCTTCACTCGGCGGGCGGTGAGCCGGCGCAGATACGGCACACAGTCCTCCAGGTACTCGCGGAAAATCGGCATCAGTCGGCCGAACCGACCATTTACCACAAAATGCAGGCCCTGGTTGATGACGATAAAGTCGGGGCAGGGCAGACCGCGCGCACAGCCCCGTTCCAGTCGGCGCAGGACGTCCAGGAACCGGAACATGGCGTTCCGCCAGCGGAACTCGAGCTCCAGGCCATCTCCGACGGCGAGCTGAGAGCACCAGGCGCGCGCCGGCTCGCCCTTGGGCCGGCCCTTGGGCCACACGCCCACACAGGTGGAGTTCGGGTCGGCGAAGTGGTGCCAGTCGGGCAGCAGCGGCTCGTCCAGGAACGGTGTCCGTCCGGCGGTCTGGGCGCGCGTCAGCAGCCGCAGCCGCCGCTGACCCGCCAGCGTCTCGAACACCTGCCTGGCGCGCGAGTTGCCGATGAAAGTGATGCGCGTGCTGCGGCCCAGAGCTGCGCCGCGCCGCCGCAGACAGTCTGACGTCTCGGCGGTGGTCAGCGGTCGACTCGGGTGGCGCACCAGACTGGAGACTGACAGTGGACTGATGGAGAACGTCGGTGGACTGCTGGAGAACGTCGGTGGACTGCGAGACTTCGTAGGTGGACTGCGGTGGGCAACAAGATTGCGACTGTAGAATAGGAAGGCAGCTTGTTAACGGTATACATTCACAGATACCTACCCATGTTGCAAATTAATGTACCTAAGTCATTCACCTTGAAAAATTGCAATAACTAACACAAATTCATATCCAAACTTATCATTTCTGTGACAGTAATAATTGCTTCAAATATTAAGTTTCGGAGCGGTTCAGGAAAACGGATTTTACACTTTTTGGATTTTGTATTTTATGAAAAGGACAACTTTTAAAAGGAAGCAAAGTGTCCAGCTAATAAATAATTAATTAACGTAGCGCCTAGTGGGACGGAACGTTTCTGTCCGTTTAATTACAAAGCAGTCATTTCGCACGAATAAATAAGTGTCGAATCAACGAGCAGATGACCCAACGTGTGAACCCAGATCAAGGATAAGGTTCATACATAGGTATTACATCACCTTTTTGAGTAGTCTGGTATGGACGATAAGCATGCCAATAATATCAAACTTGCAGCGCCGACAACCAAAAGCAAGTTCGGAAGATCTCGCCAACAGCGACTGGATCTAGTCCATCTCAGCCGTCTCATGGCTCGTGCGCTCTTTATTCGTTTGCTGCCTGCTGGTTGTTATCCGATATTTACTGGAAGTTTGGAAACGTCATTGATCGGGATACTTTCAGTCCCGCTTCTTCCCTGTCGCTGAATCTCTGGAATCGTTTCATTCCGAGTATTCCGAGTCTTTTGGTGTTTTCGCTGAGAAGTTCAGAATGCTTTGATGACAACGGCTATCCTTTGACCTATGCTGTTGAAAGTTGATCAAGTGTATGCCATCAGTAAGTAATACGAGGATATATAAGTAATACGATAGTGTTTAGGAACACTCCACACATCTCTTCTGACCAAAAATAGCGTAGAGCGTAGTTACTTCGAAATCACACTACATCACAGCGTCACCAGAACCGGGCTCAATAAACTGCCATGCATTGCAACCACCGCACACAACCAGTTTCCCGTATTCAATCACGGTTCCATCGAATCACTTCCGTCCTAAATCACTTCCATCCCATGTTCCGTTCTTCTCTCCTCTCTCCTCACACCACTCCTAAGAACACCACACCACCAACTCTCCAGTCGTCTCCTCACTGACCTATCGGACCGGACTGGCCGGCGCAGCTCTCGCTCTCTCATCTCGTCGCTCCTCTCCGGCGGCTACATTTGGCCTCCGCCCGTGTCGTTGACCCTGAACCGAGACCCGGTGAGGCTGGGCGCACTGGGGAGGCGGGCGGGCACCGCGCTATAGGCTCTATAACAGCGCATTGGCGTCGTCAAAGCTGATCAGCTGATCGAGGTAGGGTCACCGGTCAGTGGTCACTGGTCACTCATAGTGCGACAGAACAAAATGAAGGCCTCGGTCCACTAGTATGTGTTATGACATGTGCAATGTGCATGGTATCGTTACTTTACCTCTGCCCGTACTCCGTTGCTGATTTCAGAGCAGAAATATGAGCAGTACGTGGAGTTTATGGAGAAAAACTACCGGCCCAACTTCACGTACGCCGACTTCGCGCCTCAGTTCACGGCCGAGTTCTACGACCCAGACCAGTGGGCCGACATATTCAAAGCCGCCGGTGCTCAGTAAGTGCACTGCTGCAATAAGCGCCTCGTCAGTATATTAGTAAAAGTGCACAGCATCAGTCTATTGTGTCAATCGCAGGAGGTTTACTTAAGCTTACTACCATCGTTCCGAAATAATGGCCAAGTTTCACCACACAATCTTGTATCTCGCATGTGTGCAGTGAACGGTCTCACGTTTTTTCTGAGTGTTTGTTTCGATCCCACCTTATCGACATCGATGCGCAAAACACTCATCACAGTGAGAGCCCTTGCACCAGGTCTGCACTGGATTGTTATCAGGGCACTATCGTCCTTGGTCGATGTCCATTGTTCCAATATAACGCTTATACCTAATGTTTATATAAGGTTATCATCAATTAACCCTCGCCCATGTAGGGGGGGGTTGGTGCAACCCCCCCCCCCCCCTGAGGTTTTTCGGAAATAGTGCAAAAACGGCGGCGCGCAGCGCCGCCAAATTTTGGGTACCTTATGGGGCAAACCTTGCGCATCTTTTGATAAAAAAAATTTGACCGGGTCATGTCAGGTCACGGAGTTATGACGTCACAAAGGGAACAGCCTCCGGCCGGATTTTCACAAACTGAGTGCCAACGCCCGAGGTTTCCTGCCGGTGGTACGGACATCGGTTGATGGATCGTGATGAAACTTCCCATGCATGTTGGGGCAAGTATTGGCTATCATATGGTATAAGAAACTTGACCGGGTCAGGTCAGGTCACGGAGCTATGACGTCACAAGAGGAACAGCGTCCGGTACTATTTTTGAAAAGCGCCCGAACCACTATTTTGCTAATTCTTGTCACCTCAATGGGAATATGCAGCAATATTAGCTTCTATAGGGAGCAAATGGACCTTCCAAATCCAAAAATACAATCAGATTTCAAAAATTTAAATTTTGATTTTTCGAATTTCTGCCGCCGACTGTGACCTTGCCGACTTCCGGCGCTCCCAACGCGCCATTTTTAGAGCTAGGGAAACGAAATACATACCAAACGATAGAGAATTGATCAAGGAACACGATAGTGAAGGTTTCAAGTCGATATCTCCCACCGTTTTGCCGCAATCGCCGAGGAAAGTTGAAAAAAGTCTATTTTTCCGAAAATTTGACCTTTGACCGGTCAAAAGTAGGTCAAATGTTGACCTAGGACCAAAAAATATACCACCAATCGCGAGATCTCGGCGAGAGCAATCCGTTGGTCTTTTCCGCTAAGCTCTACGACGCTCCGTTTTCAAACGCCAAGGGGGGGGGGTCGCACCAACCCCCCCCCTGCATGGGCGAAGGTGGCAGATCGCCGTTTACGGGCGAGGGTTAACGTTTTACATAGATTACTGTTTATCAATTATAGTGATGCGTGAAGTAAAACTGTTAAAACCATACACATTCTAAAAATGTACGTCTGTGAGCATTTACTACGTGCCCATTGCCAGGTACATTGTTCTGACGAGCAAGCACCACGAGGGCTTCACCATGTGGCCGTCCAAGTACGCCTGGAACTGGAACGCCGTGGATACCGGGCCTAACCGGGACCTGCTCGGTACGAGATTGCTCAGATTAGTGCTAAATTTTAACACCTAATGCAACGATATACAGCAAACGTAGTTAAACATTCAACACAATGACAAAGTAATTCTTGATTAACGCTTGCACTATCCTTTTTACGAGGGCAGTGGTGTGTGACCTATATTTACTTGAGCGTCTTGCCGAATATTTAAAAGGAACTTAGTATTGGCTTCGTGTTTCAAAATATGCCAGAGCGGTATATTGCGATCATTTAAGCTCAGCAAGTCCTTTTAAAAAGTAACGACAGGGTCACTCATGTCCGAAATCGTCTAAACCCTTTCCAGGTGACCTGGCGAAGTCGATTCGGAACCGAACCGACATCAAGTTCGGCGTCTACCACTCGCTGTTCGAATGGTTCAACCCTCTCTTCCTGGCCGACAAGGAGTCCAACTTTACACAGAAGGCCTTCCCTGGCGCCAAGACCATCCCCGAACTCTACGAACTGGTATATATGTCCATTGGGAACGTCTATGGGTACGGTGGTTGCATATGTACAGAGTCGGTGATATAAAATGTATCTGATCACTGGACATTAATAGTACTTCCTACTATCTCTTCAATAGTAGGCATCCGAAATTAATTGCGGTTATCGCAATTAATTACGACACACTCGGCCAAAATACCCGACGATTTTACTCGACTCGATGATACGGTACACTAGAAATACCTACGTAAAAATGTTGTACCTACCCAATTCATATTTTTGTAGGAAATAATCGTTTAAATGTTCGTTATATGTGGTCATCAACTAAAATCTTTAGAAAGTAACGAGAAAATGAAAATATTTAATTAAATCATCGTTAATCCCCAGCTCCGACTGACTGACTGTGACCTGGTGACGGTCCTGCAGGTGAACGAGTACCAGCCAGAGGTGATCTGGTCGGACGGCAGTATCGCCGCCCCCAGCTTCGGCTGACTGACTGTGACCTGTGACGGTGCTGCAGGTGAACGAGTACCAGCCGGAGGTGATCTGGTCGGATGGCAGTATCGCCGCCCCCAGCTCCGACTGACTTTCTGTGACCTGGTGACCTGGTCCTGCAGGTAAACGAGTACCAGCCGGAGGTGATCTGGTCGGACGGCAGTATCGCCGCCCCCAGCTCCGACTACTGGGGCAGTAAGGACTTCATCGCCTGGCTCTACAACGACTCACCGGTCAAGTGAGGCACACCTCCAAATATGTATACTCTGACTCTATGTATGTCTATTAGATGTTTAGATGTATTGCACGGCTTTTGATCACTGTGTGGCTGTGTGCAATTTTTATTGTAGTCCAGCGCGATCCAATTAATCCCCGTCGCTCCAGCGCGATCCCTCTGCACCCTGAAGCCCGCTGTTTCCACCCACGCCCCTCCCAATGTTTGAAGACGGCGCTAACATCCTATCACTCCCTCAGGGATACGGTGGTGACCAACGACCGCTGGGGTCCGGACGCCAGCTGCGCGCACGGTGACTTCTTCACCTGCCAGGACCGCTACAACCCGGGCGTCCTGCTGCCGCACAAGTGGGAGAACTGTATGACCATCGACAGCAAGTCCTGGGGCTACCGGCGCGAGGCCGTCCTCGCCGATATCCTGTCAATGGACGACCTCACCAAGGTAGGAGCTCGCTGCGATAAGCACTTATAACAGGCAAGGTACGTTATCAGCAAGGTACGTACAAGGTTTTCCTACCTCATCAAGGAAGGAAAACGCGCTGCGCATCTTCCGGTGCGCGTTGGTATTTTTTGTTGATAACGTCTCCTTGTGGCCAAGACTTTGACTATCTTTAGTCAATAATCGTTCATTGTTCAATCAATTCATTGTTCGTCATCCAAGCAACGAGCACACATCGCGCGTCTATCTATGGTCGGCAGACGGTCTGCCGACAATAACTAAGGAACCTTGATCGAGTGACCTATATCCTGTCCTAAGGCCTTGTGCCTTATGCCACCGAGACGTCAACTATGTTCTGATGACGCTGGCACCTCTCCCCTCAGACGATGGCGGAGACGATCAGCTGCGGCGGTAACCTTCTGATGAACGTCGGACCCACGCACGACGGTCGTATCGTGCCCATCTTCGAGGAGCGGCTCCGGCAGATGGGCGAGTGGCTCGGCATCAACGGCGAGGCCATCTACAGGTGAGCGGACGGCGAGGCAAAATACACTATACACGTGATTTGGCAGGCACCTAGACAATCAACAGTTTACATGCATCACAAAAAAAATAAACAGCCCTACAGCACGGCAGGCCATCTAAAGGTGAGCGAACGGCACCGGCAGAGAACGGTTCATCTACCGGGCGTCCTGCTGCCGCACAGTGGGAGAACTGCATGACCATCGACAGCAAGTCCTGGGGCTACCGGCGCGAGTAGTATACGTTTACCGTCCTACAGCACTAACTACTCACTAGCCTACCCAACGCTAAACGGGCGGCTCAATCGGCAGAACACGTTTAACACGCATAACGCATTTCATCTGTTGGCGCGTCCGTGTTGATCCCCCCCCCCCCGTTCCGTCAGCTCGAAGCCGTGGTCACACCAGAACGACACGCTGACGGCCGGCGTGTGGTACACCCAGCGGGACGGCGCCGTGTTCGCCATCGTGCTCGACTGGCCCGAGAGCGACACCCTCCAGCTGGGAGCCGTCACACTGGCCGCCGACAGCAAGGTCTTCATGCTCGGCTGCCAGGACCCGCTCAAGGTAGATGACAATTTAGAACAACCGTAGTTAGGTGTAATATGTATAGGTGCCTTTCAATTGCTCGTTCTTATTGTTTTCGGGTGTCGGTAAATTTTGGTAGGTGCGTTTAATTTGTTCAAAATGGCCCATTGCTGCTCTGCATTGACCATTCATAAAGCCTGGAAAATGTCATGACCGTGACCTGACCGTAACCGTAATATAAATTGGGTTGTGACTGTGACCTGGTCGAGACCGTTATCTAGCCATCACCTGACCGTGACCTGCCCTGTTCCAGTGGTCTCAGCCGGCCGACGGGCCCCTGCACGTGGCGTTCCCTGACCTGACCCAGGTCACCTCGCGCTGGGCGTGGGTGCTCAAGATGGATGGTGCGACACCCGTCTCTGACGAGGAAAACCGTCTCTAGGACGGCTACTGGCACCTGATGGAGGATCAGGGATCACTTGGCCGGAAAATTGTGGAGCTGCGCGGGAGGGATTATTGATTATGTAATGAGATGATGGTCTAATGGGCTCTCAGGAGGCAAAGATTGGTCGCTCATCGTGCATCACGACCCCTTGTATTCAAAGATCTCCAAATATGGTGGGAAGAGGAGAGTGCCGTGCCTTATGAAATGGCTAATAAAACGAAATAGAAATTGTCCACTTATGCATGCGCATGTAGCATGTGGACTGTTGAAGATGGTCTAGAGAGTTATCAAAACTGTATGCATTACCAAACACCGATACCTCACGTAAGTATGTGCACACAATAAATATCGGTATGAATTATATACTTATTTTCTTTTCACAGGGTTGTTCACGGTCATTAAAGTACATCCCAACCGAGCCTAGTCATAAGCAAACTGTATTTTCTCCGCATTCCCTGAAGATTTCACCAGTTCTCATTTGGACTCTCGTGAATAATTTGCTTAACGTGTTAGCTACATAGTGTTAGGCTTCCAAATGGGGCAGGGGTTTGAACTTTGAGCTATATGTAGGCAATAGGCATGTGGCAGCTCGATCTCAAATTCGTGGTTGGCACTAGCTAGCACAGAGCATGATTGTTTGTTTGTTTTATTGGGTTAGGCCCTTTCGGTCGACAAGACCATTGCAGAGCCGGAAGGATGATAGGAATTAGGGGGAGACATTGGTCTGGGCAGGCACCCTAGTGAGTCGCCGGGGCTGAGCCCGTCCAGAGGACAGGCCGACCAGCCCCCCAAGGCACTCACTGCACCCGGCTACGGGGTGCGCTCCCTCAGGAGCAGCGGTGCCGCTCCAAGGGAGCAGCCCGCATGAGATAAAGTTGCCTGTCCAGCCCGGAGGGGGTTGCGGTTTGGAGGAGAAGGATTTCAGTATCCTGAGGATAGAAGCACGGATAGGTCACAGAGCATGAATTAAACATCGCAGACTATCGGTAACTAGGTGGTCTGCCGAGCACGGACCCGCTCGAAGTGCCGGTATCTGGCTGCGCCACCTAGTTGTAAACCGGCTCTCAGCAACTCCCGGCAGAGGGCGGGAAGGTAGTCAGTGCCGGCACAGGTCGGAGGCCTCCAGAGGCCCAGGTCGTGTTGACTTTTGTGTTCTTGGTATCTCCTGTTCTTCGGTGCTCATATTAGAGTATTAGTCATGTTGCTGGTAATTTACACTAAGAAATTGATCGGCTATAAAGAGTACGTCAAAAGTCAAAACACTGTTAAAATTTAACGGTTGAGTGTCAGCGAACATTGGCGATGATTTTCCGTGCAGTGTGGTCTCTACCCCGTATCCCAGCCCGTGTCAGCCCGGTGTCTCACCCCCCCCCCCTCCTCCCCTGCTGTATCTGCCCTGTGTATGCCCGGACCGTCTCCCCGGCCGCTGGCGGTGGTCTCGGGCCGGTCGCATGTTTGTTTGTTTTGTTGGGTTAGGCCCTTTCGGTCGACAAGACCATTGCAGAGCCGGAAGGATGAGAGGAATTAGGGGGAGACATTGGTCTGGGCAGGCACCCTAGAGAGTCGCCGGGGCTGAGCCCGTCCATAGGACAGGCCGACCAGCCCCCCAAGCACTCTCTGCACCCGGCTACGGGGTGCAGCTCCCTCGGGAGCAGCGGTGCCGCTCCAAGGGAGCAGCCCGCATGAGATAAAGTTGCCTGTCCAGCCCGGAAGGGGGTTGTGGCGTGGAGGAGAAGGACTTCAGTATCCTGAGGATAGAAGCACGGATAGGTGGCCGGTCGCAGCGCCCAGCGGTCTTATGTACATATGTGGTCGCGTCGCGTCGGAGCGGTGGTAGTGGTCAGCGGTCGCGTCCGCCGTCCAAGGTTAGGTGATGTCACCAGGCGTCGCCGAACGCGAGAAAAAGCTATATACAAAACAGGTTTAGCAGCATCTTTTACCTCCGTGCATTATGCAGTAACGAGTACGGATGTGTAGGCGACCAGTCCATAGTGTGACTAACAAATACTGGCGACTCACTCGTGAGTAACAGCCAGTATACGTCTGCCCCGGCAAAGGCAGAGCTTTATAAATTTTAACCCTTCTTCTGACGGAAAGGTTTCGAAACGAAATAAAATATCTTCATAAAGAGTACATTGACCAAGGAAAAATCGCACTGTGCCTGTGGGTATCGTCTATACATTTTAGTACACCCGAAACAATTAAACTGGGGGAAGAGTGGCACAATGAAAAAATCATGTCTAATGTCTGAACAATAAACTTTAGGATGGGAGATCGTCATTTCGTGAACCATAGCACGGGTAAAAGGGCACAACCAATGCAAACCGACAGGCGCGTAACCACCACTGGGGACACTGGGGACCGGTCCCCAGTAACTTGTGGGTTACTGGGGACCGTCCCCAGTAAAACCGACGACCTCAATTTGCGTAAATAGACAAATATTGTCCCTAAATCGACGTGAAGAGTAATATGTAGTCAACGGAAGACAAAACTATTGATGTTTTGCTTAGCCCGCCCCGTAGTGGGCCTCCCAGCCAACTTCGCAATGGTGGGTGGGTGGGGGGGGGGGGGACTTTTTGGCCACACTAGATTATCTCGGAAAGTAAGCAAGCTAGAAAGACCCGGTAAAAGCAACAGATAGTTTGCTACAATATCTTCCATAATTATCTGTCATTTTGATCAGGTCATCGCTGAGGTCACTGGGGGTCACCAAAGGTAAGATTTTCACAACTTTCGTTCCCAACTTTGACAACTTTTCACAAATAGGCGCATAAGTCTGGAACCAATAGAGCTGCAGTGCTGCGGGAAAGCGCATTCGATAGCTCTTCCGGTAAATGCCTCTCTGTAAATGCCTTTCTGAGTAGGTAATGTTCTCAGACTTGACTTCAGGTCAACGGTTTAGCCTCCAGGTTTGCGTTTTTACGGAAAAGATTGTTGTATCATAACTTTTGACTCCAAACTTGTATGACGCTGATTTTACCGGGATCGCGTTTGTCTCGTCTAGACGCGTCGAATGAACTATACGTTGACCTGAAGAGGTCAACTTGAAAATTTGACCTGAGGTTAAGGTCACGAAAAAGATCATGTTGCATGTCATTCGATTGGTATTGTTGAGCTGAACACATTCATGGTGTTTTCAGCGTTCTAACATGTTTCTACCTAAAGTTATGGTAAAAAAACTTGGAGATGTTTCATGACCTGAGATGACCTCATGGACATAGAAGGGGTCACAGGTGCAATTTTCCCGTTCAGTGTGTCATGTTTACCAGTGCCACGGTGTTTGAATGTGTTTTCGGCCAAATGAAGATCATTTCAATTTTCTCCCATTGACTTATAATAGAGGTCGCAAAATTGACCTGACTTAGGTCACCCATGTGAAAACTTCGAGATATACGAATTGTTCATACTGATTTCCTCACGCAAATCTCGAGTTTCAAACTTCTGGGACGTGAACTGTGGGAATGACGAAGTCACAAAGTTTTCTTAGAGGCATGGTTACTTTACTTGACCTGGTGACCTGACCTTAGGTAACCTGCAGGGTCAAAATTTTCACAAACGATGCGAAATTGAGTTATCATTAGCTATACCAAGTTTCTTTGGCAGGTGTGGCCAAAAACGCCCCCCCCCCTCCCCCACTCGGGCGAAGACTGATCCTGAAATACAATATTTGGTCTTCGCGGCCCTCCATGTGGTCCCCAGTAACTTCAGACTCGTGGTTACGCGCCTGCAAACCGATGCATTCTATAACTTCTCAATGTTAAAATAAGACAATGCGAAGCAAGCATAGGTACCGCACAACGAGTGTCCGAATCGACCTCGCACTGAAACCCTGGAATCGTATACTTTAATACGTTTAAAGGGACCCTCCCACCTTCAAAAAAATTTATGAATTGGCATGAAAGTGATGTCGCTCGGTTCAGAAAGAGCGAAAACGAATAGGTATCTACCAAATTTCACCGAAAAATATTCACCGGTTTTCAAATATTAGACTTTTACTTTTGTTTACTTTTTGGGAGCTCCGCTCTTCCTAGCGACTTTATTTGGAAGCAATAGTTTGGCAGCTGAAAGTGCGGCACTTGTTGCGCGCAAAGCAGCATATACCACCGCGTGCTACAAAACGTTTTAGTCAAACATTTGAAAATCGTTAGATATCTGCGCTGACGTCACACATTCAGAGGGGTATTCCTATGCATTAGCCCCTCTGAATCAAAATGCTGCAACCATTTGAAATTCAATATTTCCGATTTAAGGCATTTCTCGACGTTGTGAGTGCCGAAACCGGTAATTGTGAGCCAGGGACCCCATTTTGGCTATCTCAACTCAAATCTAATGTTAAGGTGGGAGGGTCCCCAATCAAATAGTTACAAGGTTTTTCTCTTCATCTAATAATGCAAAACACTGCCACATTTGGACAACTGCTGAAGCTCAAAATACCTACCTATTATTTGATTAAACGTATGGCTGGTTTATCGATCTACACGGCTTACTATAAACTATCACTGATAAAATATTTCGCTACTTTGATCAATGATAAAATGACGATAAAATAGCTCATCTAAATAAAGCACATCTGCGATGGCAAGCAGACTGAACAAATCCAAGGCCCTACTGCTATAGTGAAGCGTATGGCAAACGGGACCACTACCAAACATTGACACCATCCACAATCGGTGTAAACGGCTGCTAAGCAGAACCGCTCACTTAACAACGATCAACCACTGTCCACTGTCACTATACATTTTATATGGACCACTTAACCGATCAAATCATCTTACGGGCGTCATGCTCCTATGGCATATTTCGGAAAGGAGCTCTTCTTCTCTTCGCTCCTCGCCAAAGCACGCTATACGCCTGCCAATGTCTGTATAATCACGTCCCAGCGCCGCTCAGAAGTCAGAACAGTCCGACCTTCTTCTTCAGTTGCTGTCGCTTCCAGCCGGGCAGGGCGGAGAACGACTCCAGGGTCATGCCGAACACATCCCTGAACTCGGCCGGGGAGAGGTAGCGCTCCTTGACGGCCGGGTCCACGTCTCTGGGCAGCAGGGCCGCCTCCTTGACGTTCAGCTGCGAGAACGCGTACACGGGCAGCGTCTCGGCGGCGGCCTCCGGGCTGACGCGGCCCAGCCCGCCGTTCTCGGCGGCCAGACCGCGCCGCACCGTCTCCCAGTCCGGCTGGGTGCGCCACAGCTCGTCGCTCCACGGCCCGAAGAAGCCGGTGAAGGTGGGCGGTTCGGCGCCCTGGTGGACGGTGATGATGGGGGTGTCGGTGCCGCGGCCGGCCGGGTCCGTGCGCAGGTATTCGAGCGCCGTGTGTTCGGCCTGGCGTCGCTCGGTGGCGTTCGACTCGGCGCCGATCCAGATGAACACGGCGTCCCAGGCGTCCAGCAGCATCACGTCCTGCGGCACCAGGTCGGCCTGCTCGAACGAGACCACCTCTCCCACGGAGAACCGGCCGCCGGCGTCCGAGCAGTGGAACAGGCGCGGCGGGTGCGCCGGCTGCTCGCTGGACGCCGGACGCTCGCCGGCGTACGGCGCCCGGCCGCCCAGCGTCGCCCAGAAACTGGCTGGCTCCTGGCCCTCGTACATGACGCTCGGCTCGGCGCACAGCTCCCCGGCCAGCTTCTTGGCGCTCTCGCGCTCGTCGCCGGTCGCCCCGCGGCCGCACCAGACGCTGGCGCGCACGCCCTCGTGCAGCACGAAACAGTCGCCCGAGTTGAGCGATGCAGCGGCGAGCGGTACCTGGACGGCGCGCGTACCACCCTGCGCGGCGCCGCGCACCTGCAGCAGTCGCGGCCCGGCGCTGCTCGGCGCGCCGCCGCTGCCGGTCAGCACCACCAGCCGGCCGCCGAACAGCACCATGAAGTGCGGCGGCTCGCGGCCCTGCACCACGCGCACCTGCACCGGCCGGCCGCCGAGCCGGTCATCCAGCTCGACCGTCTTCAGGGCGGCCTGTCCGCGCTCCAGCTGCGAGGCGCGCCCGCCCAGCCAGTAGTAGAGCACCTGTCGCGCCGCGCCGCCGGCCCGGTACCGGTACAGCACTAGGTAGCAGTCGCCGTCCAGGAAGGTGCCGTGCTCGGCCCGCTCCACGGGCGTCAGCTCCAGCTCATGAACGCGCCACACCTCCTTCTCGCCGCTGCCGTCGTCCAGCATCTGCGTCTGCGCCGCCAGCGCCCGGTTCTCGTGCAGCGTGGCAGCGTCGAAACTCGTCTGGATCGGCGGCGCCAGTTTGCCAGAGACGGCCGTCTTGCCGAGACCCACCGCGGCATGGCGGTCGCGCCAGCTCTTGAAGAGTGTTTTGAACTCGCTCGGCTCCCCACCGTCGATGACTCGAGTCACGGCCGTGCTGGGCGCATAACCCTTCTTCTTGATGAAGCCCTGAGCGTTCCTCATGGCCTCAGCTCGCTCCTTGTGCGAGGCGCGTTTGCCGACCCACACCCAGATGCCCTGCTCGCCGTTGTCCACAATAAACGAGTCGTTAGAGTCGAGGTCGCTCTGCAGAAGAGGACCTGACTTTACCTCCATCACCATGAGCGAGCCGTCGTGGTCGCTGCAGCGATAGAGCCGCAGGTGCTCCACGCGCCGCCGCTCGTGCCGCTCGTCACTGTCGGCCGCCGCAGCCGGCTGAACGTGACGGTCCTTCAGAGGCAGCAGGCGACCGAAGAGGGCGCGCTCCGCCGGCGACAGGTCGCCCTCCTGGCCGCTCTCCACGATCACCACCTCTCCTCCTCCGTGCTCGCCCTTCAGCGACTGGGCCAGCCTCGCCGCCTGGATCTTCTCCATGGGGTTAGCCTGTTTTCCCGTCCAGACAAACACCGCCTCTCGCGCGTCCAGTACGAACACATCGCCGTCGTTGACGTACTCCCAGGAGACGGCCGGGAGTTGCCGGATGACCGGATGGCGGCGGCCCTTCACAGCGTACAGCGCCGGCTCGAACTTGTCTCCTACGTGCGTCAGGCCGGCCGCCGCGCCGCCGGCCAGGATCCGCAGCCCAGCCGGGAAGTAGGCGCGGAACCGGGCGCTCTCGGAGCCCTCGATCTCGCGGTGCTGCACCGGGCCGCCGCCCAGCAGCTCGTCCAGCTCGACCGTCTTGTAGGCGGCCACGCCCGCCTCATCAGCGCTCGTCTCCGAGCCCAGCCAGAAGTGGATGTGTGTCTCCAGCGGTCCGGGGGCATGTTGGACGCGCGCGGACGGCGGCGCGCCCCTCTCGCCGCAGTGCAGCACCACATACGAGTCGCCGCGGTGGAACCGGCCGTACTGGTCGCGGGGCACGGGCACCAACACCAGCTGCTCGACCCGCCACACCAGGAAGCAGGGGGCGCGCCGCGGCACGGCCCGGAACGCCGGGTCAGTGGCGGCCATGTCGGGCGGCGGGCGCCGGGGCCGGCCGCCAACGGGGGCGCGCGGCGGGCCGCTCACTCAGGTATGCGCCCCGTCTCGGGCGCCGACCACCGCTGTGCAGATCTGCGGCCGGGCGGCGCTCTCCGCCACAGGTGCGCGGCACTGCAGCTCACCCAGCACTGACACCGCGCCCGGCGGGCCCCGGCACACAGCGCCTCTGCACCGCCGAACAGGCCACCCTGCACCACAACACTTGACAATGCACTGCACGATCTATTACCGGTCCGTGGCGAGTGGCCACGGGGCGACACCGCGTATAATCCGGGCTGGCGCTCCCCGGTCACCGTCAAACCACAACACACAGACTCGGCACCTCTGGGTCCCGCTCCGCGCCGCGCTCGGTCCGCGCCGCGCTGACGCACCGCGCCGTCTGCGTGCCCGTCTCGCCCACGTCTAGTGGTGGCACGCAGCCGCCCACTGCACCGCCCGGGCGGCGGCGGCGGCGGCGGCGGGGTCGCCCGGCGCCGACCCGTTAGCTGACCCCAGCCGCCGGCCGGCCGGCCAGGCGGGTCGCGATGCTGCATACCGACACGGCTCTGGACGGGCGCCGGCCGCGCAGGTCGAGGGTCGCGCCCGCAGGAGCGCCAAATGGGAAGCCGTATAACGATGACTGATGGACCGGTCGATGGGCGACGATATGGTCTGCTGATCTTCACACTTCACACCCATTGATTTATTGATTTTATTAACGTCTATTGATAACTGGGCTGAGATTTGTATGAGTTTATATGCCTAGTGTAATTGTAAATGTTGTTGTTCATGCCTAGTGTAAGAATGAGGAAATCGTTTACAGATTAAGATCACTTTTCACTCAGATCATTTATAGCGAGTTAAAATTCCAATGTTGTGTTAAAATATTTATTTACGGGCGATTCGGATGATGATAATTTATAGCTCTATCCTTTGCGGTACTGCTGAACGCTGAACGCAAATTTCGCAAGCATCATGAAAATAAGGAGACACACAGGTGTCGCCAATGACCTTTGCACCCATTCGGGCACATACCACCGCACCAGTGCGACATGTCCCATTTTTTGCTGTAAACGTTCTAATCGGAACCGTCTTATCCCTGGATGCGTGTGTCCTCTCTCTCTCTCTCTCTCTCTCTCTCTCTCTCTCTCTCTCTCTCTCTCTCTCTCTCTCTCTCTCTCTCTCTCTCTCTCTCTCTCTCTCTCTCTCTCTCTTTCTCTCTCTCTCTCTCTCTGTGTGAGTAGTGTGTGTACTGTGTATGTTTATATCTGGTCTTGTCTGCTCTCTCTATCTCCCTCTCTCTCTGCGTGTAACGTCATATCTCTGTATGTCTGAGTGACACCCAGGTGTGCCCCGTCCCCTCTGACCTCCCCTGTCACTCACAGAGACGGACAGACAGACACCTACTCACAGAGACGGACAGACGCCAGACACTGGCACAGAGACGGACCGGCGCCCGACACCGACAGAGACGGACCGGCGCCCGACAATCACAGAGACAGACCGGCGCCCGACACCGACAGAGACGGACCGGTGTCTGCCACTCACATCATAGACGGACCGGCGCCTGACTCGACACACTGTGCTCGCATCAAAATCATGTGCTTTATGTCCCGACACGGAGCAAACATCTATAGACACGCCGCCCCCGTTAGCTTGAAGCACTAACGTCCCTTTTTACAAGGTTTTTGGAATTCAATGTGACACACAAAACGTTTTAAAGAGACGGTCAGTCACATGTTAAATCACCATTCCTTAGCAACAACCTCTCTTCCCTTCCTTTTGATTGATGCCTACCAGAATTCAGTTTCGACGTATCGATTCAGGAGTCGGTGAAGAAGCTCCAGAGATGAGTCATTTGTCGGCTCACCACCGCCCATCTAGCTTTATGAGATAGTGGGACGAGCAAGCGGCGAATCGGGGTCCCGAATCGGGACTATACGCTACGGTGACATGCAAGTTGAATGGGTCTACAGTTAATTAACTGTAACTGTATTATTTGTAATAAAAATAAATGATCAGACTTAGCGCTGAGCATTGGCTTTTATTTATTGATTTAAATTTCGCAGCTTACTTGTGAAATCAACCTTATTGGTTTTCTTACGCGATCACCTCAGCTACGAGTAGTACCAACCACCTGCACTAGCTCCAGCCCCCGGCCGTAACACAGGCTTGTGGTGCCGTCTGGGAGGATTTCCTACCGTGCCGGACCGCGCACCAACTCAGGTTCGCAGAGGTCGCCACTGGGCGCCAGGGCAACAGTCTCGGGGACCTGCTAGGTCGGGAGAACACGCTACTTCTAGCTTCAGGGCAGCCGTGTCGTGCACCTGGATCAGGACATATGTAGAGGTCGCCACTGGGCGCCAGGGCAGCAGTCTGGGAAAGCCGTCTCGGGGACCTGCCGGGTCAGGAGTGTACACAGAGGTCGCTGCTGTCAGGGCTAGCTGTCTCGGGTAGGGGCTCGAGAGCCTGCTGGTGGTCAAGAGGGTTCGCAGAGGTCGCCATGCACTGGGGCGTCAGGGCAGCCGTCTTGGGGACCTGCCGGGCCAGGAGGGTACGCAAAGGTCGCCACTGGGAGTCAGGGCAGCCGTCTTGGGGACCTGCCGGGTCAGGACTAGGAGGGTGTGCAAAGGTCACCAGTGGCCAGTGGGGGCAGCCGTACGTACGTATCGTGGACCTGCTGGGTCAGTACAGGCCGGGCACGACGAGGTCACAACTGCGCGTCAGGGCAGAAGTCTCGTGGTGCTCAGGAACCTGGGCGGGGAGGCCGGATAGACGACGGGGAACGACGGGGAACAGCCAGAGAGCTCTGCTACATTGACTTGAGATTAGGTACCCCATAGACTGAGAGTGACATACTGAAAGTGCTGATTGATAAGAGATGAGCGGATATATTTTTTTAATCGACGTTGAAACTGTTTCGATCGTATTTTCACGACGGCCATCTAGTAGGTACACATTTTGTGCAGATTAGGTGCAGATTTGGTGCATATTTGGTCAAATTAGGTTCATTGTGTTTCTTAAAACCTGTCAGTTTGGGTTGCACAGATGCTTATTAACCTCACTTTTTTTAATTATTACACATTATTTTCGATTAATACACCGAAACAAGTTGATGAAATGAAGATATTTGTAAAAGAGATTTGGTGCAGATTTGGTCATATTAGGTGCATTCACCAGGTAGCCCGTCGTGAAAACGGTTATTGATGAGTTTTCTACCTCAACGGAATCAGATTGACTTCCAAACTTTTTAGTTTTTCGATAAATATACAAAAAATTGACGATCAAGCATTAAATAAGGCGGCTTTTGATAGGTATTCGATACGAACCGTTTATCAAAAAATTATAAATTGGTCTGATGACATCATTCTCCGTCACACACGTCACACAAAACTCCATAACCCACCCCGGTAGCCGGTCGTCACTCTGCAGGCGATGTTATCACCCATAGGGGCGTGACGAGCTAATTGCCGCTGCCGGCGCCCTCTCACACGTGTGCCGCCGATATGACAGGCAGTGACGGGCGGCGACACCGACAGTGGCGGTCATTAGCCGCCACCATGCACCCATGAATATGGAGCATGCAGGCCCTAATGCCCCAGTGACGAGCCGTTCTCGGAGCGGCCGCGCGCTGAAAAAGTCACTGACACCGCCGCGCCGGTCGATGTCGATGTTGGGTCACATATGGGACACAGGCGGTCCCCGCAGATATACCTGACGAGACGGCTGCTGCTGCGGGCCCCCGGGGGAATCCTCCAGGCAGAGTGTCAATGGTACCCGTAGAAGGAAAGGGAGAAATACATTAGCAAGAGTTCCGCATAAAAAGACAAATGATAGGTACCGTTGAAACAAACGTTTTACCACATCTACAAAAAAAAAAAGATAAACGCGATGAAGCAAGGGGAAAGAGATAAAAGAGAAGGAATTCAAAGACTTAAAGTACAATTTATTTAAAAAAAAAACAGTAACACTAAATAAATTGTACCACACAATACTTTCAAAGCCTGGCTAAGTGGTGTGCAGGTGTGCAGGACACCGGGTTACATACGACTTTGTAATACAATCCATTTGATCCACTCCGGCTATCCCCATGATAATTGAGACGTAAATGCGTGCCACCGTGGCGACGGGTCATGCATATGAATTGGTATGTTTAGCGTCGACTGCTGGGATTGGTAGTCAACAAATGATGATAGTGTCACGGATGACACCTCAGTGGTGTCGATGACACTGCGGGGATCGATGACACTTAATACTGGCCGGTGATGACGTCACAGGTAAAATGAGTCAGAGACCATTTGGTGTTTTCCTTAGAATAAAATCACTGCCCTTCGCAGTCGAACTGTTGTGCTAATTTCATGATGAGTCTCACAGGCTCGCCAAGGTCGGAGCTGTGTTTCGATAAACTGTCGTCATATCCTGTTCAGTCGGCCATCCACGGGAACAAAACAGGTCACGCCGAGGGCATAGGGTTCCGCGGTACTTACAACAGCCCGGATACCGGGTATCGTACGTGTAGTGACCTAAATCGGGTCGGTGTTCGCTGTTTGCAGAAACGCCGGACCATCTGCGGATTGCGCTTATCTGCCAGAGAGGCACCGATCACTATTATTCTGAGCTTGATGTGGTTGCTGTGTTTTGTTCTAGCTCGACACACGCGTGGATCAGGTTTATTGGAATGTGCATAGTGCAATGTGTTCATTTTCTCCAAGCTTCGACGATATTGATGAAAGTGGAATGCGGGATTAGGTTAAAATGCTTCGGTGCCGTGTTTTCTTCGTACCGACAAAGCTGAAGGGCAGCGGTCTTCCACCCCACTTTGTTAACGTCGTATCATCTTCAACTGAAGGCCACCGTTCCGGTCGGCTCAACCCATCACCCAGACGTCTCGTCTCGCACGTTCCAGCGGGGCACGCGAGGAGAGTTGGGTCACACAGCGGCGGAACAGAGCCTACAATGGATCGCCGGGATTAGTGTCTGCTGGTCGGCGGCCGGGCGGAGCTGACCGCCGCTCCGGCCCGCCCCGTCCAGCGCGGAGAGACCGGCTGCGCTGTCGGAGGAACGGGGGCCTCCGCAGGGTAAGGAGACGACCAGGACCCAATCGGAACGATATGAGAGTGGATATGGTGACCTTTTTGCAGGTTTTGCTGAAGCATAGCTGAAATGTGCATGAAAAGTTCGTCCATGGGATCAGCTGAGAGGGGCACACATTTGCGCATTAAGTTCTGGCTACAGTCTACATCTTTATACCGACAAAATTAAGAGCGAAGAACGTCTAACGTTATCCGGCCAACATTGTCCCAGGTCAGCCCGGCCGACCACACTCCTGCGCTGGCCCGGGCACTGTCTGCTGCACTATTCACCGCCCGAGTGAAACGCGGCTGATGCCTCAGGCAGCACACTGACCGTACCCGACCACTGCAGCGTTCCCGAGGCACTGAACCGGGCTGATGTATGCGGTGCTTGTTGTGTTGCGAAATGGGTCCGCGGTGACGCACGGTTATAGAGGCCGGAGAGCAGTGTTACGGCCCGGCGAGTAAGTACTGTTGCGGAGCGGGAGAAACCATTTGTTGTAGTGCAGCTCGCTGTCTGACAGCGCGGCATATCGGCCGTGTATCTGCCGGCCCGGAGCGCACCGCTCGGTGCCCCGGAGCGACCCCGAGCTGGGGTGCATGCTGACAGTCAGTTACTCTCCAGAGCACATCAGTGGGTGGCCTGGTGCTGCTGCCACTCTCGGTCCGCAGGGGACCCCGCGCACTGCGGCGGCCCGGCGCGGCGGACGTGTCAGCAGTCTGGCCGGACACAGAACTAGGCCGGCGCGGTTTCGCCAGCCACCTTCCGGTCCCGCCGGGGTGCTGCCCGAACGGTGACGGCCCGCCGGGAGGTGAAGGGTGCGCGCCCCCCGGATGGAGCGGCCGGCGCGGCCGGCTGCGGACGCCGCCCACACGGCAGCGGGGTTCTGCCGGCCGCCGGGCAGCCAGCCTCCGAGAGTGGGCGCCGAGTGTCGCGGAGCCGCGGAGGAGTTGCGAGTGGAGACGGGCGGGAGTCGCGCGCCGGCCACCGGGCAGTCGCCACGTGCTGTAACCGAGCTCCGCGCGAGCTGTGGACATCGGCGGACCCACAGAGGAGCAGCGGCTGACCGCGGTCCCGAGCCAGAAGAAACTATTCGTGATAAAAAGATCCCGTTTTATATCTCGATCGAATTTATTGCCTCTTCATCCGAAGAGCACGATCACCTGCTCGGATCTTCTTCAGCCCGATACGCCGACTCGTCGAATCGTGTGTTCCTGCCCCGGTGCAGTGTCATCCCGAGTGCTAGCGTCGGCAGGTGGAGGCCCGTCGCCCGCCCCGTCGCGTTCGACGCCCCGGCGGTGACGGTACCGTCGCGTCATTCCGTCACCGTCGATGCGGGTGCTCGCGGTCCCATAAAGCGAGCAGTGCCCTGAGAGCGTGCCGAGTCGACCCTCCACCGGGACGCGATGACGACGATGGCGGCAGCTCTGGTGCTCCTGATGGCGGCCGCCGGCGCCGCCAGCGGCTCTCAACAGGTCAGTGTGGGGTCAGAGCGCCGAGTCAAAGCAGGGTCACCGGTCAGTGCCGATTCACAGCGTCACGGTGTTAGGTCACCGAGAAGCCATGGCAGACTAGAGTCCTCCTAAAGGTCTGCAATAAGAAACAACGACTCATTTCCAGGTTATTGACATACATTTTTAATTTTTAACTTTAAAATGAGCCAAAAATGTAACCAGTATGGGCAATTTCCGATAACTTTACCGATAGTTAAACGCTAAGGTTACACATACAGTCCATTTACGCATGATCTCCAAGAGTTGATATTTCAAGAGTTTCACCCCATCATGATCATACCTTACAAGCAGGTATCCATGACACATCGAGTACGAGCTTACATAACGCATGAGCCGGTGACATCCTGTTGCCGAGCGTGGTCCCACAAAACTGCCACACTCGCCCCGTATTGGCTGGGCTCCTCGATCGGATGTTAGCTGCTTGACGATCGTGAAGCTCATCGCCACTTCAGCGCCCACACAGGCTCTGAACCAACACCCCCGATCGGACAGTCGATAGCTCCGTGACTCCACTCCACAACCACTCCACATTCCACAATCACTGCACACTCCACACACTCCACTCCACACACTCCACTCCACACACTCCACTCCACACACTCCACTCCACACACTCCATTCCACAGTCGGACCCTGCGGGCTGCCATGTGATCGGAATTTATTGGCCCAAACTAGTCAGGACGTGGCGGTCTATTCAAAGTGAGAGCGACAAAGACCAAAAATATTACACTGTTGTCCGCCCCACGCGGTCATTTGTTGGTGTACAGCGCTGACATGCATGGCATTCTGGCTCAACATGAACAGGCGCCGTGCGAGTTCATTCGATTTCACGATGGGAGGATAACAGTAACTTACTCTTGCATGGATGCTCGCAGCGTCTATCGTTGGCGTAGATAGTAAAAGACCGTTGAAGACCGCCAGTCAAGTGTTGTGTGCAAGAGATATGACAATGAATTATGTAACAGCGGTGTCTTGCTACCTGGCTCAGCAACGTATCCACTATGTATGTGTTTGTATTAAAATATTCATAAAAAATGATAAAGGTAGAAATAAAGGTAAACATATTTCCCAATAACCGGTCGCAGGCGCTGTGAGTCAGCCACCGGGCGGGCCAGGCTGTTTTGTAACTGAACGCTCCGGAACCCGGAGTCCGGGGACGCTCTCTCGATACTGTACCGGCCGGCCGGAATATTCTGCTCAGGCCGCTCTGTAACCGAGCAGCTCCAGATGCTCTGTAAACGTTCGGTCCGGTGTGTGTACCTTCCACTCGAGTCCAGGTTGTTCGGACGATCCGGAGCGCCATGTCGGGCAGCTCGAGCTGCACACCCAATCCCACGGGAAGTCTAACCAGTAGCCGTGGGAGCCAGGCGGCGCGATCTGCTCCATCTGGTCACCGATCTCGACCGGTATCAGTGGTCAGTGATCATTGGTCAGCGATCGTGCAGAGCACCACCAAGGTCAGGTGAAGTCAGCCAGCCGGCCCGACCGCATCCGGTCCCGGGGACATGTCAGGCTTCTGCTCCCCGCCCTGCAGCATTCCGCAGTTAGACGGATTAGATGCCGTACAGGTCACCATAACCCGTGGCAGATCAGTTCCCGGTTAATCCATAATAGTCTTCTGTTCGCAGAACCTCCGTCTGTTTTGATTTCTTACCCGAGTATTGAAAAATGACGGCACACTTGACCTAATAATCGATTGCATGAATTAATTATGTCGTGGGCCTCAGCTCAGTTTTAATTGCTATTCAACTCATGCTCTGTGATGGATGAGATCCTTTCAAGTCCTTTCAAGTGCATCAGATATTCCGGTTATGCAAAATATGCTACATTGAATGAGCTGTCATTCAAGGTAACAAGCGATATGCGAGTTGTAACACATTATGAGTGAAATATTTGATTGCTGGAATTTTATCTCTACCTACAGATCAAATCAATTAAAGTGCTGTTACCACACATCCTCGGAAAACCTTGTCAACATTATAAACGATTTGTCTCCGACGTTCTTCGAAGTAGCATACGATTCGTTACAAAGTAAGCCTCTGGTGACGGTAATTGTTTGCGTGCTTGCTTATGGCTTGATGAACCCCAGGGTGCAGACGCCACCAGTGCCAGCCGAGAACTGTATTCAGCGAGCGGGGCGGCGGTGGCCTGGGCGGCCACAGCCCAGACTGCATACGATACCGGCGCCGGCTCAGTGGCGGCTCCAGGCTGTAGAGCGGGGTGTGACCACAGCAGCCACCACGATACATCTCCCCCTCTTACGCGTGTGCTAATAAGATCTACTAAAGAAAGCTAGGCTTTACTCCAAGCACAAAGCTGGTTTTCTTAAACCCCGAAAATCCGACCGCTGCGAGTTTTACGTGGGCTAACGTGTACGCCTACGGGGTCGTCAGCGGGCTGCACTGATGGTGGAGCGGGTGCCAGCGGAGACGTCGCCGGCTCAGGCGACGGCGCAGCTGGCGGAAGCTGCTGTGGTGGTGGTGGCGTCACCACCGGGCGTGGTGCTGCCACGGATGTCGGCGGCACCACCGGAGGTGGCACTGGTGCTGCCCGTTGCCCGGTTCCGTGCTGTGCCGGGACCTGTAACGGAACAGGAGGGATCAGCAGCAGGTGCCGTCGGTTGCGGCGATATTGGCAGCCGCCCAGCTCCACCAGATAGCTGCGTCTGGAGAGCCTTTGCGTGACGATGGCGGGCTCCGACCAGCTTCCCTTTTCTGTCTTGATCCGGACTCTGGCGCCGGGATGCAGCGGAGGCAGGTTGCGGGCGCCTCGCCTCTGATTGACGGTTGACTCCTGTTTCTTCTTTCTCCGCCCATCGCGAAGTTTAGCGTGCCGCCATGCCTTCTTGGCGGGCTGCTGAGCGACGGGGAGACGGGACTGAAGCTCACGTCCCATCAGAAGCCGGGCTGGGGAGTATCCTGTAGCTTCCACAGCCGTTGTTCGGTAGTTCAGGAGAGCGAGGTGAGGATCTTTTTGGCGAAGTATCCACTTTGCGGTCCTCACGGCCCGTTCAGCTGCTCCGTTGGATGATGGCGTGTGCGGGTCAGTGACGCGATGTGTGAAGCTGTAAGAAGCTGCGAAGTCGGCGAATGAGCTGGAAGTGAACTGCGTTCCTCCGTCTGTTGTTATCAGATCCGGTATCCCCAGTCTGGAGAACAGGCGCTTCAGCCGCTCGATGACTGCGGTGCTTGTGAGGCTGGGCAAGCGTTGAATTTCCAGATACCTGCTGAAGAGGTCCACAGTCACGAGCCAGTTGCTGTTGTTGAAGTGGAAGATGTCTGCTGCGATGTGAGTCCACGGTCTTGACGGCGTTGGAGTCGTTACCAGTGGCTCAGCGTGCTGGGAGGGCGCGTGCACCTGGCAGAACGCGCAGTGCTCGATGTGGCGCTTCAAGTCGATGCTGATCTTGGGCCACCAGACGGATTCTGCTGCTCGCTGGCGGCACTTGTTGAGCCCGAAGTGACCGTCGTCATGTAGACGGTTGAGCATCTCTTCACGCAGACTAGGCGGTATGATGATGCGGCGGCCGTACATCAGCAGTGTGCCGCTTGTCAGGTAGAGAACGCTGATTTCTCCACGCGCGGCGAAGTAGTCCAGCATGTCGGGGTGCTTTGCTCCCTCCTTCCAGCCAGAGAGAGTCTGCTGAACCACGCGCTGGAGGAGTTCATCTGCCTGTTGTGCCCTGCTGATCTCCACTAGACGCTGCGGTGTGGCGGGCAGGTCATCGAAGACCCTCTTGCAGAAGTTGTGGACGTCTTCCTGTAGCACAGCGCCGATCGCATCGTGTTTCTGGAGTGGGTGACGCGAGAGGAAGTCCGGTACCAGGTGCTGCTTCCCTGGAATGAACACCGCTGTTGCGTTGTAACGCATCAGTCGCATGAGCATGCGCTGACACCTGATTGGCGCATCTACGAGATTTTTCGTGTTGATGAGCGGGATCAGTGGCTTGTGATCCAGTTGTAGGTCGAACGACGGCAGTCCAGACAGGAACATGTGCATCTTCTCGCACGTCCAAGTTGCAGCGAGTAGTTCCTTTTCAATCTGGGCCCACCTCGTCTCTGTGTCCGTCAGACTTCTGCTGCAGAATGCGACGGGCTTGAAGATGGAACCATGCTTCTGAAGGATGCATCCTCCGATTCCGTAGCTGCTTGCGTCTGCGCTGACCACTGTCTCACGCGCTGGGTCGTAGAACGCCAGGACTGGAGCGGACGTGACGGCTGCTTTCACATCATCCAGTGCTTGCTGCTGCTGAGGCGTCCAATTCCACGCAGCGTCCTTTTTCAGCAGATCGTTGAGGGGCCTTAGGCGCTCCTGGATGTGCGGGACGAACCTGCAGAGGTAGTTGACCACCCCTAGCAGAGACCGGAGCTCGGTGACGTTCTTTGGCTGCTGGAGCTGCTGTATCGCTTCGAGCTTCTCGTCGTCCACACCGATGCCATTCTTGCTTATCTTCATGCCAAGAAACTTGACCTCGTCCCTTCGGAACTCACATTTCGTCTTGTTCAGCTTGAGACCAGATTCGTGGATTCTTCTGATGACGGCTTCGAGACGTGCGTCATGGTTGCTTGCATCTCCAAAAACCAGCGTGTCGTCCATGTAGACGATGACTCCAGGCAGTCCATCCAGCATCTCCTGCATCTTTCGCTGGAAGCACTCCGGAGCCAGTGAGATTCCCATCGGCAGGCGCAGGAACCTCTTCCTGCCGAACGGTGTGATGAACGTAGTCATTTTGGAGCTTGCTTCGTCCAACGGGATCTGGTAGAAGCCAGAAGAAGCGTCCAGCTTGGAGAACAGTGTCGCACCGCCCAGCTTGGACGTCAGGTGCTCCAGGGTCGGGATCGGGAAGATCTCACGCTTAACGGCTTGGTTCAGCTTTTTGTAGTCAACTGTGATCCGGACACCACTGTTCTTCGGGACGGGGACGAGCGCGGATACCCAGTCTGTGGGTTCAGTCTCTGGTACGATGATGCCCTGCTCTTCCATTCTCTTCAGCTCCTCCTCCACTGGCTTCATCAGCGGCAGGGGGACGTGTCTTGCTGTGGAGAGAGCGACCGGGACGGCATCCTCGCGTACCCGGATGCTGATCGGTGCCGTCTTCATGAGACCTGCCTCTCCGAAGACATCTTCATGCACCTCTCCTGTGAACTGGAGAACACCCAGACGCGAGCACGCCGACCGGGAGAGGAGGTTATCTGCTGAGTCTACTACATAGAACACCTCCGACTCCGCTTTGCTTTTGAACATGATTGTCCCATGCAGCTTTCCTTTTACGGTTAGCACGCCACCGACGCTAGTGAGCGTGCTTGAGGCATGCTCAAGGGAGGGCAGGTTCAGTCGCTGGTAGGTTTTCAAAGACAGAATGCTAACGTCGGCACCAGAATCAACTTTGAACGTGACCTCCTGACCGCAGAGACTGACTGTGATTCTCCACGGCGCGCACGCTTTGTCGATTTCACCAACGAAAGCATCATGTGGCGCTAACGGCTCGCTTGATTCTGTACGCTCTATCTGCCTGACGCTAGGTGATCGGCAGACGGCTGCGAAGTGATCCATTTTCTGACAGTTGGAACAAACTTTTCCCTTAGCGGGACAGTCCCTCGGTGAGGCATGCCGCTCTCTCCCGCAATACCTGCATGTTGTTGCAGAGTCGATGTGACGCGCTTGCTGTCGTGGCTGCGTGGCAAGTGACTGCTGCTGTCGCCCGTGCTGCTGGCGCCGTTGGTGCTGCTGCTGATGGCCACGCTGGCGCTGACGGGCATGCTGCGGCTGCTGGCGCGGCTGTCCGTACTGCGTCGGTGCTTGAACCCCGTTGACATCGAATGGACCGGAGCTGTCACGGCTGCTTACGATTTCGACGTTACGCATCATAGTGATGACCGTATTCATCGACACTTCTTCCTCGAGCGATTTGAGCTGGATCTTGCGGGACAGCTCCCTGTCGGACATCCCGGATATGAGACGATCCCGGATCCGCTCGTCAGCGTCTGCAAAGCCACAATGCTCGGCGAGAGAGAACAATGCCCTGATATACGATTCGTTGGTCTCGTGTGACCCTTGGCATCGGAGCTCGAAGTTGTGACGTTCTGCAACGAAGTTCCGTCTCGGAATGAAATACTCGTCTAGCTTGCTCTGTACAAAATCAAAATCTTTGCTTTGCTCAGCAGTTAGCTTAAAAGTTGACACGATATGCTCGGCCTGGGGGCCCATGCTATAGATCAACGCAGCTACTTGTACATCACCGTCCTCCTTGTGAAGTCCCGATGCCAGGCGGTAGCGGATGAAGCGATCACGCCACGCCGGCCACTTTTCAGGAGAGGTGAAATCAAAGTCTTCTGGTGGATGGAAACCAGGCATCTTAAGTGACGATGCAGCACAGCAGCTACACGAAGCTCTTCAATAACGGCTGATAAAAATCACAGTAATTAGATGCACGCTTCACAAAAAAGTCACTAACGCTTGCTTATGCTTGCTTGATGAGTGGCACGGCAAGTTCAGAAGGCAGGCTGCGCCATGTTTGCGTGCTTGCTTATGGCTTGATGAACCCCAGGGTGCAGACGCCACCAGTGCCAGCCGAGAACTGTATTCAGCGAGCGGGGCGGCGGTGGCCTGGGCGGCCACAGCCCAGACTGCATACGATACCGGCGCCGGCACAGCGGCGGCTCTAGGCTATAGAGCGGGGTGTGACCACAGCAGCCACCACGATACAGTAATGTTCGCCTCTTCCAGCTGTTCCCGGACCTGCACAAGCTGATGACTCCCATGGAGTTGCGTCACTACCTGGGGCACGTGCACGGTCACGTGAGCGCAGAGTACGAGCTGGTATACCTGCCTGTGAAGAGTACCAACGCCAGCATCCACAAACGGGACACGACCTCCACCAGACACGTCCAGTTCGAGGCGTTCGGAAGGTGGGTGATTGGCGATGTCTAGCGGCTCAGAGCAGTTCTTTTCTCTCGTCATTTCAGTTCGTCACCTTGAGTTCCACTTGAATGCCGGCATTAGTGACTCTCTTGTCTCTCATCAGAATATCATATTAGGCGGTGTTATGATAGCCCGTCACCTTCCGTTGATACGGTGTGAATAACAAATCACGGCCAAAGAACTGCACGTCACTATCAATCACACCTCGCTCTTCTCTTCTCCCTACTGCATAAAATCCGCTGGGAAGGGACGGGGAGGCATGCAGGGAGCAGAGAGGCGAGAGATTAATGATAGGCGGGTTGGTCTTCATGGAACGGTGCCGAACACCAATCAGTTTCCACACAGAAGTAGCAATAGAATGAATACCTATCATTCTACATGCCTGCTCCAGCGATTTATACCTTACCTAAACCGCTGCTCAAGACGTTACAACACCTTTTTAAAAGGCTATCTCGTTCAGATTTATGTTGATAGGGGATGCTTAATGGTTTGCAGCTCCCGGTACAAGACATATTCCCCTACTCGTTTTGGAGAATCGTTCGGAGGTTGCGGCAGTCCGGGTGCTCCTGGCATAGACGTTGGTCGTATGGCATCTCTGAGGAAGGGGAACCGACTAAACCTGCAAGAAAAATGCCGAGGTTGCAATGAGCAGCTTCAATGTATTTTATGTTATGCAAACAATCGCCAAAAGAACGAAAGAAAATCTTCTGAAGATTCCGAAAGAACGAAATAAGATCTCTCAAATGCTATTCATTTCTAAAAAATATAATTGCCTACACCAGCAAACAGAAAGAATTTCTGTTAAACAGTCACCCAGATAAGGCATACAAATTTCATAGGTCGAAAAGAAAACGCAATGCTGTTTTAGTTAAAAGTGTTACCTATTTCAAGCAAAACAATCGTTCCCAATTCTGTTGATCACTTGACACTAACTAACGTAAACAATCGTTCCCAATTCTGTTGATCACTAGACACAAACTAACGTTGTCATTATTGTTGCAAAGCCAAAAACAGTCAGCTAACGACATTCTTAGGAAGCTAAATTTACCACAAAACCCCAATGGTGGGTGTACCCAGTGGTCTTCAGTTTGAACTTTGACCTATGGAGTGGGCCTCCTATGACGGATGGCCCGTCCACGAGGTCCTGCAGAGAGCGGCCGTACCCGTGTCACTGCGGGACCGATGGACAGCCGCGGCTGAGAGCTCGGCTCTGGCTGCGCCCACTCCGGCAGCCGGCGCGCTAAGCTCTCTATATTGAGCAGCTGTTCTTCAGTCAGACACACCGTGTCTGCCGCTGAGCGCAGTGGGAGAGCTGGTGCTGCAAAGTCGCGGCCGGGGGCGGACTAGTCGCGACATCGGCTGCGACTTTTCGAAAAGTTAGACGTTCGATTTTAACCTATGTCGAGCATTCACAGGCTCCCGTTCAGGCAGTAATGTAAAACGTTGCCATGGAGATGTTTTGACCTCATGTCCATTCATTTAAAATATTGGCATATTTCAAAGCAGCTCAATATAGGGAGATGGACTCAGGTACATACCACTTTGCAAAACAAACTGATTTGAATAAATAGCCTGTGGCACACTTATCCTTATACTCGCTGGTAAAATGAGCTCTCTTTTAGCGTCTCCCATTTATCGTCTCCGTGGCGCATTACCGTTGCAAAGGGCCGCGAATAAGCGACGTCAGGGGTGAGCGGCTATTTGTTTGCGCCTCCAAATATGCGCATACCCGGGGAGGTGGACGGCGCACCGTCCACACAGAGGTATCACTCAGGAGTGTCGAGCGCCGCCCCGGTCAAACCCTGTCCTCTGCCGAGTGAGACTTACTGGGCCGACCGGTAGGTCAGAGTCAGAAGAACTCGGTCATCACCTGAGACATTTCCACATTATACATAAAGACTAATGAGTAAGCGTAAGAATCGATGCCATAAAAATGCATTATGTAATATGTAACCAGGCACAGTTGTTCAATAGCGTTACACGGTCATGTAATGCTCGAATTATTTTAAAATGTGTTTAAAGGAAATCCAATGGAAAAATTAACGTCATCTTTTCTCAGCTTCCTCTGTAGTAGCCCACGAAGCGGGATATTTGATACACCCATGGCCTCGAAATTATTAGCAACTCAACCAGAAAGTCATATGCAAAACCAAGGCAGGTATACCAACACCGCAGTCAAGCATAACACTCAATGGTTCATCCGCACCGCCATGCACTGAACGGCACTCAACTGCGGATGACCGTCTGCACGGGCAGCGTACTCGATCAAATGCTGAGTGTTGCCCTAGCTGATCACTTCGCACTCGTCAGTGTTACGGCGTGACCCACACCGGGTCCACCTATTGACACAACGTGTCGGTGGGGAATGACCCCACCACCATCGTTGGATGAGAGTTGAAGGATAACAAGGACGCTGTGTATGGCGGTAGTTACATACATAGATGACATGGATACAGTTAGATTACAAATTATATGGCGTGGCAAGCTCATATATTATCTTAATCTCATCCTTTCAGGCGAATATCTGCCCCGGGAAATAGCGTAGAGCTTTCTGTAAAACCCCGAGTGTGCTTCGCCGTTTTTCATCTCGTTACACCGACCCCGCCTGCACTGTGTTCTGTCGTTGTTCAGCCCGTACCGTCCCCACCTGCACTATGTTCTCCCTTTTTCAGCCCGTACCGCCTCCGTCTGCACTGTGTTCTGTCGTTTCTAGCCCGTAACGTCCCCGTCTGCATTGTTTCCTCCCGTTTTCAGCCCGTACCGCCTCCGTCTGCATTGTTTCCTCTCGTTTTCAGCCCGTACCGCCTCCGCCTGCGCCGGAACCGTCACCTGGTGCACCCGACCACCGAGATGGTTCGCCGTCTCTCCGTGAACGCCACGGAGGAGGTGCGACACGAGTCCGGCGACTGTCACTACCTGCACCGCGGGACGGTCCTGCTGGCCGCCATCAGCGCCTGCAGGCCCGGGCACCTGGTAAGTTCGTTATGCATAGAGTAAATAATGCTTCTCTTTCGAGATGAGGCGGTATACTTTTTACATTTGTTTGTGCACATCTAAAACAGCACATTGGAAGCTGAAAAGCGAAATGTCCCTAAGTTTTTAATCTATAACTTATAACTTATGCAGTTGTTTGCGTAATCATTCTCTAATGTCTAGGAATGCGATGCGGAAGTCGAACCGAGGGTATTATCTAAATTTGTCCGGAACTCAGAGCACACCTTTCTCGGGATTAAGACACGCGCTCCTCACACTCACCTAGATTAGCGCACAAATATGGCCGTTGCGAAATCGGCTGTCACAAAGGCACGTGCGGAGGAGTAGGGTCAGCCACCCGGACCGGTGCCGGTGCCGGAGAGCACTCTCCGGTGTCCAGTACCGCTACCGGTCGGCCGTGTCGCCGTCCGGGGGTCCGCGCCAATCATACATCACATCTCTGCACAAGGCGGCCCCATCCGCCGGCCGTGTGTGGCGGCGGCCCGTACCATTTGTTAGCGGCGCCCGGGGAGTGGCGCGGGCCGGTCCGGTCCGGCAGGCTGGCCACGGAGCTCAGTCAGTCCGGCTGACCGCTCGGGGTTCAGATATCACCCGGTGAGCTGGCCGCTCGGGGTTCAGACCTCACCGGGTGAGCTGGCCGCTCGGGGTTCAGACCTCACCGGGTGAGCTGGCCGCTCGGGGTTCAGGCCTCAACGGGTGAGCTGGCCGCTCGGGGTTCAGGCCTCACCTGGTGAGCTGGCCGCTCGGGGTTCAGACCTCACCCAGGCCATGGTGAGCTGGCCGCTCGGGGTTCAGACCTCACCGGGTGAGGAGCTGACTACTCAGACCTCAGGCCCCGCCCAGCATCCGGTCAACTGAAGTGACCGCCCGAGTCCCCGTCAAATGGCCGCTCGGACCTCACTCCGAGCCCTGCCAATCGCGGTGACCGTTTGTCGGAGGAGTACCGGGCTCAATACACCCCGACATCTCTAGAGGTCGCCCGGGTCACGAGTAACAAGGCAGATGCCATTTCTTATCGCTGCAACGATCGGCTGTTTGAGTTTTATGAGCGGCTCATGACGAGGAAGCTTGCGGTTCGTCTAAAGTCCATTACATGCAAGTATCATATTTAGCATGAGCGAAACGGCTCTAACGTTGAAAGGGTTTCAACGGATGAATGCAGCCGCTTTAATGTGATGCATGGTCTGCACGATTCTTGAATGAGTGCTAAATTTCGTCTGCAAATGCGATTATCATATAGTAACCCATGCAGCCATCGATGTGGACTGTTATCTAACGCTCGGTTCATCGTTTTCACATCATCAGCCATTCTGGTTCATGCCTTTGTGTAGGCGTTATCAGACTACCAATCAAAGGGAGCGGACGTCGAAATGTTGCTGTCGAGCTTTTAGGACTTCGCAATAGGCGTGTGCACTTGAATACGCTGCTGTAGGCACTCGTATATTGTAATCCTTTTACTTGTATCGTTGTATCGTCTTTTCTCGTTTTACCGTCAATTTTACGAATACAAACAGCTCCCTGTTCATGACCTTGCACAACTCGTCAACAGCATAGCCCGATGGCGAGGACCGACGGTCCGTATCTGACCTCTGACCCGCTGACCCCGGCAGCGCGGGTTCGTGTCGGACGGTGAGACGCTGCTGGACATCGCTCCTCTGAACAGCCGCCTCAGCCGACTGGTCGGAGCCCGCCGCCGGCGCAGGTCCGTCGACTCCGACATCGACGAGGTGCTGCACCTCGTCAGACGCACCGACGTCGACGCCTTCGGAGAGCTCTTCAACAGTCTCTTCGACAACATCGACGTCAGCGATGACTACGTTCTGCCCAGTGAGTTAAATTTATGGGCTTTATCAGAAATGCCTACTTAAAGCGGGTTATGTTATGTTACCACCATCCAGCATATGCAGCTTCTTTTTGGAGCCTGTTTTTGCATGTGCTTTCCTGCAACAAACTAGATTCACCGGCTATTTAAGAATTTACCGCTGTTTTCAGGCTGATCTCCCAGGCCCTTGTGACAGTCTCTCAAGCATCATTTATCGACATCTCACTTTTCCTTACAGGTTTCATCAATCCAAAGTTCGAAGACACGCTTGAATTCAAAGTGGTGAGCATTCATCTATTGATTCTTATCGTAGATAAGCGCTGCGCTTCATCTACATATCAAACCGGAAATCCATTTTATCGATTATTTCTGCATTTAATTAAAATATGCTCGAATCTACATATTGCGTCCTAAATATACCAGGCAGTGACCAAAGTATGAACTCAATTGTCAGCCTCCCGGTTTCAACCGCCGGAAACGGGGCGATAAACTGACGCTGGAGCTGGCACTGTACGTGGACAAGCCGGCCAGGGAGACGTTCATGCCCTTCTTCGACAACGACCTGGACACCTTCATCAACTTCATCCTCGGATTCATTAACCAGGTGAGCTTACAAAGTCCCGGTAATGGTATTGTCTGGTGTAATCTTATTCTGGTTAAGACATTCCTGGTAAAAAGAAAAAGACGTTAAAATAATGAGTTATAGTAAAGCATGAGTCACGAAGTTCTCGTGTTACGAGTTTATTCAAACGTTTGTTCCTTTGACGGCAATATTTCCGTTTCCCTTCAGGTCCAGGCCCTATACTACCTGCCAAGTCTTGGAGCGAGGATAGACATCACCCTCAACTACCTGGAGATCATGGAAGTTCAGGCAATGCGACATTACGGAGGCGAGAGAGGAAAACTGCTCACCTCGTTCTGCGAGTACAATGAACTGCTAAACAAGAAGGCAAAGGACAACAAGTGGGACATGGGGCTGTATCTGTCCAGGTAAGAACCTAACCGCATTATCCGTGCATTTGTATCGGGTTTCAACGATCTAAGCCCGTATCTCCCCATTCGTATAAGTTATAACCTTTTAGTGGCTGACTCGCCGGCGCCGGTGTATTTCAGCCTGGACTTTTTCTCGATGGAGGGAGGACGGAAGTCGCCGGTGACGCTCGGCCTGGCGGTGCTCTCGGGCGTCTGTCACGAGGAGTACGCTTGTGTCATCGGCGAGCTGGGGGTCACCAACCAGCAGGTATGGACATTGAACATGTAGGCTCTTCGCTAACATAGTTTGCAATAATCGCTGGTGAAATTCAAATGTCTTAAGAATCACCGAAAATATGCAGAGTATATTTTAGCCCCAACGTGACTGCCCGGCAGGGCAAGCCGTACCCGTCTGCCGGCTTCAACGCGGCGTTCATCACCGCTCACGAGATCGGCCACAACCTGGGCATGAGTCACGACTCGCAGGGCAACACGTGCCGCTCGAACGGGTTCATCATGTCGCCGAGCCGGGGTATACGCGGGGAGACGACCTGGTCCAGCTGCAGCCGACAGGCCATCCTCGACATGCCGTGAGTGGACGGTATCCTACACGAGGCTGCGCGGCCGAGTGTGGTTTTTAGACGGTCACTCGGTGTGAACTGGATAATCTCTAAAAGGCTCTGACGCACACTGATTTAGATATTGAATGTATAAAAAAGGTATAAATATGTGCAGTCTTGCCAATAAATATTAAAAACGACATATTAGCAGAAAGACATGTTCAAAGTCAGAGAAACACTGGAACACCGCTGTCCGCTACCACTTATAAAAACAAAACCGCAATCCTCCACTTCTCTTAATTGGCTTCCTTCCACCTTGTGACAGGCCCAACTGCCTGGACGACAAGCCTCAGAAGCGTCCCGTGAAGAACCACCGCATCTTCCACGAGCTGCCCGGTCAGGCGTTCGACGCCTACGACCAGTGTCAGATCTTCCTCAGAGACCCCGACGCCGGCCTCTTCGATACCGAGAGCTTACAGGTAGGGAGACAGCAACATACAACACCATGTCCTCGACAGAATGCATGACGATTAAATACCCCTGTATGAGCGGCAGGACGTGTGACTTTCCTTCACGCATGCTTTGACTCTGTGATATGACCGACAGGACGTGTGTAACCGGGTAAAGTGCACCTCCCCACACCGGATCGGATACTACTACGCCGGGCCCGCCCTGGAGGGAACCTACTGCGGGGACAAAAAGGTACGAATCGTCTGAGGATAATATCGTTACCGTGTGCTGCTTTCATGGAGAAGTCAAAAGGCGTATCCTTTTTCTTGTAATTCGCAGTCAATGTACAGTAAAAAAGTCACGTCAAGTCCAAAGCCAGCGTCACTCGTTGTATCCTCCCTTGCCCCGCGCGGCCTGTGAAGTGTGACGTCCCCAGTTCCGTATATCGCGTTTGACGCGCTCTCCTCTGCCCGGCAGTGGTGTATCGGCGGCAGCTGCCGGCCCTGGTCCTCCGATCCCACCCCTAAGGTGGTCCAGGGAGGCTGGGGCAGCTGGAACGTCTCACAGTGCTCCTCCGGCTGCCTGGACAAGTCGCTCGGTAGGTGGGCCGCGAGGGGAGGTCGGGTGGGATCCCGGTGCTACGAAACTGATGAACTGCGAGGCTTAGGGTGGTGGGAGTGACTGTAGTCAATGCAACGATCAACTGATTATGGATGCAATAATCACTGATACCTAACGCGAACAGGGGGAATATTCCAATGCACTTTCTGGTGTGCAACGAATGAGTAGTGAACGAATAAGATCTTACGTTCATTTCACTCAGTGTCTAAGCATGAATGTGCCCTTATAAGTTATAAATACATAGACACACCGCTCCTCGGTTCTGGATCGCACGAGCTCATCCCTCACTCTCTGCCACTCCCCCTCTTCCCCAGGCGTCTCCATCTCCACCCGTCGCTGCGACAACCCCAAGCCGCAGAATACGGAGTCGCGCTGTCCGGGACCGGTGCGGACCCTGCAGTTCTGCGACGATACCGCCATCTGCAACTTCCGCATGACGACCAAAGACTACGCGGCCCAGAAGTGTCTGGAGTTCAGTCAGCTGGTGCCCTCCCTGGAGCCGCGGGGAGGAGGCACGCAGGCCACCTACTCGGAAAGTAAGCCGACTGACATCGACACTGTGCAGCGGATGGGAAATGGGATGGCTGTGAGGGATAGATGAGGCTGGCGGACCTATGTCTGGCGTTCTGTAGACACTGGGCATCCGTGCTGGGTGGCTGGCTGATCGTTGAAAGTTCTGGCGAATCTAAAGTCCGGGATTGCACAGACTACCGAGCTCCAGCCAAAGGCGTTACGCCGGTTCTTTCGCCAGCTTTTGGTGAGCTAACGCCGCCCGGTACTGCACCGAGAGGATACCAGGCGTGTTGTCGTAGTTGCATTATCCGTAACCAGCCTCATGTCGTCAGCAGTGCTGACTCCTGCTTCATGTGCCGTCCCGCAGGCGAGGAATGGCGAGCGTGCGCCATCTACTGTCGCGACACCAACCTCAACTGGTACACCCCGCGGGACCAGCTCAGCAGTCTGGGCGTGGACACGTTCTTCCCGGACGGCACGTGGTGCCACACGGACCGCCGCACGGGGGTGGACTACTACTGCCAGCACCACCGCTGCCGGCCCAAGGTAGAGCAGGGGGCCGCCGGTACCGCGTACCCTCCGCTGTGGTACACCACCACGAGCACCGCCCGGCCGCCGCCGCCTCCCACCACAACCACCACCACAACCACCACCACAACCACAACAACCACTACACCGAGACCATGGTGGGCCCGACCAACTACCACCATCAGACCATGGTGGGCCCCTCCCACCACGGCCACCTCTCGGCCCTGGTGGGCCCGTCCCACCACCACCCGCCGTCCTCGGACCACCACCACGCGCCGCTGGTGGACGGTGCGGCCCGCCGCCACCACCACCGAGCGCCCGTGGTTCGCGTTCATTGACGGTGTGTGGCAGCAGCTGCCGCCGAACCCGGCGACCCCCGTCACCAGGTTTCCGCCGAGACGCACCCGCTGGCCGCCGAGACGCGCCGGTAGAGGCGCCACCGCCGCGCCTAGGGGCGCCACCAGTGCAGAGAAGAAGACCGGGCGACCACGACCGAGCCCCATGACAGACACAAGATAACGACGTAAGGCTCCGAGTCCTCTGGACAGCTTTGCCATGAATTCGCTTCGCAACGCTTCAGAAAGAGCTCCCGCTGCGCGCTGCTCCCGATCCGAAGCTGGGGAGAATGAGTCTCCCCGCACGGGGAAGGGATTGACCGGCAACTAACGCTTCGACGGCTCCAGCTTGCCCTAATGCCTTGCATTCAGTCCCGACCAACTAACGATTTAACTAGCACAGGGTTGATCCCAAATCAATGTGGACAGACCTGGCAAACGAACGAGATGCTGCTGCCGGGAGTGCTTTCTTTTTCTCAAAAGATAGCGTTACGCCCGAGACCGTATCTGAGACTTAGATAAATACAGCTACTGTGAATGCTATATTGCCTTCGGAATTCATTCCCATGATTTGCTTTTAGCACATAATGCATGGCTGCGGTAAAATTACGCAAAAGCTAAATAATGCAGAGAAATCCTTGCAGACAGAATGATATTTATTGTGGTACTCCTCATAAATAATTACTTACTTACTTACTTACTTACTTACTTACGAAGTACAGAATTTGGATAGGCCAGACTAGGCCTTTAGAAACCTTTCTAGTCGAGCTCCTCGTGCGTCTGACTATTCATCTGCGTGAGGGATGTCGTGTGCAAGGTGTGCCCACCAGGTGTGCCCAATTACCCTAGGAGTTTGTCATGCTTTATAAGAGTTTAGAGTAATTACTTCCCGTCTTTGAAAAAAGATAACTTGCATAAATTTCGTACACACATTGAATGTCAAATTTAGCATAGTTGTTATATGTTCCCGAATAATATGAGAAAATCCCGCCGAACATGCCACGGGATTATGTTCCCGAATCCCGACTCATCCCCATCTTTCTCGTTCCGCCTCTCCTTCAGTACGACCACTGACCGACTCTGACTCCACAGGTCGGCCGCGACTCCAAGGCGCTGTTTGACGGCGACTCGGCCGACTCCACCCTCCAGGAGACCAACGCGGCGCCGGACGTGGCTCAGAACGCGCTGAACGCGGGCGCCACCGAGCCGCCGGCGCTGCTGGCGCTCTTCCAGCTGGGCCCCGGCCTGGAGCCGGTGGCGGCGCCGCAGCAGGTGGTCCTCGACCCGTCCTCCTCTGAGGAGCAATTCGACATGGACGACATCGGAGAGGACGCCGCCGACATCCCCCGACTGCCCGGCCGGGCGCGCCGCCGGCTCCAGTACTAGCCGCGGCGGCCCGTCTGCCAGGGCCGGTGTCCTGCCCCCGCGTCTGTCACACACGCGGCCTCATCCTCCGACACGCCCGACTGAGTGTCGACGTGCGCCGCATTCGAGCTTCCGTGCTGTGTCCTCAGCTTGTGTGTATTTATTTATGGCTGGGTCTGCGTTATCTGTCGGCCACACGAGACGGCGACTTTGATCTCTGCGACGGGCTGCATGTGCAGTGTGCACTATAATGCGTTTGTGGGTGTGTATGTGTGTGTGTGTGTGTGTGTGTGCACTATTGTGGTCAGGGTCGTGTATGGGTCCTCAGTTTGAGACTTGCAGTCCCTTGCGTTGGCGTTGTGTGTTGTGCCCGTGATTCTAGTGAGGACTTGTCTTTTTGCTGATTTTGTTTCAAACCGATGTTGAATAACAAGGTAACGCAGAATATTTTTCGGAAAAGAGGTCTGTTTTAATCCCATCGTTGGAGTTTTTTCCTTTAGAAATTGACTCAGGAAAGAACAGTATTTCCCACTAGCCCATCGGTGACATGACAGGATCTATCACAAACTGACAGGGACGTCTGCGACGAATTTCCCACCGCGGACGTACTGTTTATGGCGCACATACCAGCACAGTCTGTTGATATCAAACGAACTGAACCAAGGAGATTTCAGTCGGCGTCAGCATATACCACGTGTATGTACGAAGACACAAACACAGTCAGTCATTTAAAGCGTGCCAGTGTTCCCTTCAGTTCAGTTGTGACAGAACTGTCGGCGTCTGTCTGGTGCCAGAAGCGGCAGTGGTTGCCAAAAGGCATTCCTGTTCGTCTCAGGGGTATACACCTGGCAAAGTAGGAATAGTTAGTCAGCAGGCACAGCTAGAGCCAACAGCGAACAGTCATCACAGAAGGAACTGCAATCTGAGCATCAGCAGCGGTCAGCCATCGTCAGCTACCGTCGTCAGATACAGTCACCAGCAGCAGTAAGTCACCGCCAGCCGCCGCCAGCGGTCCCGACATGTCGCCGTGGCCGGCGGCCGCGCTGCTCTGGCTGCTGGTGCAGTGGGCAGCTGCCGTGGCGACCCAGCCGCCGTCGGCAGCTGACCAGCTGTCGCAGCTGCTCGGGCCGGTGGTGGAGTCGGCCGTGGCTCGGGCGCTGTCCGACTGGCGGCCGGCGGTGCTGACCGACCTCGGTCGGCTGCAGGCGCGTCTGGAGACCCTGGAGAGCCGGCTGGACAGGGACGGTGAGAGCCCGCCGCCGGGCTGCGGCGCCTGCCGGCCGCTGACACTGGCCGCCCTCTGTCAGCCGGCCGGAGCGGGCTCGGAGACCGCAGTGACCGCGGACACCGAGAGTGAGCCGCTGACCGGCGCCAGGTCACTGCCGGACTCCCCGGTCCCGCCGGAGCCGGTCTGTGACCCAGCTCCGACACCCGCGCCGTCGGACGCCGCGCCTCACCAGGAGCCGGCGGTGCGCGCCTGCGCCCGCTCCTGTCTGCAGCTGCGGGACCAGGGCGGTGACCCTCAGGACGGCGTCTACTGGTTCACCGGGATGCCGGTGCCGGTGCTGTGCGACTTCAGCCACGACGGCGGCGGCTGGACGCTGCTGTTGACGGCGGCCACCAGGGACGGCTGGGACGTGCTCAGCGTGCTGGGCCGCGCAGAACGCTCACCCTCGCTGACCCACAACTACGCCATCCTGCGGCACGCCAACGCCGTCCGTGACCTGGGCAACGGCACCCGGTTCGCCTACCGGATCGAGGCGCAGGCGCAGGCCGGCCGCCGGCGCTGGGGAGGCGTCTGGTTCGCACCGAGAAGCTACAGCTTCGTCCACGAGACTTCGAGCCAGACGGACGTCAGTATCGTGAGAATGTTCAACAACTGGGCCTACAGGAACAGCGGCATCGAGAAGAGGATGCCGTGGCTGAACACGGGAGGGGTCAAAGGTGCCGTTCTGACCACGTCTGAGAGCCCGACGTCGTCTTGGTGGGGTACCCTCGTGACCCATGAAACAACAACCTCTTTTCGGCACAGCCCTTGGATTAGTCAAGATGCTCGAGATTCTGGCACCGTCCTCTATTGGGTACGTGAAGAGGCCTAATTGTTTTGCGATCCTCACCTTGATATACTTACGTACATGGAACAATGTATTGTTTACTCGTTAGTCCAGGACTCATGCAAATATGTATGCATCCGTGGGCTCAAGATAAATGCGTCCTTATCAAGGGTTTTCTCTGTTTGTGATAATATTCAACCCAGTACCGGGAAGATGATGCCGTAGTCATAAACGAGAATTAACCGCATGGGGTTTCCAGACGGAGCGGACGAGCAGGAAATGAAGGTGCCTCAACAACTCTGGAAATGACGTCACAATGACGTCACCATCGCCATTAACATCTGAGCAAAACAGCCCGTGTGGTTTCAGCTTCTCTCGGTCATAGCGAGGAGACCTCGGTGAATAAGGCATGCTGTTGTTTGGTGTTGCAACAGCACCGTTCATTGTACAGTTGAACATCAGCGATAGCGATGGCCTGCATTTTTCTATACGTAGTAGCCTAGCAGCTCAGTAGCTACAAAAGTCTCAGCAGCTGAAAGAGTCACAAGAACCTCAGTAGCCGCAGTAGCCGAACTCAGCAGCTTTGAAAGCGTCTACAGCCGCAGTAGCTCCAGTAGTCGCACTAGCCACAATAGCTGCAGTACCCCAGTAACCACACTAGCTGCAGTAGGCTAACTAGCTCCAGTAGCCGCAGTAGCCCCAGTAGCCGCGGTAGCCCCAGTAGCCCCCGCAGCCGCGATACCCGCCACGCTTCCTCCAGCGGGCGGCGGCGGCGGCGGCGGCGGCGGCGGCGGCGGCGGCAGCGGCCGGTCGGCGCAGCGGTGAGCCGGCTCGCTATTGATCGGCGCCGGTGGCGGGGCCGGGGCCGGGCGCAGCTCCTCTCGCGGCTCCAACACGTGACGGGTGTGAGCAGCGACCCCGGGTCACCGCCGCAGCGGACACCGCGGGTCACAGCCGCCGACCGCCGGACGAGTGTGAGGACAGCAGTGAGGACCGCCGCTGAGGACAGAGCAGCACGCCGAGTGGAGAGCGCAGTGCCGCCCGCCGCCCGCCGCTGTAATTCCAGGTAGGAGGGAGTGGCTACCGCCGGCCGGAGCGCCGCTTCCGCCCTCGGACCGGCCCCGTCCGACCGGGCTGTGAGGAGGGGTGGCACGGGACCAGGGCGGGTGACATGGACAGGACTCGGCCCCGACGAGCGCAACAGGCGGTACTATGATACCAATAATTGTCAAATATACGTGGTGGTAGCGATACTCAAAGTTGAAATGTCTAGACAGACAGACACATGCATATCCCGTGCCCGAATGTTACAAGTCTGGTGTCCTTATTCCAACCCAATTTTGTGAGGTCAAAAAAATTCCCCTGTTTTTCGTGAATGACGCAACAATGGTCGTTAACTAAAATTCCGTTGCTTCCACTGAAGTTGATTTCACATTTCTTAGACGCATCTTCGGGTCATTGAATTAAATGACGTTGTCGATTTATGAGGCCTAATAGAAAATGGCTTATTGAAAATGAGGCCATTTCTAAAAATGCATGCTCAGCTGATACCTACTGCTTATCGCCGGCCCCGAACATCAGCATGCATTCTTCACGCAAGCATTTGCATGCAATAAGCTAGGTACAATTATATGGGTATTTCATGCCTCTCTATTTTCCTATCTGTGAAAACATGAGCTGCGCATTGCAAAGACACAGTAGGTAGGCACCGATACCCGCTGTTGAATAGTGACTGACACCTAACCATCATGAAGTTCCTAGTTTACGTTAGGCATTAGGCAATTGACACAATATAAAAATGGGCCTTTGGTAGATTTGGCACCTTAGTTGTGCTCAGCTGATTTTTATGCGCTTAGTTAGGTGCATGTAGATATCCTAATTACCTATTAATTGTTAACAATAATAATTAGGTACATATCTAAGCTACTACTTTTGAAGGTCGCATCAGGTCAATGAATTCAGATGACCTTGAGTAAGATAATTGTCGAATAAACTCGTCGATAATGATTTGAATTGGCGACCACGATGACGCTCCTAATTTAATCGGTAATTAATGACGTCTCATTCATATCTTATACAACGATAGAACAATGAGCTAGGATTGCCTAATGATATGGTATTGGGGTGAACGAATGAAGGACAAAGAGGACACGGATAAAGAGGCAGAGACAGACACGGAGATAGGCATAAGACACATAGACAAATACAGATATGACATAGTTAACCCTCGCCCGTATTGGTGTTTTTCCAGCCGCGAACGTATAAGGGGGGGGGGGGTCCGTTGGACCCCCCCTTGCCGTTTCGCCCCTGATCGAGCTAGAGCTTCGCGGAAAAAACGAGCGTGTTGCCCGTGACGAGAGGAAGCCGATGATACCCAATTTTAAGGTCCTAGGTCATTGGTTGACCTTGCAGGTCAGGTCAATGACACCAAAGGCGGGAAAATGGGAACCTGTTAGAACGTCGTAAAGTGTGGCTGCTATGGGGTTTTTCGGGGTGCTGATCACGAACATCATGTTAGTTTTGATCACAGATGATGTCTTCATGTATTTAGGCCAGGTCAGGTCAACCAGTAAGGGTATTCGTAGTAGGTGGCAACCGCCTCTGACAGCTTCGTAACATGTTACGAAGGCACCAAAACTACTTCGTAAATGTTCATATGGTTGCCAAATTCGAATTCAGCTCCAAAAACTGGCCTAGAAACATGTAAAACTCGAAAAAGTGAACCGAGGTCATCAAAGGTCAATGACCTGACCTGACCTTCAGGTGACCTTGACACCCACCCTAATGCATGGGGACAACATCATATCACATGTTTGAACGCTTGAAACCACGAAAAGACTGCAAACGCGCGGCTAATGCGAGCCGACATACGCCGAATCGCGATTCCAGCCAAACATGGCCTCGAAAAGTAGGTCACAGGTCAAAGGTCATTTGGGTCAGGGTCATGAAATTTTCAGGGTAGGTGTGAAATTGATGAACGCAAGGGTACTGAAAGTTTCGTCGCGATCGGCCGCTTTTTACGCGATTTATTCGCGAAAAATCATGGGGGGGTCCGTTCGACCCCCCCCCCCCCTATACGGGACAGGGTTAAGGGACTGAAACAGACAGACACAGACACAGAGGGATAGCTCGGGACGCCGCCGGTGTAGCGGCCAGTCACCGGAAACTACAGCTGCAGCCACCGCTCCCTCCCATTGATTGCCACCCGAGCGGGGGTCCGTGTCGCCTGTCCCGTAGCCGCCTGCTCCGTTTCGGCGGTGGCCGAGCTCGCAGATTGGCACTGGCGTGGCGGCTGGCTTTAATCGGCTATCGCTGTCCCGGGTCCGACGGGCAGCCGGAACCCATCGTGGGGAGGGGATGGAGGGGTGGGGTGGGAGGGGAGGGGAGGGAAAGGGAAGCTACAGCTGAGATTGGGGACCGGGGCATCTTATGTTGGCGAACCACACAGCGGAGACGCACGTCAAGGGATGGATGGGCCGGGAACCTAAATATGCAATAGGTACAAGAGTTCACAGCTGCTTTAGCAGTTTAGGAAATGACAGAAAATGCGAAAAGGTGACTTGGAACCACTGGCATAATGGGCGGGTTAGAAGTCGTGTGGGGCAATAGCACTACGAAAACAAATTTCAAATATTCTCGTTCTCGTACCTATGTATCATGTATGTCCTTTGTTGGCTTGTGGTCAGCCCCCGTCGTTACTGCAGCACCTACCGCTAAACCGTCATATTAACCCTCGCACGACCAGGCCATTTCTCATAACACGAACGACCAGGGGGGGGGGGGGTTGTTACGACCCCCCCCTTGGCGTTTCGAAACGGAAGGTCGTAGAGCTTAGCGGAAAAAACCAACGGATTGCTCTCAACGAGATCTCGCGATTGGTGGTATATTTTTTGGTCCTAGGTCAACATTTGACCTACTTTTGACCGGTCAAAGGTCAAATTTTTCGGAAAAATAGACTTTTTCAACTTTCCGCGGCGATTGCGGCAAAACGGTGGGAGATATCGACTTGAAACCTTCACTATCGTGTTCCTTGATCAATTCTCTATCGTTTGGTATGCATTTCGTTTCCCTAGCTCTAAAAATGGCGCGTTGGGAGCGCCGGAAGTCGGCAAGGTCACAGTCGGCGGCAGAAATTCGAAAAATCAAAATTTAAATTTTTGAAATCTGATTGTATTTTTGGATTTGGGAGGTCCATTTGCTCCCTATAGAAGCTAATATTGCTGCATATTCCCATTGAGGTGACAAGAATTAGCAAAATAGTGGTTCGGGCGCTTTTCAAAAATAGTACCGGACGCTGTTCCTCTTGTGACGTCATAGCTCCGTGACCTGACCTGACCCGGTCAAATTTCTTATACCATATGATAGCCAATACTTGCCCCAACATGCATGGGAAGTTTCATCACGATCCATCAACCGATGTCCGTACCACCGGCAGGAAACCTCGGGCGTTGGCACTCAGTTTGTGAAAATCCGGCCGGAGGCTGTACCTCTTATGACGTCATAACTCCGTGACCTGACATGACCCGATCAATTTTTTTTTCGGAAAAAGATGCGCAAAGGTTGCCCCAGAGGGTATGGAAAATTTCAGCCCGCTACGACAAGCCGTTTAGCGTGCACTTCGAAAAAACCTCAGGGGGGGGGGTTGATACAACCCCCCCCCCCTAGGCGTTCTAGGGTTAACACTCCAGTCACTAGGTGGCAGCAGTGGTCAGCGCCTGTCGTTAGGCTGTGCCGCATCGCCCACCACATTGCTTTCAATCCTGTCGCTAGATGGCAGCAACAGTCAGCGCCTGCTGGCGGGCTGTGCCGCAGTGCCTTGAGTGTACCATTCCTGCCGCTAGATGGCAGGAATGATCACCGCCTGCTGGTAGGCTGTGCCGCAGTGCAGCGAGTTCACCCTTGCTGCCGCTAGGTGGCGGGGGGATCAACGCCTGTCGGTAGGCTGTGCCGCAGTGCCGTGAAGTTAGAATTCCCGTCACTAGGTGGCAGCAGTGGTCAGCGCCTGTATGTAGGCTGTGCCGCAGCACTTACTGTAAGCCACCCACCGCGCCGCGTGGTGTTGTAGGGAGAATTTGAACTTAGAAACATTGGAACCATTTGAACCTCTCTGGACGCTGATCGGTGTCAGTTGCAGCTAACAGTGCAAAGGCAGGTTGATATCTTATTTTGTATGGCTTTATATGCGAACCATTGTATTTTCATGAAGTTTGATTTAGAAGAGAATTTAATCTAGTGACTCAACAATCAGCTCATCAAGGTAAATTCTTTAAAATAGACTGTAAGCGTACACTTCCTATTTTTCAGAAGTGTGAAAAATGATTAACTTCTAGATCTTCCTACCAAATGATAGCTCCTGGCCCGTTGGATAGCATACGCATTCAAATACCAGCACTGGCAATAGAACAGCTAACAGCTGCAGCTCTCTGCAATAGCTTACCAGAGCCATGTGTCCGATATTGCGGCATATTGTGCACAATGGTCGTGTCGCGTGCCCATGAGGCCACTCACACACATTCGGTGAGGCGTTCAGCCGGCCGGCGCGTGGTGTTGCAGGTGTGGGGGCGGTGCCGCCGACCCCCCAATGCCGGCCGGGCCGCGGTGCTGCCCCGGCGGACCGCTGGTGACCGATGGTGACCGCTGGTGACCGGTGGTGACCTCTCCGATGGTGGCCACTCCGCACGCCGCCAGCCGCACACCCCGCAGCCAGCGGCAGGCCGCGGCCGCAGCCATGCTCTGCTGTGGCCCAGAAAAGGTGAGCCTCTTGCACTGTAGGTACTTACATATAGGTATGTAATTGTATGTAGGTTTATATGTAAGTGCTTGGGTAATGGCCATAGCAATACATTCAATGACTTACGTAAGCACAAATGACACACCTTATACATGTGTCATCTATCACATAGTGGTTTATGATCAACCGTTGTTAAATATAGTATAATAGGTATATGCTGTGCGACGTATTTTTAGGACCTTCCATGAATGGCCGCATATGGTGCCGTGCTGACAATTTAATTAGCCATGATGCTAAATGCATAAAAATGCTATACTTTCGCGCTATAAGAACCTTCGAACGCCTGACCGGGATTAATCAATGGTGCTTCGCTCCTAGTTGGGCTTCTACGGGAGTCCCCTCCTGTATTCACCGTTCGGTCGCGTTAGTCACTATGATCGATCCCCCCTCCACCCCCCCCCCCCCTACACACACAAAGGCCATGGCACGGCACCGTAGCGGTGTGGTGTTCACGACCCCTCCCCAGAGCGCCTGTAGCCGGGGGGGGGGGGTACCTGGATCTCCAATCAGGCCTCAGGGTATCAGGTCGAATGGCTGTGTGGGAGGCCAGCCTCCCGGATCAGTAGGGATGCGTGTGCGCGAACATTGACTGCTGAGTTCGATGCTAATGGGCAGATTGGCAGAGCCATTCAGGGAGGATATAATGTGGTAGAGAGCTCTGAAACGTACACCTCAATGGCTGTCATTGACTCACTCACTCACTCACTTACTCTCACTCTCTCTCTTTCCCTCTCTCTCCCTCCCTCCCTCTCTCTCTCTCTCTCTCTCTCTCTCTCTCTCTCTCTCTCTCTCTCTCTCTCTCTCTCTCTCTCTTTTGCGCTCTGCTTTACTTCTGGCATTCTGCCTACCACACACAAAAGAAACAAGCGACAGGGTGTTAGGAGGGAAAACAGGAAAAATAGGATGGAGAAGACGGAGTGTTGGATGCGACGGGTGAAGTAGACGCCCTCACAGAGGCGTAATCTCTGCTGCAGCGCTCGATCGCGCTGCGTCGACCTGTAGAGAGCATCGATTCATGCATTATGCATCTTCGTATCTTTGCATTGCAATTGTAGTACATTGCCTGGGATTGGCATGCCTATAGCAGAGCTCTATTTCCAGGAGACAATGCATCTGAAAGATCGACGCAAAATAACATTTCAATGTGTTCAATAGCTGAGGAAGATCTCTGTCTCTCTGTCCCAATTGTCGTAACATCCCTATTCACCCTCAAATGAGTTGGTCCCAACTGTATCTTGTCCTGTCTACCAATGTGCCCTCGTGCTGTCCCCCGTGCCCCTATCCCCTCGCCCGCTCTCCCCCCAGTGCACCCCGCGCTGTCCCCCGTGCCCCTATCCCCTGCTCCTTCCCCCTCCCCCAGTGCGCCCCCGCGCTGTCCTCGTGCCCCTGCTCCCCCTCCCATTGTGCCGGCCGCGCCGCGCCGGTCGGCCGCCGCCGGTCGTCGCCTCTCCGATCGATGACCGGCCGTGCCGTCGCGGCCGACGGCCGCTCGATGGCAGCCCGCTCCGACCCGCCGGCCGACTCCAGTCGGTCCCCGGCGCGCCGCGCAGCGCCATGCCCGTGTGCGACCTCGGCCGGGTCAAGGCCAACCCCTGCGTGTGGCTGTTCCGCAACGGCGCCGGCAAACGGTCAAAGGTGGGTGGGCTGGGTGTCAGACGCGCCGCCGCCGCCGTTGAGTCACGGGTGACGGGGTGACGGATCGGAGTCGCGCGGCGGGCTGTCGGCTGACTCAACCGGCGGCGACGACCAGACAGTAGTGAGTGCTGAGGGCTTCGCTCATGTAAGTAAGCCGAGGCCTGTCCGGCGCAGGCACACATGGCTGCCTACTTTGAGCTGATTGGAAGCAGGACCGCAGGGCAGTGAATTTGGTGATCCAGCTCCAATACCGCTGTCGTATGGGCTTCCCTAAAAATAATTGTGTTCACTTGCTTCACATTCAGCCAGCAAGGCCAGAAGCAGCAGAATTGGTCAGCACGTCTCTATGGATTTGAAGTTTTTCTCAAGTTATTAGGTTTATCGGTATGAAATGTTGAAGGCACACAACTTTATTCTAAAAAGCTGAAACAAATATCATTTTTCTATTATATAAAGCGGTCTATTATTTGAAACAGAGCCATTGTTCGAAGAAGCGTCTATGTAGTGTAGAACTAGATGGGCGTCATCGTGTGCCTTGAAATAGAAGGTAAATTAAACTTGCATTTGATGAACAATGCACGGACAACACAAACCAAATACGAGTTCGGAAGTCCATACTTACATCCACACCATTACAAATCATTATTGTCAACAATACGACGCCCGACGAAGGAACGCCACGCCTCGGCCAATGAATCATGGCTCGACACAAAAGGCACGCGCACTCAAGCGTGTTACGAACGAGTCGATGTGTCGTGATCAATATTCGTCCGCGTCCTTCCGCTCGCCTGACGGGAGGTGATTGCCGCCTCGTCCTCGACTCCAGCCCGTCCTCGACTCCAGCACCGCCCCGGGCCGCCTGTCCTCCACCCCGTGCCGCCTGTCCTCGATTATAGCACCGCCCCGCGCCGCCCATCCTGGATTCCAGCATCATCCCGTGCCGCCCATCCTGGACTCCAGCAACATCCTGTGCCGCCTTTCCTCGACTCCAGCACCACCCCGTGCCGCCTGTCATTCGATTCCAGCACCGCCCCGTGCCGCCTATCCTCGACTCCAGCACCGCTCCGTGCTGCCCAACTCGACCGACTGCAGACCTTTTGGCGCTCGATGGTCTACCGAATCGTGACCATTGCTGAAAAACAGCTGACTGCGAGTGCTTCTTGAATTTTTAGTAGGCCACCCAAACTGGTAATGGCCCAACTTGCCTGCGTCGAGTCCGTGCTCGTGAACTCCGAGCTTCTGTGTGTTTCCGGGTCGATTGCTGCTCGGTGCTCTCCAAAGCGGGCAGCAGCTGTGCGGGCGGGGCCGTACTTTGTGATGGTATCGAGCACCGGTGGCTGGGCAGAGAGCAGAGCTTGGTAGGCTGCAATCCAATCCAGCGATCCAATCCATCTGGCCCGGCAACGGACAGCGAGCAGAGCTGGGACTGCAGTCGACGGTCGGAATCGGCCCATCTCAGTGACCTTTAGTGGTGGTGCTGCCAATATACGAGGACCGGTATCTGGCTCCGTCCAGTAGCCGGCCAGTTCCAGCCCGGCCAGCGGTCTCAGTCAGCGGGAAGCTCTATGTAGACAGACAAGTCTCAGCAGTGTTCATCACCTGACCAAACGAGCGGGGAAACACCTCTCCCGGTCCCAGAATTGTACTCTTATTCTCCTCTTTATACCAGACAACGATCCAAGTGAGAGCTGCCACCCCGTCCTCCGTCTCATCGGCGCTATTCTCAGACGGGTCACAGGCGAGACTGGAGATGGTTGCCGGTCATACATTTTGGAGGTAAGGATGGCATTGTTTTTTTAGCTTCTGCATCCCGTTAATGGTTCGCAGATTCCATTTCTTTTGCCAACTGATCGTGACTATGCTCGCCTCCCCAGCTGACCATACTCCTCTTCTGTCATGATAGTCCCTGTGACACAGCCCCCGCTGTCGGCAGGATGGCGCTGACCAGTCGGCGGACATGGCGCGCTCCCCGCGCCGCAATCACAACCAGCAGCACCCGCCGCGGCCCGGCGACCTGCCCGACCGCGCCGCCGGCTTCGACAACTTCGCCATGCCGCAGATGGTCGTCCAGAAGGACTTCCGAAAGGCAAGGAAGAGAAAAAGAAAAGCGGGAACTCTTGTCCAAAGTCCAGTTTTCGGATTAAGGATCGTTAAGAAATTTAGTTTATATTGATTGAATATGACTGGACTTTTTGGTCGGAATTCCGTTGACAGAATGTCTGGAAAACATCGAATGTCTGATAGTTCATTTTTTTTGCCAGCGCTATGTAAATATTGGTCGAGTCGTACCGCTGTTTATGTCTGTCATCGATGCTGCACAATCACAGGGTGCCCCTGAAGACCGAGCGAGTGTTTGCTCGGCGAGAATGTGCATAATATGTCCATCCAAGGCCCTAAAACTACTGTACATCGCTGGCACAACGCTTGGAGTGTGATAACATTCAGGTGCATGAAGCGATCAAACGCTGTACACTGTACAGCCTCAGCAAACATCCTTTTTAACACTGACTAAATGGCCGAAGTCCCAAGTTATTATGTAATTTGCTACTAGATACAGACATTTAAAAGCCGGCGAATGATTTATATTCATGGTAATTCTAGTGCAAGACGGTCTAAATTTCAACCAAAGTGCTGCACTGGATTAACAACAATTCCAAGTTAAAAGCCATGGTATGGAAATCATATAAAATGAATGAATGAATGAATGAATGAATGAATGAATGAATGAATGAATGAATGAATGATGAATGAATGAATGAAAGGTTTATTAGCCGCACCCTCTGAGTGTTATGCACTGTTTCTCTAACACCATGTGCCGTGCCCGCCAGGTTAGCGGCATCTCCACGGAAATATTCCGTCAGATCGAGACGGTGGAGAACGAGCTGGACGCGGCCACGGCGGCGGCGCTGCGGCTGGTCGAACAGCGCGGAGAGATGATCGTCAGCTCGCTGGACCCGCGCCGGCTCTCCAAGAAGGCGTACCGCATCGCCTCCAACTTCCTGGCCCTGCAGGTGAGCGGGCGGGGGGTACTCGCCCGCGGGCCGCGCCAGCCACCGACAGGGCTGGACTGGACGCTTCAAGAGCCGATAGCTTTGGAATTAGAGGCGGAAGAAGAAGTGGCTGTTATTTCATGCAGAATGACGTTAATATAAGCGAGAACATGAACCCAACCCCGTGTTTTTTATTTTTAAATGCCATGCTATATTAAAAGCGCGATGTGACGCAATTAGCTCAGACTAGAGCGGACCTGCCCTAAAATTATAGTACTTTCGCCAAGAGCCTACAACCTCCCGAGCGGCGTTCACAGTCTGCCACTCCAATCTATCAAACAGAGACGGTTGTGAGATCCCTAATAAATTCATTCGACGCTGACTCGTGCTTGCTTCGCCAGTCACTGATCCCGCTCAGATGTTGAGCGCGCTTCTACCTATACCCGGCAGCACACTCGGGGCTATCACGAGGTATCGTGCTGACAAGGTCCTCCAATTTAATGCGAGCCGAGTTGGAGGAAGACCGCCGACTTTATCCCACGAAATATGAGCCACAGCGGTCGTGACTCCTACTTCAGGAAGCAGAAGTGGGCGAGGCTGGGGCCACGTCCCCACGAAACATAGATAAATTCCGGGTACCACAGGCCGCGACCTTTCCTTGAACAGGGGAAGGATAAAGAGTTTAATGCGCCTGTTTCTCGCGTGCAGTTCGCACAAACCGAAGAGACAAAAAGAGATCACAAAGGCTTTCATTGGCATTGAAGCTGTAGTTTTCCTTGGGTGCTGAGAACTGGGTAGAGCAGGCTCCTATAGCTGAACTCTACGGTGCTGTATACTCGCACCGATTCCTTTGTTAGTACGAGTAGGTAGGTAATTAGGTATGTTGCCTACAATTCATTCATATCAGACATGTCCCAGAAGTAGAAAGGGTGGTGGAATCCGGGCGAAGCTATGCATCAGTTCGCTCACGAGTTTGCTATTTCATTGTTTTTCTGACGAGGTCGGTCGCCGCCGGATGATGGTAGGCACTGCATGAAGGTCCGATCTCAGAGACTGACTATATCTCATGGCGAGACGGTTCGTGACTTTTCTCGGACAGTTTAACTCTTGACCAGATCCTACCAAACTACCAGCATTCATTCGATTGGAAGAGAAGACCATTTTTGTGGTCAACCCTAAAGTAGATTGTAAATTGGCATATTCATATACAAACCCACTTGCGAGTAGAATATTTTGCAGACATGAACGATCCTCAACTATTCATATTCAGAGACTGACCATTAGAGCGATTCCAAGCGAGCCGATTTTAGAATTCCGGGAGCGAGGCTGCGTCAATAATTCAGAAACATATCTGGTCCAGTCTGAATGCTTCGGCTGAGAGTGGTATGCCAGCTCTCTAGAAAATTGATGACGTCATTTTTAAAGAATGCCGCAGATTACGCCTACTGGAAGATAAGAATTCTTACACTCATTGTTAATGTTTCGAGAGTATTTTGAATGGAATATTAACTTTAATGTTTTCAAGGAGATCTTTTCCCAACGAGATACGCTATATCGGGAATATTTTACAATTTCATCCTAATATTATCAGTCCTCCATATTCATCATTCAAAGTCTCCAGTAGACAACTTCTCGTCTTCTAGCTTCAGACCCAAAGTGAAACAATCTTGACGCTGTCACGTACTGCACCAGTCAGTCTTCCTGCCCGGACCGTCTGCGACTTATTCAGCCCGTTGACGTCTGTCTCTGCTCCCCAGGACGGCCGGCACACGATCCAGTTCGTGGAGATTGTGAAGCGTCCCGGCCAGACTCTGGGCCTCTACATCCGCGAGGGGAACGGCGCCGACCGCTCCGACGGCGTGTTCGTCTCCCGGATCGCGCTCGAGTCGGCCGTCTACAACTCGGGCTGCCTACGGGTGGGTGACGAGGTGCTCGCCGTCAACCTGGTCGACGTCACCGGCATGGGGCTGGACGACGTGGTCATCATCATGTCGATCCCGCGCCGTCTGGTGCTCACCACGCGCCGTCAGTGCCGGCAGCCGGGCCGTCCCAGCCCGCCGCCGGCCGCGCTGCCCTCCAACAGTACGCCGGTGGTGGTGATGAAGCAGGAGCTGCCGGACCGCGAGGCGGGCGCGCCGCCGCCGCCCAGCTCGGTGCCGCCGCCGCTGCCGCCGCGCCGGCCGCCCTCAGTCGGCGCCGACGCCCTCCACTACGGCTACTCGCGGCTGGGACGCGGCGACGGCTCCGGCGCGCCGCCGCGCTACCAGGAGATCTGCGGCCCGGCCCGACGGACCGGCTTCGACCCGCCGCAGCCGGTGGTCACCGAGCAGCCGCACGGCTACTCTGCCCACTACCAGAGGCCGTTCTCGGGAGCGCTGCTCTCCGGCGCAGCTGACCACTCGAGCGGCTACGGAACGGCGCGCGGAGGGGGCACCGCCGTGGGACTGTACGGCTCCCGGCCGCGGCCCGGCTACGGAAGCCTGTCGCGAGCCGAGACGCACCAGCGCGCCATGGGTCTGGAGCGTGGCGTAACACGCACCTACAGCGACCAGCGGCTGCCGGGCGACTGGTCCGACAGCTCGCTGCCGCCGGCCATGGCCGCGCCGCCGCAGTCCTCCCTTCAGTACCCCTCACGCTACCAGGACACCATGCGCCGGCTGAGCGCCATGCGTCGGCGCACCGCCTCGCTCGAGTACGCATCCGACTCGGAAGCCACGTCCGGACGGCGCATGGGAGCGCCGCGGCGGATGGCCGCGCCCCTGGCGGCCGTCGGAGAGAGGAGTCGTTCGCTGCCCCGCCGCAGCGAGGCGCCACCGGCGCGCGCCCGGTACGCCAGCGGGTACGGATCGGCGGGAGCGGCGGACAGCCTCACAGACGACAGCGACGGAGCGGTCAGCGCGCCCGAGCTGAGAAACCGACGAGGTGAGCGCACCGGCTATACCGTCGGGCCATTTAACGCCCGAAATCTGCTGTACCTACCCAAAATGGACGGTCATAAGATTCACTCCGTACAGACGTGCCCCATATCATGTGAGCACCACTTACGACTCAAATTATGCATCATGCTACATATGTACTTGTGTAAACTCTCTCTTTCTCATTTCCGCAGGACTTCCGCCGAGCATGCGGACGCCTCCAGCGCTCTCTACAAACGACTACAAACAATGGCTGTCCCGAGCGCCCTCCACTGGCGCCATCTATGAACGGATCCGACAGTACCGAGACCGGGACATAGGCGGCGCTGGCGGCGGCGGTGCGGGCGGCACGGCTGAACGCGGCGTTGGAGGGGCGCCGGGGACGGGTCCCACATCCTCTCGGCGCGGCGTGCCGCTGACATTCAGCGCCGAGAACATCGGCACCGGAATGGTGGTGAGTGCGCTATGCCTTGACATCAGCTCGCATCCGCTGTCCGCTGGCGACATCCTTAAAGCTCATAGAGAAAGGAATTCGACGACACGATCTTTCGGGGACTTCGACGATCTCCTCTTTGGCCTGACCTCCTAAGACCTCGTAGCTATGTAGACCTAAGTCCGGACCTAATCTTCAATGATTAGGTACATGTGTGACCTAGTCACCTGGCGTCTAATGACTTCATGTGACGTTCTATGACTTTGTGCGTCCTCCAACGACCTCAAAATCACCCTTCATGACCTTCAATGATATCTTGTCATCTCACGTTTCCCAACTACCCCCTGTCTGTCCAGGAGTCGGCGCACTACTGGCGCGGGCCGCGGCTCAGCACGCTGCGGCCAGTCACTCCGTCTGAGGGCGGCAGCAGCAGCAGCAGCAGCAGTCGGCTGGGGGGTCCGACGGCCGCCACGGCGCTCACCCACCACCTGCACGCCCGACTGGAGGAGCGCAGCGCCACACCGGCGCCGCAGCCAGAGGCCAAATCGCGCTTCTCGGTCCTCAACATCAACCCGGCAGGTGAGGAACGGGTAACCGCGACGGGCGATCGGTGGACCGTGGAGGACAATGTATGGAACATTTTTTCTTAGGAGATGAAATCAATGTGGGCCGTCACGCCGTCATATTCGCAATGAAGTTACCCTGAATCCAAATTCGCCAATTTTCCACTGTTATTCCTGGCTCAGTGAATTGCTCCCAATGGCGTAGGGAAGCCACTCAGCAAGCAATGATGCTGATGATAGATGATTTGGTGTTTCGTTCTGCTGACGGCGATGTGTTCCCGGCAGAGTTTCTGCGTCACAGCTGGGGCCGGACGCCGTCGTCGGCCACCGAGCCGGGCCTCTCGGGCCTGCTGGAGGTGCAGCTGCTGTCGGGCCGCGGCCTGCGCCCGGCCGGCCGGCAGCCGCACCTGCGCGACCTCTACTGCGTGCTCGAGTGTGACCACGTGCACAAGGCGCGCACGGTGATCCGCACCGGCGACCTGGTGTTTGACTGGGACGAGACGTTCGAGCTGGACCTGCTCTCCAGCCGGCAGCTGGACTTCCTCATCTACTCGTGGGACCCACAGTTCCGGCACAAGCTGTGCTACCGCGCCTCGCTGGGCGTGGCCGCCCTGCTGCGCGAGGCCAGTACCCACCAGCTGGCGCTCAAGGTGGAGCCGCACGGCAGCCTGTACGTGCGGCTGCGCTACACAGAGCCGAAGCGGTGCTTCGAGCGTCTGCCGGCGGCGCGGCCAGGCGCGCTGTTCGGCGCCGACCTCGAGTCCGTGGTGGCCCGGGAGAACTCCGGCCTGGCCATCCCGCTGCTGGTCAAACGCTGTGTGGACGAGGTGGAGCGCAGGGGGCTGGACATCATCGGCCTGTACCGGCTCTGCGGCTCGGCCGACAAGACCAGAGCGCTGCGCCAGCAGCTGGAGGCGGGCGCTCGCACCGCCGACCTGTCCCCGCACAGCGTGCCAGACATCAACGTCATCACAGGTGGGGGCGCGGGTCACAGGCCGCAGGTCGCATGTCACAGATGACAGAGTGAGGTCACAGGTCACGGGTCACGGGTTACGGACCACAGAGCGCCGGTCACGGGTCACAGAGCGCAGGCAACGGGTTACGGGTCGCAAGTCATGGGTCACGGGTCACAGAGCGTAGGACACGGGTCACACAGCCCAGGTCACAAGTAACACAGATCAGGTCACAGACCAGAGAGCTCAGGTCACCGGTCACATGTAAGCGTCAGCTGACGTAACTACAGCTTTAGCCTTTGCCTTTGCAGCCTTTGTCATAGATCCGTAACCTCAAAAATCGGCGAGCGGGTATCACAAAAATGGCAGCCTGAGCCTCTTATGGTTAAATTCCGAAAGGAGTGAGATACTTCTATTCATTCATCTAGTTGTGTACGTAATTCCTGAAGGCCAACGTCCTTAGGTGGGATAATATAATTGCTGAACCTGGCTTTCTAAAGCCCTGACCCCTGGATCTCAGCCGCTGACGTCTGACCCCTGGACATCTGCCGCGGCCCGCAGGCGTTCTGAAGGACTACCTCCGCGAGTTACCGCAGCCTTTGTTCACCAAGTGTCTGTACCAGATGCTGTGCGACGCCCTCTCCGTCTGTCTTCCGGACGACTCGGCGGCCAACGCCAAGCTGATGCTCTCCATCCTCGACTGTCTTCCCAAGGCCAGCCGGGTGAGAGGCGGACACAGGGGGATCGGTTCTGATTCCGGAGGAGTATGAATGATATGATTCAGTGTTTTTTTTTTGCGAGCATCCTTGTCTGTACACGGTACCTTCTCTCTACGGCGCGGTATCTGTAGCCTAGTTCTAAGTTTTCACGTAGCAACGCGGATAAAAATTAATTGATTCGAGAGTCAAGTTATGTTTTCACTGTAAACCATTGTAACTAAAATACCACTGCAGCACAAAATTATAAGTAATCATAAATCCTGTTGACACTGACGTCACATGATTCTCCCGGGGCCGGTATCATTTGCAGTCGTCACTCGTCAGTACGGATGTGTCGACCCAGTTAGTTACCTGACGCCGGTTCTAACGGTACCCGTATGACACCTGACCCGGCCGCCGCCCTCAGAGCACGCTGCTGTTTCTGATGGACCACCTGCGGCTCGTATCGTCCCAGTCCCAGTGTAACAAGATGACCCCGCAGAACGTGGCCGTCTGCTTTGCGCCGGTTCTGATGCTACACTCAGAAGTCGGCCGGACGGAGATTGACTTCCATCGGCCCATCTCTATACTCAAGTACCTACTCACCATCTGGCCGACAAAAACAGGCGAGTCCCGTTCAGGGTTCACAGTGCGGAGTGTTCGCTTACACACCCAGTACCCACGTCTTTATAAAATTGATGCAGCTAGTCTGCTTCGATTTTAAATGTCCAATGAAGAGGCTGACTTCAGTGAACCGATGTCTGCTTCACTCCCACCTAGTTAAGTACGTACAGAATGCACCTCATGAGGGTTCTCTGACAGGTTCTCTGACTCTGTGTTCTGCAGTCCGCGAGGCGACCACGGCCCGGGTGGCCCCGGCCCGCCGCTCCCGACTCACGCCTCACTCGGCCTCCCTGGAGCGGCGCGGTCCGGCCAGCGACGACCGCTCCGAGCCCGCCACCACAGCCACCGACAGCGGATCAGAGAGCCGGGACTCGTCCCCCAACCAGCCGCCGGCGGCGCCCGCCGGACAGCGCTCCCGGCACGGCTCTCTGGGCGGGGAGGGCGGCGGCGCGCCGGGCGCGCTCACCCAGCCGTTCCCCGGGCCGCCGGCGGCGCCCTCCTACATGCAGACGCGCGCCGAGCGCACCGACAGCGAGTTCACGGGGCGCAGCTCCGAGTCGGACAGCGGCTACGCGCGGCTCGACTCGCGCTCGGAGCGGCCCGGCTCGCGGCAGGGCGCCGCCGCCGTGCACCCGTTCCGGCGCGCCGACGGCCGCTCGGACGGCGAGTGCGCCTCGCGCGAGTCGTCCCCCGACAGCAGCCACCTCAGCTCGGCCGACAGCCGGCGGCGCGGCGACTTCTCGCGGCCGACCGAGTCGCCGGCGGTGGCCGCCGGCCGGCCCGGCTCGGCGCTCGGCCACCGCCGCTCGCCGCTCTCCGTCAACGGCGTCGACGAGCCGCCGCGGCGGAAGGGCAGCGCCGGCTCGGCGGGCCTCGAGTTCCGTCTGTCGGCTGCCTCGCCGTTCAGGGAGGCCGAGCTGCGGCAGCGCAGCGCCTCGCCCCGCGACCTGGAGCGCGAGGCGCGGCTGGCCAGTCCGTTCCGGGATGGCCCCGGCCGGGTCCGGCTGGGCTCGGCCGACGACGGCCGCAGCTAGGCGGCTCAGAGGTCACAGGGGCCGGATGTGCCGGGCCGACTGACGACCGCCCCTCGGAGAGCTGATCAACGTCTGATACTCGTGTCAGTAGGAATGAGCGAATTTATCGAGCCGTTAATGAGTCGCTACAGCCAGCCGAGGTATCCGCCTGGCTGTAGTGGAGCTCGAAACTATTCCATTTATTCACTAAGCCCAGCTTATACGAGCGAATCTGGCATCCATCTAAATACTCATTATGCTATTACGGTATAAGCCTTAATACTCTTAACTACATACATAAAAGAAACAATGGCTTACCGTTATGGAGCAATTTATCAGTACATTGTACACGAATAACAGAGTTTCGCCGTTTAAAAGCATGAATTTCCTCTCCTGACACTTTGATCATCATGGTGAATCGTTAGTGTTTAGTGTCTATCCGCAGAATCATTTATTACTGATGTAAACAGGCGATCTACAGCTGTTCTATGACATAAAAAAGTGTCAGTTGCTTTATTTTAAACTTTTCTGAGGGCACTTCAATGCCCGATTACAAGGAACAAGAAAAAAAAACATTTGCTGAGCAACAAATCCGTCTTAAAACGGATGTGAATACATTGCTGTAAGACGAGCTGCATCTACAAATAAACTACGCACAATCGGCAAAAGCTATGGGTTCGTTTTTGAGCTATTCCAAGGTATGAATTGTAGCATTTAGCGTGATATTTGAAAGTAATTCAAGGGTTTACTTTACCATCAAGTAATCACGAAAAAGAAGTCAGCAAAGGCCATATCAGACACATTTGACGCCTTCAAAAGTGTCCTTGAAAGGTTATAAGTACCTTCTCGTACAAGGCATATAATGCCTTTCCTTGACGTTCCAACTAATTTATTTGTTTTATAATCAAAATATTTCTTATCAAATAACGCTAAGGTCACGTGTGGCCATGGGAGAGAATGCTCAATGTCGCGTGGCTGTACTTTTAGTTAAGCATTAATTTCACGGAACAGTTAATGCATTTTTGTATTTTAAGTTGTGAATGTACAATATCAGATAAAGATCCGTAAGGGAGCTAAGGGTAATGGCTCGCTAAGCTTTAGATGGGGGAAATCTCTTTGGAAATCTGTGGAAGCAGTCGCGGGCCGGGTTCCTTGTTTTATACTGTCTATTCACGTCTTGTCAGTGGTTAGGGTGAAGTAGCGTTTGGCTCACACTTTTTCACGCCGTAATACGCCTGTCGTTTCAAGTGCTTACCCCAATCTTGTCGTACTAGTATTATGCACTATGCACAGCAAACCTATAGTTATTTGCACCATACCTACCCCGGGCGCCGCGTTGTGATACGTATCGTGAAATGTGATGTAGGTATGTGTGTGTGTGTTATTAGAACGGCGAGTAGTATATCCAATCAAACTGAATGGTGATTTAATTGCGGATCATGGCATTCCTGTTTCGATATTTGCGAACAGCTCAACCGGATAAATTTGTTGTTACAGAGTGACTGTTAGGGGTTTGAATGAGCGAGGAGGCGGCGTGAGTTAGCCAGACTGCTGCAGGCAATTCTCAACGCGAAATTATATACCGAACATTGGAGACAAACGTCACTGTTTAGACCCGGAATTCAATTTAGGTACATAATTAGTCACTTGAAACAGATGTACAGTGTACTTAAGTATTATTTACTTTATGAACAGTGATACTCTAACAAAACCAGAATATTGCAGGTTAACATTGTTTCCTGACCTTCTGAAATGATGGATTGAGACGCTTTGAAAGGCTTCAGATGCCAAAGTATTATTTCTTTGTATGTTAATACAATGTAATATACGATGTAAATACGTTAGATATTTATTAAATGTGATCGGTTTCGTGCGCCCATGCACTATGTAGTGTCTATGTGCTTCACCCCGCTCTAGTTAATGATTATCTACCAGCGACCTCGACTCCTCGTGATGCATTGTGTGACGTCATCAACGGTGAATTTTAATAAAATGGCGAACATCATTCAGTTGTCTTACAGGTGACTGGGGACTCGAAGATCAAACGGAAAGCACAAAATGGCCTGAAGGGCTCGCCAAATATAAAAATGAAAGAAATGCACCTATGGATGGCTGAAAATCAGAACTCTAAGCACTCACACACCAATGGCGAATTATATTATTCCGAGGTAAAACAGCCGTTTGTCGGCGTCTTCCTTGTTATGAATGGCAATTGGCTAATATCAATACATCTAGAAAATGCATCTCAATTCGTCAAATTCGTCAAAGTCAATGACACAAGACATCAACCTATACCTACGCCAAATTTGGTTGGACAATTTCGCCACGAGGGCTTTTTCACTTCTGAAAATCATTATCAATTTTCTCGTAACATCGGAGACATGCGGCTGATAATGAAAATAAATAAGCAAAATTATCTGAGCGATTTTTAGCCATCTGGGAGAGATACCCTGACCGGGTGATGCCAGCGTCCTGCCTGTCTCAGATGCTCGATCCATTCTCCCCCTCCATTGGCTGCCCCGGTGTGACCGGCAGCACGGGCGGGTCACACAATACCCGTGCCGGTGTCACCACCGCTCCGTCAGGACAGCGGCCTCCGGCCCATTAGAGGACAATGTCCGCTCTCACACGGTCACCATTGCTCGGGATATATCGCAGCTGCACAGAGCACTGCCGGTACCGAGACTGGCCGATCTCGGGCTACATGGACACTGGTCAGTGGTCAGTGGTCTCACTACGGAGAGGACGCAGAATAAACGGTGAATAGCCTCAGGTTTGAATCCAGAGAACGCAAGACATGCGATTTTTTGTCTTGTTATCATACAAAGCTTGTTACGATAAACTGGATTTAACTGTCTATGGCTCTAGCTAAATGCATCAACTTAATGTGAATCTTGAGATTATTCATAGGCGAAATGGTGAGTTCTACCCACCCTCATCCCGCCGGAGACAATAGTTTCGGTGAGAGTCAACAAGACGACAATCCGAAATAACTCTTCCAGGTTCCAACGAATGCAACGATCAAATCACAATTGCTACGTCATGAATGAAAAAGGCAGGCAAGTTTGGCTTGGTTAATCAAAAAGTAATAAAAGAAAATACTCTTATCACAAGTTCCCGGAAGCTGCCGTTCCCAACAAACACTCAGAGCAGCAGCGGTCAGAGTGAACAAAAAGAAAAACTTCAATTAGAACGGCCTCGTTCTGGGCCGACAGGCTTCAGCTCCCGGCTCCAAATGCCGTGCCCAAATCTGGAATCAGAGTCGCGCCAGGGCCGCTTGGAAGCAATGCCGGCCATCAGTGGAAGCAATTGACCCCGGCCGGCCGGCGGCGCGACACCGCGGCAGTTATTGAATCGAAAACGATTACTGTAACGGGCCGAGTATGGGCCGCGCCGCACCGAGACACTGTATAGTGGGCCGTTAGTAGGCCGGCAGTTGGGCGCAATGACCACCACCAGGCCGCTCATGACTGCCCCGGCGCCTTGGGACATGTGCTCGCCGGCGCCGCTGACCATCGAGCGGCCGGCGGGACCGGCCCGCGGAGCCAGCCGCCGCCCACTTTCACAGCCGGCCCGCGGAGCAGCCAGCCGCCGCCCACTTACACAGCCGGCACAGCGCGCAAGAATGAGAGAAATGAACACATAATACAAGTGAGTGCCAATAGACGTCTATTGCAGCGTGTTCTTTAGGAGCGGGATTCAGGCTTAAGCTTTGAGCAGTTATTCGAGCATGTATGCCACCATTCATCGATACGTAAGGCATGGCGTCCTCGTTGATGTGTGAAAGACGAGAGGAGTCAGGAGTGGGTAAAATAAAGGGCGCCCAAATCGCCTCCCCATTGCACTTACCGTGCATTCCTGTGTGTCACCGTCCCATCTTCCTCGAGCCATTGCATGGTGCGTGCTGCGCCTGCGGCGCTAAGGGGAGTCCTCAGCCCCTCCACGCGCTGGAGCAGAAGTCAGAACAGAGTGGATTATGGCCAGGCCTACCTACGATACAAGGTACCTAAAGAGCGAGATGAAGGGATCGGGATAACTTTGACTTGCCTTTTCATAATCTTTGCCCATATGTTTGTGAAGGCATTGGAAAAAGCTGGCGTAGAACTAACTAAAATATAACAGAGAAAACGGTTGAAAACCTCCATTATCGCTCCGACTCCCGACTCCGCAATGAACGCGATGATTTTCACTCAGACCTCAGCACGACGACTGTCGGAGGATTGAGGAATTCAAGATGACGGACTATCACCGTCCACCGATCAATTCACGGCGAGAATAAATCAAAACACGCTGCATGAATTGAAACAAGCACGTCATCACGAGTGAAGGACTGCACTCACCTGAAATGTGATCCAAAGACAGCCTTTCTTGTGAATCAATCCAGTTCCAAACCACAGAATCGTTCACCCAACAACAGCTCACTCAACTCTCACTGTAAGCACGGTATATAGAGTCTAGAGAACGACGTTTTAGTGCCCTGATAGAGAACCACTGCAAGATGACGCGATCGTTCACGTGCCACCCAAGGCTATAGAACTCCGTGCCACCGCTGCCTGCGGGCCGTGACAACTGACATGCGCGCACGGTAATAGATATACGCGTAGCGCCGTGGGCGCCCTCATTTGTCCGACAACCCCTGTTTCCATGCATCAACACCAGATGGCAGCTATCATCGCTTTTTATTACATACCTATAGGTATTACGCTTATTTCGTCACAATTCTTACGCACTTTCACGGTGTAAACAAAATCAGAAATCCTAAACAGATATGAAAACTTTAATGATAAAGCAACATTTTTTTTCAAATAAAATGTAAAACAAAGGTTGAGTCACACCGACCGGATCAAAACTAGGGACATTCCCGTATCTTTCCGCGCCGGACAATCTTTTAGTCAGTCCGCTGTGGGGTGGGTGTGTATCGGACGCCTGAGTCAACATTTCCAGCCTACCAGCCGCCGCACGTCCATTGCCCTAATCGACTTAGCCCCGATCGAAACGCGGGCTGCCGCCGTCCGATCCGG